CATCATTACATTTCGAGTGTGGGAATTCCGCACTTATGGAATTCAATTGTACACAGGGCATTCCCGGCCGCGGGAGGTTATGTTGTCCGCCCAGAACAATTCACCACACATGAGGTGAGCCCTGATTAGCTTTGCCGTCCCAGCTGGAGATGCAATCTGCTCTGGACGACGGGGCAACAATGTCGCCTCAAAAAACGGCAGCGGGTGAGAGCAGATCTCATGGAAAATGAGAATAAACCCTGATAATGTTGAGAAACAGAAAGATGTCCAGTTGCAGGAGGAAATTCTGCGGCGAGTTTTCTGACACTTTATATAACCTGGTGGTATCCATTGTATGCTGGCCTCCAAAAAGTCCACAATGGCCGATATTTACATACTTTTTCCTTCTCTCCTTCACATTATTGTATGGGCCAGATAGATGGATAGAAGCTAACATTGCTCTCGGATGCATATCTTCTAAATGTGTTGGCAATGAACATTTGTACGGAGTAGACATCCATTTAATTAATACCATTTCCACATACCTTTGTCGAGAACTCATCTCAGAGGCCTGCTCAATTGCAGTGTTTGCGTCTTTATCAAGTTCGCGATGCAGTAAAGCTAATAATTAGTTATCCCCTTCCTCAGCTCTTGTCTCGCAAGATCGTTCCAACCGGCAATGGAAGCTCCCAGCGTGACATCTCTGTTCCACGATGGCGGGTTTTCGTCGCCGTCACAGTCTCCCGCGCGGATGGTCGCGGCTCCTGTCCCTCGCCGTCCTCGTCTTCTTCCTGGTCGATCTCGCCCGCATCTCGCGTTCCGGAAGCCCTTCGATCCTCGATCCGCGCCCGCCGTCGCGCACCGTGCAGTCCGGACGGCGGGTGTTTATCGCAAGCATCCATTGGAATAACGAAGCCATTCTGCGCTCGCACTGGAACGATGCACTGCTGGATCTGGCCAGGACGCTGGGCCCGGAAAACGTGTTTGTGTCCATTCTAGAGAGCGGCAGCTGGGACGGAAGCAAAGATGCCTTGAGGATCCTGGACGACGAGCTGGAGAAGCTGGGAGTCGAGAGAAAAGTCGTGCTGGAGGAGACAACGCACCAGGACGAGATTGACCGCGTGCCGTCGCCAGACGAACCGGGCTGGATCCGCACCGCAAGGGGAGCGAAGGAATTAAGACGCATCCCGTATCTCTCGCGGCTGAGGAATCGGGCCATGGAGCCGCTGTCTGTCCTCGCGTCGCGATCAGAGCATCAAAGGACCTTTGACAAGGTCCTCTGGCTCAACGATGTTGTGTTTACGGTAACCTCTGGCACCTACCTAGTCCCTGGCGCAAAGTGGTTGACCCTGGGCTATATCTATAGACTACGGATGTGTTGAATCTCCTCGATACGCGAGGCGGCGATTACGCTGCCGCATGCTCCCTCGACTTCTCCAAGCCTCCATCCTACTATGACACCTTTGCCCTGCGAGATTCTTCCGGCGCCAAAGCCGTCACTCCCGCATGGCCCTATTTCCTTTCCTCGAAATCTCGCCATGCCCTGATGACCAGCTCTCCGGTCCCGGTCAAGTCATGCTGGAACGGAATTGTCGCTTTCGAGGCTGCCCCGTTCTATCATCCGTCCGGCCCTGAGTTTCGTGGCATCTCGGATAGCCTGGCCAAGCATCACTTGGAAGGGTCAGAGTGCTGCTTGATCCATGTCGATAATCCTCTTACGCCAGTCAAGGGCGTATGGTTGAACCCGAATGTCAGAGTCGGTTATAATGAACAGGCCTATCTCGAAACCCATCCGCGCTCCTCCGCTACCTGGCCGAGCTCGAGAGAAAGAATCAAGGGAGTATGGCAAAACAGAGCGGCCCGTTGGGTGAATTTACCATATAGGAATCTCGAGAATCTAGTCGTTCGATGGAGAGTCCGCCGTTGGAAAGCCGAAAACGGGTTGGAACGCGAGGAGCGCGGTCTGTACTGTCTGATTAACGAGATGCAGGTGCTAGTCAGGAACGGATGGGCGCACGTTTGAATCGACGTTTAGAGAAACCCATGGTGCGGTGCAGTGCAGCCTAATTGCGCACCTGTCGATCCAAAAAAGACATACCACAGCATGGACGATGACCTTCAAAGCGCAACTAGTATCATCTCCTGTTCAACATACGAACATCACGTTGCATTGACACTTGCACATCAATCCTTTAGAAAGGACCGAAACGTTGATATATTGACTGCATCGAACGACAAGTTGAACATTGAACACATCCTACACTATTTACGTGTAACTAAACAATAGAGAAGCATCACTTTTCCACAAGCAGCATCCGGAATCAAGGGTTCTGCCTCCCCGTCGCCGGCTTCATCGCCTCCCTCTCCTTTGTCTTTTGACCAAATCTCCCTGTTTCAATCTCCTCTCTTCCCTCTCTCTGGATCGCCTGATTCTTCGCTACGCCCTGCGGGTCATTCGCCACGCGATCAACGATTTCCCCCATTTTCCCGCGCGCCTCCTCTCCAGCACCCTAAACCCAAGGTCAGTCGAAGCCTCAGAAAGAAAAACAAAAAAGGGCGGATAGAAAGCAATAATCATACGTGCACCCCGGCCATAAACCCCTTCACACCCCCCTCCTTCTCCGGCATCGGCCCCGTCCTCTCCCCCTGCCCTCTCGCACCCGTAATCGGCATTGCCCCCGCCGGATTCGTGCTCGATCCCGCCGTCCGCCCGCCCTGGAACGTGCCGATACCCCCCGTCCCCGTGCCCGCCAGCCCGGACCCGGCCATCGCCGCGCCGCCGCCGGGATGCGTTCCTGCGGCCCGGGTTGTTTCGCCCATGGTGCTGGTGGCCGTGGTGGAGGGTGCGTTGGGGTCGGTGATGGTGCTTGACGTGCTGCCGCCGGACGCCGCGGTCTGGTGGACGTTGAGGGCGTCGCCGCCGGTGGTGAGGCGGGTGGCGGTTGGGTCGGTGGTGGAGAGAGAGGGTTTGGACGGGGGCAGCTTGGAGCCGCCGTGTTCGCGTTGGGCAGCCATGTGGGTTTGTTCTGGGTAGCTGTTGTTTTAAGTGCGGACGGGTTTGAGGTTTTGTTTAAAAAAGGCTGTGCTTGGGAATCTACGGAAAGTAGATAGTTATATTGGTCGTGATATCCGCTAGTGGGACATTTCAGAAATACAAACTGCTATAAAAGCGTCCAAAACTCTTGACGTCAACATCCCCATGGAGCAGGATTCTGTGATGAGCTTATTATCCTAGCATTGACAGGAGCAATTCAAACTATAACCATAAACCACGGTTCGCTGGGACCACGGTATCAATGCGTGTTAATCTAAAGCAGAAAGCCAAAGGGTGAGCTAGAGGGAAAGGTTGATTACTTCTCCTCCAGGGGCAAAATTGGATATTGCAGCTCATAAGAGTCTAACATACACAGTAATTGTAATATACATACATATGCACGCATGCTATCGACACCGTCCATTCATATAACTCACGGTATACCATAGCACGACACGATATAAAGTGAAATTATCCGGTCAAGACGCACATACCAAACCACGACCAACAACACCATGGGAAGAAGACGACCGCCAAACTGTGACCGGAAGATGTGCATGCAAAGGTACGCTCGTCAGTCATTATAATCCTTGAAAAAGAGAACGGGTCGAACATAAAATTGGGGGTATCTCATTTAACAAGACGAGTCGCAATGGCCGGACGAGGCTATTATACGCCACGGAACTAAAACAACCGCTGTTAGTAGCTGGCCGAGATCCCTCGCTAATCCGAGGACTCACCATTCTGACAATCAGGAACCACATAGCTCCTATGAATCTAAACAACGACAAAGCCGCCACACTCCATAACACAACTGCCATGTAAATCGCGCTCCGATTGGCCTCACTTTCATTGTTCAAATCGATCCTCTCCAGGCCAACGGCGTTGAGGACCAACGCACCGAGCGCGAAATTACAAAAGATCCACACCAACACAACAGAACTCCGGAAGCCCTTATAGTAGTCTTCTTGCTTCTCTTCTTCAGTGACCGCTCTCTGTTCCTTCGGCGGCTTCGAAGCGAATTTTGTGAGTTCAGCATCGTATTGAGCATTGAGATCTCCGTCATCTTGAGGTATCTCAACGTCGACTTTGCCACCCGGCTTGAGGTTCGCAGAGGGAAGTTTCTCGGCTTTATCGTCACCTTTAGTTCCCCAAGTGATATCATGGGTGTTGCAAAACGCATAAATGTTAAGGACATTGATATACGTTGGAGTTAGAAGGATGTATTGCAGAAACTATAAGCCCGGTGTTAGCTAAGGATCAATGCAACTCCGGATAGAGAGACTTACGGATGTAAACATATGCCACGGGTCAAAGAATAAGATCGAAGCAAGGAGCCAGAGAACATAAGTCGACAAGAGCGATACGATCATCGAAAAGAACTGTAAGTTTTTGAATATCGCGGAGAAGCTGAACTGGCCATCGGCAACTTCATGCTGGATGGACTTTACCGTAACATAGATCGCCGCAAATGTAAGATATATCATGATGATAACCCAGAACCCTGTCATCGTTAAGTAAAGCTTGTTGGACCCTTGTGGCCGATTGCCCAATGCTAAAATAAAACATGTCACCAGAGTTGCAAGGTAAAGCCATTCAAAAACAACGCCCAAAATGCTGCCGGCTCTGCCGAGAAGGTCAGCCGTACCAAGGGAAGTCGTCAAGATGCGAAAAACGAGGAAGAAATTTCCCTACTATCGGTTAGATTCTCATATAAAATCTCTTCATTCAGTGGACGGAGCATACAATCGCGAACCAGGCAAATAGCATATTGATCGTCTGATAAATAAATTCAATTAGTAGCATAAATTTTCGAGAGCCGCTGTGAGCGCTCCGCCAAATTTGGTAAAAGTGTGTGATGGCATAGACCGCGGCGAAAAAGCTCCCGTTCAGCCAACGCCGTCGTTGAAGGATGAACTCCGCCATGCGATCAGGAACATCAGTTTCGCCACTGGCGGATTTAACGTACTGCAGGATCCATCGGCAGTTGCGCTTAGATACCAGTTCAAAGCAGAGAATTCGATCTTCTGCTAAATACATGTTTGCGGTGAATATGCCAGCATTTGCGCCGTGCATTTTCTCGCCCGCAAAGTATTTCTCTAGTGGGCCTTGGTCATTCTTGTCGTTTTGAAGCGCAACGTAGCGATAAGCTGAAAAGGCTCCCGGGAGGACGGAAATAAATCCAAAAGCCGATTCCAGTGGCTTGTCGAGAATGTTGCTCATTTTATATTCAAAATTCTGGGTCGCAACCAGGGGGTTAATCAGCTTCTTGCCGCGGTCCAACATCACCTTGATCTCCCCGCAAGCACCGCCACACATCGGCTCTAGGTCGAACGCGCGCCAGAGTTGATAAATGGAATCTTTCCCTGGTTTGGTACCTGCGTCAAGAAGGACGCAAATATTCGGATCCAGGACACGTCCGAACGCTTGAAAGAACCAACGGTGGGAGTTGATTTTCTTTTGGTTCTTTTCCTTTAAGCAAAACAGCATTTGAACGGGCATACCCCGTCGCGGCTTGAGGAGCACTTGGTTGCCTTTCAACTCCATGCCCATTTGAGTTGTATATTCATAGATGTGAGCAGTCACGTCCTTTCCGTTGACTTGCTGCTTGGCAATTCCATCTTGATACACCCCCAAACCGGCCAGAACCGCCCGTGTTCTGGGATTGATCTTTGCACGGCCATCGCTGACGACACAGACCACGATCTTCTTCCATGCCTCCTTTCCCCAGGTGTTGCTGTTTGATCTGCCGCACATGTAGTCGATATTTTTGAAAACGCCAATCATCGTTCGCGCAAATAAAAAGTCATCCTCGTTATACATGGTGACTACAATGAACAGCTCGGTATGTCTCGGCTTTGCAAACAACCTTTGGCGTAGAGTAAATCGCTCGTTGTAGAAGTCCTTTGGATCGCAAGTAGCTGCTGAGTAGCGCATGTGTGTAAATTCATCTCGTTCTGGCGGTGCAACATGATTGATCTGGCTCAAGAGCCTTGGCGGGATCGGACAGTCAAGGACCAGGTTGCCATTGAACAGCTGAACCTCCTTGACCGTTTTCCACCTCCGTAGGGGTGCAGGACTGGGGGTGGTAGCAATGGCGGATGTATTGCTGAAGGCTCCGTCCTCCGGTTGAGGATTCGGCCCAAAAGGAGTATCCGATAGGAGGATGGGAACTTGGTCGTCATGGTATCTTTGAGGATAGTTTGTGAGGTCGTAATCGTCGACTGACGAAGGAGTGGGCTGGTAGGGCGGATTAAAGTACGCATCATGATGGGCCTCCGGAGAGATAGTGTAGTCGCGATGGGGGCCGGGAGACGGTCGATAGGGATGGTTTTGCTCAAAAGTCTCGTTATGCCCGAAGGAATTCCGATATTTCGACCGAATACTATAAAGTAAGACATGTTTTCAGCCATCCACGAGTTCCATACGCAGGTAGGTAATAACAGTGCATACGGTAGGTTGATCCAATAGCCGATCAGTCGATGGCATTGGTATATGGCCATATTGCTGATATGGATCGTCTTCCAATTGGTATCCTTGAAGTGGCCTGCCTGGAGAGGATCTGCGATGAGGATGGAGACTCTGGGCTTCCATTTGGGGCGGCGGCTCGTCGTCGAGGACAGGGTCTAGTAAAGTTGAATGTCAGTGATCTTGCGGCGATGATTTGAGGCCGGAAATATCAAGACGGTGCATTCCACGCTTTCTGCAGCCGAAATCGACGAGCAAAGAGAAATGCGGGGGGAAGCGCCGTAAGCCGAGGAGAATAGCAGTAGCACAATGCAGAGCGCATCAGGCAGCTTCGAATTGCTTTGCGGAATGACGTTTGCAAAGCGTCGTCAGTTGTGCGGTCGGCCAAGGCTCATGTTTCAGGGCGATCTCCAGGATGATGGACATCCCCGGTCGGCCGTGGCAGCATTCCCGGGAGACGCATCACCGTGCAGCACGAGTGCGAAGCCGCAGAAGACGCACCGGAGACTGGGCCCAGCCGGGACGGGTAGTAGGGAAAGAAAGAATCACAGCCTTGTCCTGCCGTCAACCACACGCAGTTGACTTACTTGGGAGTCTGTTGTACGACATCCTGCCGTCGACGCAACCCTTCTCGCGGGTTATACAGCTGGAGTAAGGCGAAGAGTGTCTTGACGCGCACCGGGGGGTTGAGAGAGGTAGTTAACCAGCTAGGTAGCTCTCAGGCGAAGGGAATGACGCTCCCCACGATGACGGCGGACTAGTTAGAGGGAATCACAAGATCGACTGTGCAACGAGTGGAGGTGGACTGGACAAACGACGGGACGAAGCAGCAGATGGAGAGACAGACACACAGAGAGAGAGAACGCGAAGAAGACGAGCAGCTGGTCAAGAGAGAAATGCAGAGTCGCAGCTCATGGCGGCTGGTTTCCCAAGCAATGCGCCAAGACCCGTGGCTGAGCTCCCGGTTTCGTCTTTTTGCTGAAGAACATCCACGAGCACAGAGAGAGCGAGATGCAGAGATGTGCCCTGAAAGGCTAAAGTCTCCTCCAGGTTCCTGGCTCGCGGCTACCAGGGCTCGCGAGGTCTCACGGCCATACCATTGGGCAATTGACCGGCCTCTTGCTGGATTCGTGGCGCGCAACGTGTCCGCCGTCTGCACAGCCGAGAGGGAAAAAGGAAAAAGCTCTGCGTCTGGAGCTGAGAAGCCTGAGATGTCGCTTACAGCGAGCCTCTTTTGTTGGCAACTTTACCAGATTCAACAATTCACCGATGGGCGTGAAAGCTGGTGCCTCAGACCCTGACCTGCCAAGTCGGCTCTACGCTGCCCGTGGTGGCTTTGGATCCATGAAAGCTGTGAAGAAAACTGTGCTAATAATAGTGAAATCAACCTAGCGCTGCAAGTGAACTATAGTGATCTGGTGCTATGTGATAGTCTCGGAAGAGATGAGCCCTTGCGCAGAGGGCATATCGGGCCGCTCGATGCTACTTCTATACAGCCCGATATCAATCAATATCAATCTGACAAAGAGCTCCCTCTATCAGTAGGAACCTGTATACTCCGTTCTCTGTCATTAGCTTGTTATCAACGCGGTGTTATATAATTCCGCCAACAGGGGTGAATGGGATCAGTCGCTCCCGATCGTGCTTTGGTAGACGGTCCCAACCAGAACTCATCATCACACAAGGGAAGAAACAGGCACCTCTCTATTAGCAATATGGGCTCCATCTCCGAGCACTCCTCGTCAAACGACGGCCTATCCGTCCTCTTTGTCTGTCTTGGGAATATCTGTATCTTCCACCCCGCCCCCGCCTCCAGTCCAGCCACATATGGCTCTCTCCTAACTAACATCGATGACTGACAGGCCGGTCTCCCATGGCCGAGGCGGTATTCCGACACCACATCGCCAATCTCCCCGCCTCGTCTCCTCTGAAATTCAGTACCGTCGACTCCGCTGGCACAGGTGCCTACCATATCCACTCTCCGCCCGACCCCCGCACCATGTCCACTCTCCGCCAGCACAACGTGATTAAATACAGCCACTCCGCTCGCAAGGTCAACAAAGCCGATTTCCGGGAGTTTGACTACATCTTCGCCATGGACGACTCCAATCTCTACGACCTGCTGGAACTACAGGAGAAAGTCAAGAGGGACGATGAGAAGAAAGGAGATACCGGCCACAGGGCCACTGTAAGGCTCTGGGGCGATTTCGCGCGCGATGGGAGTGTTTGCGACAAGGTCGGCGGCGGGGAGAGCGTGCCGGACCCGTATTACGGTGGTAATGATGGGTTTGAAGAGGTATACAGTCAGGTGGTACGGCACACTGAGGGCTTCCTTAAATATCTGGAAAGAAAAACCGCCGAAAGCTGATGCCAGACACCGCTCAAGACCTGTTTTCTCTTTGCAGGGCCATTACGGTTGGAGCTTGGGCCCAACAAAGGTCCGTAGCAGGGGCGGGCAGTTCACGCTCTACATCACCCCGTTATACCCACTCTATAAGAATTTCATGTAGCATATCAATCAATAAAGGGGTGTACCCACGAGCTTATATGCCCGTTGCTGTGGCACACTTATGTACAGACGGCAGCACATGCTGGAAACCATATCCACCTCGTAGTGCCGCCCCGAGGCAGCGTTGACGGATGTCGGGTTCGAGTCATATTTTTTCCGTGATTTTGATTGCAGCCCTGCAGCCCAGTCGGATGACATTAACCAGTGGATCGTACGGCTTGGCCTCCTTTGCATCATTCTCTACGGCGTGATCCAAGTGTTCCAGCTCTTCATCGCGTATCCTCTTCAGGGTTGTGACCAATTCTCTCAATTCGCCGTCTATCTCTTCTCCCCTCTGCTCTGCATCGGCAAACCACTCAAGCATCACCCGGATCTGATCGTTGTAGTGCGTCCCGATTTCCGTTTCTACTGCTTCTGTGCAAGCCATAGCAGCCTCTCGTCCCATGATTCCCGTACTCCAGCCCAAAAACGACGATACGCCCTGCCAGATCGGGTACATAACAGTAGGACGCACGCGATGCTTCGCGATCAGGTTATTGAACGTGTCGAAATGGCCGGCCTCTTGGTCATACATGTGTTTCATGAGCGGGCGCAGGTGAGGGTGGGAACGGACAACGGGCGGCGATTGTGCAGTGTAGATATGTGTAGCGGCAAGCTCCCCGGCTTGGTTGACGCGGAGGGCGCTGTCAAGGAAATCGCGTTGCGCCTGGGTGAGGACCATTCGCGGCCTGGTCGACGATGCGACGGAGCTGTGTCGGACTGGCGGCTGGGAAGCCCGCAAACATCTTGAGCAGATAGAACTGGAAAAGGCCCCCGCACGCCACAAACGAGCGTGTCCGAGCAAAACACTGCGTGCATCCATCTCCGCTGCAGCAATTCGAAGCAAGCAAAGACCAGAGAATCTCTTTTCGAGGCCGTGGCTGGTTTCCGGTGACGTGATTCGAGCCGGGGCGCCGCGCTCTCCGATTGGCTGGGTGGTGCTCGGCCCGGAACATCCTTGCGCCGACGCTGCTGAGTCAGCCGCAACTGCAGTTCGGATCATCGATCGAACGACGAGTTTGGCGACGTCAAGGTGGCCCTGCTGTACATTACACAGCGCTGTGTTATTCCTGTCTTCCTGACTCACTGCCACTCCCAGCCCCCCTTCCCGCTTAAAACCAGAGCCTATATACAAAGGGTGTGACACTGGACTGTTGAGAATCCTGGGCTGCAAGCACCTCTGCACAAAGACCACCCCCTATCAGATCCTGATTGCCACTCCCACTCTCCTCCTCTCTCACTCCCTTGCGGAGTTTGTCACTGTTTGCCGGGGGAATCTGCATTAACAGGTGGCAGGTTCCATCAGTTCTGGCGCCTCACAGGCCTGTTTCGACGCTCTTTGATACAGTTCTATCCACTGCTCACTGTCCAAGATGGCTGACCTGGACGCCGAGCTTCTCGCTTTGGCGGGAGGGGATGATTCATCAGATGAGGGAACTTCCACGCCAGCCCCTCAAAAAAATCTCTCCCCTCTTCATTCCTCCTCCAAGGAACAACACTCTGTTGAAGACCAAGTGGATGAGATGGCGCGCAAAGGGATGGCAAGACCTGTCAAGCGGAGAAAGAAGGTGAAGGATGATGAAGAAAGTGAGGAAGGTGAACTGTATGTACCCTGCACATCCTGAATATGCGTTCTTTGCCTTCTGTCCAGCTGCTGGAGGTCTCTTCGATCTTCTGTTCTGCTTTTCCATGTTCGTTCTTGCACATCCCGTTTGCTCAATGTCCATGGCCGCCATAATCCTCCTCATCAGTTTTGTCTCCTTGAGAGATAAAGCAATATCGAGTGTCCCTAACAGCCAAAATGTCTAGTTCTTCCTCGACCCCCCGCTCTCGCAAGTCCCTGAATTCCGCGTCCATGTCTGAATCCGACTCAGAGACGTCGTCGCATGCCGAAGAGAAGCAGGGCCCCATTTTCCCGTACGAAAAACTATTTTACTCTGCCAAAGACAAGGATGAGATCATGGCCATGCCGGAAATCCAGCGAGAAGAGCTGCTTTCTGAAAGAGCTCAACTCGTCGATCGCCACAACCAGGACCTTGCTCTTCGTCGCCTGCTTGCTATGCGGGAGCGCGAGGAGGCGAAGGTTACTGAGAAGAGAAAACGCAAGGCTTCTGACACCGAGGGCCAACGCAAGAGCTCGCGTCAGAAGACCACGCTAGGTGGCCGGAAAGTTGGCGAAGCCTCCGGTGCGATCGAAGCCTACAAACGCCAGCGGGAGCAGAAAGGCAAGCGTGAAGAACAGCGTCGCCGTGATGCCAGTAGCAGGAAGAAGGGCGAGCGGTCCGCATCCCCAGACGGCTCAGATGTCGACGCCCATGGTGAAAGTGAGGTGGAATGGGACGATGACGCTCGTCGCCGTTCGACATCACCAGCCAAGGATGCACTTCCTGCTGAATTTCGAGACTTTGAGCGCGCACGAGTCAGCCGGCGCAACTTTGCACAATACTGCTTTTACCCAAATTTTGAAAAACTTATTGCTGGCTGTTACACTCGTCTGAACGTTGGACCTCATCCTGATACTGGAGAAACTGTGTACCGACTTTGTTTGATCAAAAGTGAGGACCTTGACCTACATTTTCTACATATGTAATGCTAAAATCTGGCAGGTTTTGTTGAGGGTAGACCATATGCTATTGAAGGCCTAAACGGAAGGAAGTTCGTCACCAAACAGTATGCTGTCCTAGAGCATGGAAATTCGAAGAAAGAATTCCCCTTTATCTTCTGCTCAGACGGTCCATTCACGGAGGTGAGTATCATTAGGAGTGATCCCGCATGTTTGCAAGGATTGCTACTGACCGTGAGGCCGTGACATAGTCTGAGTTCAATCGCTACCGTCAGACCATGGTCGTCGAAGGCTTCAAAATGCCTACCAAGTCCGTTCTGGCTAAGAAAATCAATGATATTCACAGCCTGATCAACTATCAACTTTCCAAGGAGGAACTAGAAGAAAAGCTGAAACGTCAAGGCACCCATGACAATAAAATGGCCGTCTTTCAGCGTATTCAATTGCAAAAGCGTCGTCAGGAAGCACTTGCGTCTGGGGATGAAGCCGCTATCGCCGAGTGCGACACAGAGCTTGCCCGCTTGTCTGGTCCGAAATTAGCGTTTGGCACATCGCTTGTTGAACCTAGGTCTTCTGAAAAGACACAGCAGGAACGCCTGGCGGAACTCAATCGTCGCAATCAGAAACTCAATGCCGAAAATGTTCGCAAAGCTGAAATTGCAGAGCGACGAGCTGCTCGGCTGCAACAAGCCGCGGTTGCCCGTGGAGAAGCATTACCGGATCGGTTTGCTCGGGTGAAGACTCGTGCGCGAACGCATTACGACGCGAGCGGTAACCGTCTTGTGCCCAAAAAGGAACAACGTAGTGAGATCAGCGGTTCTGTCACCCCCCTCACTGCTGCTGGCACCCCGAACAAAGTTACACCCCCTCGTGGAGTTACGCCTGTCAATATCATCAAAAAAGACGCTCCAGCCCAGACCGGGATCCCAAAGCTTCGTTACGCGCCGAATGCCGACGAAATTCTCGCTGCCTCGCTGGATTTTGAAATCGATATTGAAATTTAAACGTCTTTACCGGAATAGGTAGTTACCGTTAAGTAGACTGTCTCGTGTCCCGTACAGGCTTTTCTTTTGGCGTTGGTCGACGGACGTATGTATTCAGGTGCTCCGGAGGGATGTACGGTGAATCAAAGCAAATTCGACATGGATTTCTCCTAGTTGCAAATGAATTAATGGCTTTATGTACTTTTAATCTTTCAGAGCTAGTTACTTCTCTGCTAGCGAGCTTTAGATTCCGGTTCTTAGGGGGAATAAAACCTTTCGCAATGCGATATCCCATATATCAACGCACATTCAGGGGCTACTAATAGTTATGCAAACAATGCAAATATCGATGAAGCTGGCGTGACTCGCATGACGTCAAGCGCGTCCTGACGCGTATCGAGTTTGGACAAATCGCGTCGCTGCGGATCAACAACAGTCTCACGCATCTGAGCTAGAACCACAACTACGGTCTCATAATGAATAGGCCAGCGCGGTCAATGTTACGACCCTGCAAGTGAATTTTTCCCTATTTCTCAAAACGTATTCGAGATCAATTGCGCCATCATGTCGAGCCCATCGACTCCACGGTCGATCGCGTCGCGGCAAAGCCACAGCGAGGGAGAAGCGGGCTCGCCGGGCGTGTTGACTCCCGGAAGGAAGATCAAAGCACTTCTTGCGGAATTCGATACCGATTCGGAGTCTGAAGGTGAAATTATCGCGGCTAAAACGCGAGGTGATTCGGGCCTGTTTACCCGAGCGAACGTACAGAAGCGGACTACGGTCAATGCCGTCGATAACGATGGCGACGATGACAACGACGATGTTCCAGTTGCTCCACGCGGACGACTTGCAGCGAGGCTACACGCTGCTTCCGAGCCGCGGGAGAACCAGGTTGGGAACTTTTTTAGGGAGCTGCTCGGCGATGATGTTATCGATCAAGGGGATGTATCAGAAGATTCGCAATCATCGTCAGGAGACGTTCGCCTTGCAGTGCGGAACCGGACGTTAAGATCGAACCCCAGCACTCTTCGAGATGACATGTCACACCGAGCCTCCTCTCCCTTATTCATTCCTCAGGATTCACCGATTAGGCCTACAAGTACGACCACCCATGACGCCTCTGATGCGGAAAGCGAGGTTCTGGCACCCGAGAAACGCTCCCGGTTACAGGCCCTTGTCGAACAGAAGCGCAAGGAAAGAGAGGAAAAGGAACGGCTGGAAACTGAGAAAAGGGCTGAACGGATGCAAAGACTCGCGGAGGCTAGAATGCAATTGACATCCGACGCCGAAAATGCCGATGGGGACGAACAAGAAGATGCTGAGGCTGCTCGTAAACTTTCGCAGTATTCTCGCCCTGCGCGAAAAGCGAGTAAGAAAGCCCTGCTCGAGATGAATCGTGAAACACAGCGGATGAGCCGTAACATGCAGCTCGCTCACCAAGCGACAACGAAGAGAAAGTTTACTCTGAGTGGTTTTATTGAGCGATTCAATCAAAAGTGCAATGTTGACCATAGCATCGTTTGCCGTGATGCGGCCACGGACACGCACAGTTCGGCGATTGCAAGCTCAGTACATCATTCTGATGATGACAACGTCGAGCAGGATAGAGAGTCGACTCCGCCGACCTCCCCGTTGCCTTACGCATCAGAAAACGATAAAGAACCAACCACCGAAGGGGGTACGTTTTTGAACCAACTTGAAAAGGAAATGGTTGCTGAACTCGCAGAAATCAACGAGGAGCTCGGCAACATTCCCTCCAAAGAGCCAGCGACGAAGCAGAAAGACACCATTTCGAAACGAGGGAGTGCTGCTCCAGCTGCCCGTCCAATACGTGTTCAACTGTCAAGACAAACCGTGGCTGAAAGTCAGAAAAACGACTCCGATTCGGACTTGGAAATCGTTACATCGCCAGCAAAGGCGCGCAAACTGGCCCTCTTTGAGAACTTCTCTGCAAAATCATCTGCATCGGCTGATACTCTCCGGAAACTGAAGCTGTTGGCGCGGATTACCTCGCCCAAGAAGAATCGAACCTTGACTCGCGCGGAGCATGAGCAATGGTTGTTCCAGCAGGCGAGAAAACAAGCTGCACAGGAACGAGAAGAGAAGATTGCAGCGCTCCGGGCAAGGGGTGTGATCCTTCAGACAGCAGAGGAAAAGGCCCATATAGAGGATGACGTTGAAAATCTGATGGAACGCGCGCTCGAGGAGGCTGAAGAGCTTGCGCGGAAGGAGAAGGCTGCGAAGAAGAAAGCCGGCGAACGTGCTGCGGAACTTGATGATAGTGAGGATGCGGAATATGACGAAGGCGAGGAAGACGAGCAAGAAATGGAGGATGGCGATGATGAGGAAGACGAAGTCTCAGAGGAGGGCGAGTCTGATGATGGGAATGCTATCGGAAATGAGGAGTTGATAATGGGCGAAGCAGCTGACGAGTCTGACGAAGACGCCTCCGAAGAGGAATCGCCAAACAACGACCGGCCGACTGGAGTATCACAGCGGCAGAGAAGGCCAAAATTCATTGTTTCTGATGATGAAGACGACGAGAAGCCAGCTGCCGTCGCCCAAACTCCGGTTAAACCGTTCATTCCAGGCCTGGGACCCCAGACAATTCCGCTCATGGGACTGTCTCAAGCCTTTGCCGCCACTCTCGCTGAGGACCATGATGATTCCAATGAGCAAGACTCACTTGCGGCGCTCCGCCAGATGCCCGAGTTTGATGTTCAGGTCGGAGACCTGCTCGAGCCGGATTCCCAGCACATTGTCCGTGACAGTCAAGCAGTGGATGCTGGGACACTCGATCTGCTCGCAGACTTCACCCAGCACGATGCACGCATTCTTGAATCGCCAGCGGCCAAGACAATGAGCGATTACTCGCAGATTCCAGAGCCTAGCCAGGATGTCGGGTTTGTGATGTCCCCGTTTGACCACGGGAAACGCTTCTTGACGCAGCCCAATTCGACCCTAGACACGGTGCTTCTCCGTAAAGATGCATCACCCATTGCAAGGCGGGAAGGAAGGCGTCTAAAGCGGGGAGTTGTGCACGCGCAATCCGATACCGAAGACGGCTTTCTAGTTAAGCCCAGTGCCTTTGACGTTATGCGCAAAGCAGCTAAGAAGCCAGTCACACCGTTTGATAAGAAGAACAGCAAGGCAAAACAGGTGGTCGATGAAGCTGCAGAAGAGTCCGAAGACGAATATGCCGGATTGGGAGGCGCAAGTGATGACGATTCAGGCGAGGACGATGAGTTGGATTTGACAATGATCAATGATAACAGTGCAGAAGTCGTTGATGAGCAGGAGTTGGCTGCTCTGAATGCGTGAGTGGCATCTCTGATACCTGTCAGGGGGTTGGTTACTGAGGCAATGCTAATCTCTTTTCTCATACAGCGACCACGCAAGACAGAAAGATGAAGGAGAAGTGAACAAGCTTCTTCGCGATATCACCACTGGCGCTCTTCGCCGAAAACGCGGCATGGGCGATGATTTCGACCTCTCCGACTCGGACGACGAACGCATCGCAGCTCGCCGTCGGGCGAAACAGCGAGAATTTGCCAAAATGCGCAAAGCGTTGTTGGCCGATGAGAACATTACCAAACTCGCAGACGATCCCAAGAAGCAAGCCTTCTTCAAAACGATTGAGGATAGGGACGTGGATGATGGGCTGGATTTCTTGCGTGATGAGTACGGCGAATCGAATTCTGATACAGGCGCATTGCTCGGCGCACAACCTGAAAGCAGCCAAAGTGCCAGCGACGAGCCTGGCAGAGATGGACGAAAACGACCGTTGAACACCGCCGGGCTTGATGTGCTCAATCGGCCCCCAGCCAAACTCCGCCGTACAGCCGGGGACGGCAAGAAGAAGCCCTCGACGCTGGCGGAAATCCGTGCTCAGCTCTCCTCCCTTATCGGAGAACCGGACGCCCACGACGCAGAGGAAATGGTGCCGGACAGCCAGCCCGACATGCCCAACGACGAGGACGCTCCTACGGGCCGCGAGGAATCGCCCGGCCGCCAGGAACCCGCGCAATCTACGAATCCCCGCCGGCGTGGCAAGGTAGTCGACCGCCTGTCTCTCCGCCGGGCTGCGTCCTCCAATGCGGCCATGTCAGCCATTGCTGGCGGTGCAGGGTCCGGATCCTCATCGTCTAAATTCGCCTTCCATACCTCGACCACTGCACCCGAATTCAAAAGCCCACCACCTCTGCTTCTTCGACGGACCACCACGAATTCCTCCCGCTCTTCCTCCTCCACTTCCTCGTCCTCGAGTGGCGTCAGCACGCCAGCCGCCATTGCTGTGGTGAAATCTGATAGTACCAGTGCTGGCGGAGCCAATCTGGGGAAGAAGGGGGCGGTTAATTATTACGCGGCCGCAAGAGAAAAGGAGAGAGAGCTGCAATTAAAGCGGAATTTGATTAGAGAAAATGCTGCGAGTAGAAAGGCCCTGGAGGAGCATAGGGCGAGTAGAGAAAAGGGCTTGACGGGGCTGCTGGGTGGTGGAAACTGGGAGTAGCCAGGTGGATTGTATGTACATACGCTTTCATATTATCTATGAAGTGAACGGAATAATGGGAAGTATGACGCCTCTTTGTAATGTATTTTGTGCCTCCAGGGGCATGTCCCTCTCAACCCTCTATGCAAGGCAGCAGACCCTAAATCTGCGTCCGACCCTTTACTTCCGGGTAGAAATAATACTGCAGACAACCTCCTGCGTGATCCGTGTCCTTCCTTCAGCCAGTCTCGGTTGGTAAAATCTCCCAATCCATACTAATTAGCCAAACCTCTGCCCTCCGTGCTGCAGGACTCTTCCCGTTGTTGCCGCAAGGGCTAGCAATAGCATCACTATGCTCCAATGGGTCGATTTCCATCTCCCATGTAACCCCTCGCCGAATTCCTACCCAGTCTCCCTGTCGGATTTCCTGTATTAAGGATAGCGCAGGAGAGGCCGGGGGCTCGAAAAGCAGAATGCGGTTTTGCAACGCAGGAGAAGGCTGGACTTTGGAGGGAGATAGTAATACCACAGGGGCCGGATGACCAGGTTTGGACTGCCCTTGCCTGCTCTGATCCCCGTGAACAGGCGCTGTTGAGGTTCGAATTTCGCCTACCTGGGCGATCAGTCGATATTTATCTGAAGCCTGTGCGGAATCAAGCGGCGGAGGGGCCTGTGTCATTTGTTTCCTTGCGCCCATGTCCAAAATCCAACCCCGAACATCGGACGCCATGCCGCCGGGTAGAAATGAATGGGGTTTTGAGCGGCTCTTTTGTTTGGAGTGAGGAAAAGAAATGGAGCTGGTTACTGTTGCTGGGACGCCATTTTCTGCTGTCTGAAGAGGTATCTGTGGTAGTATAAAGTGTGGTTTTGACCGCTGGCTTGAACACGCAGTGGCTGTCGTCCGGAGTTTAGGGCTTATGTTCCTAGCTCTGCCCGACCGCCATGGGGTTTGAGGGGTCGAATTGAATATGAACCGCGAAGGTCTTTGAGACGCAATTTGCGGCACCGCTTCCCTCGATTGTAACTGTGTAGAAAGCATGTGGTTGACCGTTGGAGATGGTATATCATCTAACAATTCAGTAGGTGACGACGCCGGCTCCGCCTGAAGGGGCGATGATGGTGACGGGGAGGAGCCGGAAGAGATCTGGTCAAAGTCTTTGGTGGTAACCGGCCCCTTCTCCGTCTCATCAACCGACGTGATGGATAGACGTCGGCGTTTCGACTGACGCTGGCTTGGAGATGCGGAAAGCAGCATCTCAAGGTCATCATCGGATGCATTGGTGCTGAGCGGATCCGTCTCCAGGTGGCTTCTTCTCAGTATTTCGGCGCAGTCTTGGTCCTCTGCAGAATCGTCCTCGGAATCCTGGATGACATCCTTCAGTCTGACCTGCTGGCGAGCCCGTGTGTCTGGCACTGTTTGCCGCGCTTGGCCTGTAGGCGAAGAGACCAGGCTGCCAGCATCGATCTGGTCTCGCGAGTTTCTATTCTGCCTTGGAGTGAAAATAAATCGCGGAGTTGCGGCGAACTGCGTCCTTGAGCTGGATGGCCCCGAGGAACCAAACACGAACCTGGGTGTCCGTGATGCCGCTCGCGTCCCAAAAGGACTGTCATCTGGATCGATGTTTGGGTCATCCGCTCGCAAAGGTGTCTAATCAATGTGTGAGCATCCTCACCCGCATTCACGCAGCTAAAACTGACATGTTTTGGATTCATTGCGAAAACGCCTCTGCAGTTTGGTCACTCCGACCGGTCTGCATCAAGAGACGCACAAATGCAATATTTTCAGGCCGAAATTATCTTGATCAACAGAGAGCTGATCTTAGATTCTATGTTTGAAGTCTCCAGGAATTTTGTTCAAGCTAGGAGTCATAAGGCCATCAACTTTATGAGATTAGAGAATGCTCATTTATCAAATGACCACGGAGTACATAACTAGTTAACCAGCTATAGCCACAACATGTTGCATAAAACGAGGATATTGTAATATGTATATAAAATTCCCGAAGGTTTCATTTTATTAAAATACATCTATTATGTTCAAATTGAGAAAATGAGAATCCGGAGAAATACTCGGTGGGCGTCATGTCAGGCTCGAGTAATTGGCACAGCCTGTCTATCATCATTATTGTACGGCATCTGTTTCTCTGCAGTTATAGCCAAAATGCACATTGAAAATGCGAAGTCAGTGTGATAAGGAGTACTATGATAAGCAAACATGTATTCTGCACATATAACACCCGCAAAAGAAACAACCTCAACCCCAAAAGAACCAAGGATGCAATCTATCCATACTGTACATACAGCCAATGCCGACTTGAAGAGAAACCCATCACCACGCATAATACTGGTTCCGTGTCGTTACATGTCGATCCGGCAACTGTCTCCATACCTTTTTCTTCCGCAGCCTGATGTTTTTCTCTTCCCGTTCCTGCCATTCGCGGATGCGCGTCTTTTCTTCCTTGAGCACCAGGCTGATAGATGTGTATGGAAGCCGCAAGATGTGCGTGTTGCCTCTGCCACGGGGCGAAAGTTCCTTGCCGAATGGCCCTCTGTTCACCCACGCTTGGTCGATGTAGATCGACGTCGGATCCGTCACCACGTGGTATTTGCCGTCTTTGAGTTTCATTTCAACTGGCTTAGCGGTATCTGTTGAGGCGGCGAGGGCGGTGGTTTGGGTTTGCTCTGTACCTTCCGCCGCTTCGCTGAGGGTAGCCTGAACCTTGGCCTGGCCCAGTCCCATGCCCCGTGAAACGATGGCCTCGTTCTTGGCTTGTAGTAGGAATGCCTTGATATCCTTGGCAGCCTTCTTCTTGCTAAATCTCATCTGCAAAATCGCCTCGTCGATGTTTTTCCCAGCAATCTGTCTGGCCAAATGCATGAGTTTCTTCACCGAAGTCTTGAACCAATGCGACTTGCTTTGAAGCTCGCGCTCAGACTGCATGATCTGTTCTCTGCGGGTTAGCCGGCCTCGCCGGTGGACGGTCCGTATGATCATCTTCCGCTGCCATCGCGCCCGCCGGTTGGGGAAAGGATTCAGCGTTCGCTCCATGTTCGCGGTGTCTCGCTCGCTCAGGGGAGGTGAGTCGCTCTCGGCCGCGCCTCCTGGTGCGGCCTGGGCTGCTTCCGCACGTCGCCTGGGCGTTCGTCCCTCCGTGGTGAACTTGGGCACATCTTCCCCATCGGCGAAGATGGAGCCCGATGCAAGGGAGCCGCGCTTGATCGGGGGAGGTCGGAAGGGCACTTTCGCGCCGGGTTGCGCATCGGAAGAGTCAATTGAGGATGTAGGGGTCTCGGTAGCGTTTAGGAACGGGCTTGATAAGAATCCGCGACGGGAGATCTGGGGCAGCCGGGTTCTAGCTGTGGGAGCAGAATGTCAGCAAGGGGCAATGGACACATAGTTGGGCAGACGCATAAAACATGCCTGTCCGGGCCCATTGGCGGGACGCAAACGCAGCACACGCAGCCGCCATCCTCACTGGGGGGATTTCCACACTTGCAGGCTGATGGCCGTCTCGACGCTGGGGAGTTTGATGCTGCCAGTCAAAATGCTGAAAAAGGCCAGAAGGCGCTAGTCTGGATGTGGCTAGCAGAGGTAGCTGCTGACATAAGCAGCGGATGTCTTGGCGCGGACTGTCATCTACTCAGTCTCCATACTCCCGTATTTACCAGCAGATGAAGCAGGCTCAGGCAGCATCGCGAGGATGAGGATGCATTGTATTATTATTGCTAAAATCCAGTTGATAGTTGCACGACACATCGCTCAGAAAACGTCGACCGGGAAGGTCCAGGCACTGGTGTCTACAATCTACATCCGGCAGTAGCTTGGTATGATCGCGAATCCCATTGAATATCAAGACTGGACATTGGCATTTCGGGCCTGGCGGAGCATGGTTGACCAGTTTGCCAAACCAGGTGCCATTCCGGGCAGTTCAACTCTCTCATGGCTGGGTGGCGGCCTGGGATGACGTCGAAAGCACAAACTAAACACAGCACAGTGCTAGTTGACTAGCTCCAAGCGCCCAGTCCGATTTAGTTGTCACAAGGCTGGCTATCAAGAGATGAATAAGAATGAGCACAGCCCTCCCAGCCACCTCAAAGGATGCGCGGGATCGAGTCGCTTGCTCCACCGTTTGACAGAGAGCCCGCCTGGCGAATGATCACCTTGATCTCCAAGCGATCGCAGGAGGGCCTTCCAGATTGCAGTCCGTGCTGGTCTCGGCATCTTCGCTTCTGGGCCACAAGGCAGCTGGAAAAACTGCCAGCGTCTGGCTGCATGCCTGATTAGGTGGCAGTACCGAGTACAGAGTATCCTTCGCGGGTGTTCCGTAGTTAGTTACTCCAAATCGCTCTTTGGAGTGGGTTCCTTGTGTTTCAATAACGGCGGAGCACAGTGGAAGTTGTATTGGAGTTTCTCGTGATAGCCAGTCCGATTGCGATGTGAGAAACGAGAAGACCACAGCAAGTCATCTGGCGTCAGGGCGATAGAGTTGACGGCGCTGGTCTAGAATACGTCCATCCGGTTATTACTAAGGGCACGAGCCGGGATGCTCAATAAAGGTCATGAGACAGATTGAAATCAGCACAATGACAGTGCCTGGATGCAGGCTGACCAGCTGGCCACGAGGAAGACAGGCGAAAGGAGGCGGTTACTGCTCGACCAGCAACATAGTCAACTAGCTGTAGATGTTTAGATCTAGTTGTCTTCAGATGTAATTAGCAAGGCCCGTTGTAGGTGGTTCGTAGCTCAATTGCTGTGTGGAGCGTTGTCTCTTCCTTTTGGGGCGGGAAACAACACTGTTCTTCATCACCAACTCCCATCCATCGTCTCCCTCTCTCGTCCACATCCTCACCAACCCGCCCCATCTCCCTCTCCCTTCACCCTCACAGCTATCTTCGCTCTCGAATACCCAAAGCTGAGCCTGCTTGATCACCTCCCTCCGTCATGGGCCGCTTTTAACCCCATCGCCCTCCCTACCTCTCCAGAAGCGACCCACCTAAGGACCTAGCGAAAAAAAAGCCTCTGGCTTTGCGGTCTTCTGTTGCTTCTATCAACCCTCCCCAATTCTGCTGCTTTCGACTCTTGCACTAACTCTATCGCTTGTCGCGACCGCCTATTCTCCCTCCCGGATACAATACATCTCGCACCCGCCTCTTTCGCACTGCCGCCGCGCCGCTTCAGCACCCGGTTCTCGTCTCGTTGGCACTGGGGATTTATGCTTCACCACGAAGATCTCTCCTGCAGATCATCGGCGACCCTTGCTTGGTCGTCCCTTGACATCGAAAATTTGCGTGGTATCCGCGAGGTCAATCGAATTGGACCTGTGCTGAGGACAGACAGAGTCAAAGGGGCAAGGGAAACAGCGTAACGCTTCGAACGAGCGTCGGGGGAGGAGCCGTGAGGGATTTCTCCGAATTTGGACGAAGGACGAAGGGTCATGGACCTTTTCGATGCTCGGATCTGAGAATATTAGTAACTGATTTCTATCTGCTGAACATACTCGGTTTTGTTGCTCTCTCGTCCTTTCACTTCGGACGGTAGTCCAGCCCAAGAGATATCCTCTTTCTGCCCCCAGTCGGCATTCGCCGTGACGAGGGCCCTTATTCTCTCTTTCCAGTCTGCTCCCAAAAAAAAAAAAAAAAAAAACTCAGTGCACGCCTTGGTTTGCCAGGCAGCGTGAGGTCATCATGGACATCAATTCGCTTCTCTCCCACGATGCAGCGCCCGCCAACCAGGCCCGTAACGCCCCTACCAACCCTCCACGCAGAAGGCAATCACACAATATTCGCTCCAACCCAGCGCGACAGAACATGACTTCCTCGCCTCTCGTCCACCAGGTGCTGACGCCTTCAAACCTGCGCGACTCTTCCCCGCCTACCAGAAGTCCAGTCGTGGGCCCTGTGCGGTCAAGTGGTGCAACGCCGCCATCTGCCGACTTGCCTCCCACTCGACAAGCGTCAACCCCAGGAATGGACACGCTCGCAGATCTGGCATCGATGCAGCAGCATCAACCCCAACGATCGAACGCGCCCAGACTCAGGAACACGGAATCCTACGAGAGCCAGTTGTCCCCATCCACCATGTACCCCAACGTGCCTCCCGTCGCTCACACAACCCCAACACCCCGCCCTTATGAAAAGGCGATGTCTGACGGATCGGGAGATTCGCCTAGGAGGGACTATTCTAACACATGCCTAAACCCAGATGCCAGGAAACAGGCGACCGAGCTTTGCGCGGAGATCCAACGCAACCCTCATGCCTACGACTGCCGCGTCAAGTTCATCAAATTGCTCCATCAAGGCTTTGTTGACCATGTATACCCTCCATCGTCCCCGGGCTCTCGCGGCGATCCCCACCGATACGATGTTCTGAGAGACCTTCGAGCAGCGCGAGAAGAGCTAGACAACTTATTCGCGATCGGTGAGGATTTGTGGGTAGAGTGGATACAAGACGAGAGCTTGCTTGCTCGCACGGTGGAGGAACGCATATCGGTGATGGAGTTGTGCCAAAGATCCGTCGAGGAGGAGTTTGGAAGCACCAAACTATGGATAATCTATGGTGACTGGATGTTATACCTTTATGATGCTGCCTCCAAACCTGGTGAAACAGCCTCCCAAGGCCAGTGGACTGAAGAGGATAAGACTGTAGGCCGGGAAGTGTTTAGCTGGCAGTCTGTCATGGAAGTGTGGAGAAAAGGCGCCGAGGCCACGAGATGGCATATCAACGACAGTCACCTGGTCTGGAATCGATACCTTGAACTCGCTATGCGCGAACTTGCGAGCTCACCCACGCCCGACAAAGCATCACAGGTTCGCGGACTCTTTGAAAGCAGACTTCAAACGCCCCATTTGGCCTGGGACCAGACTTTCCAAATATTCTCCAACTTCGTTTCTACCTACTATAATGCGAGCTACGAGGATACCATGGTCAGTACAAATGCAAAAGCGGGAGACATCAAGGCCACTTGTGACGCCAGAGAACCAAATGAATTGGCGTTACAACGTGCAGTCGAATCGGGGGACACTGCCGCAGAATGGTCAGCTTATACCCAATATCTTGATTTTGAGACCTCGCATAAACACAAGAAACCTATCTTTGGTTTTCAGCTGCGGACGGCCTTGTACCAGCGTGCTCTACTACGATTTCCAACCGACGCAAACCTTTGGGATGATTATGTTATTTCCGTCGTCAGTGAATCCATGCACCACCACGTGAACGAACCGGTTATCCCAATAATAGAGCGTGCTGCAAGGCACTGTCCCTGGTCAGGTTCGTTGTGGTCGCAGCTGTTACTTTCTGCTGAACGGGCTGGTTATTCTTTCCAGGAAATCTCGGACCTGAAGCATAAGGCTACTCGTACCGGACTACTTGAGGCCGCGGGAGTGGCTGAAGTGTTGAAGGTCCACACTACCTGGTGCAGTTATTTGCGACGGCTACCATTCCAGTCCAACTCCACCGATGAAGACTTGGATGTCGCTGAAGTGGGGATGCGATCTGCAATCGAGAGTGTCCAAGCTATCGGCGATAGAGGCGACAAGGCGGTCCCGAATGACCCGCTCTTCCGACTAGAACGGATATATATCCGTTACCTTAGTGAGACCGGCAGCTGGGACAGCGCTAGGGAGACGTTCAAAGGTCTCGTTAGTCGCCACGGACATAGTTACGAATTCTGGTTAATGTTCTACAACTGGGAGCTCCTATGCTGGAGTAAATTTACACAGGGTGATGGCCCCAGGAAGGCCCCAAGTCCACACTATGCGACTGCGGTTTTGAAGCAAGCCCTGCAAAAAGAGGATCTTGATTGGCCTGAGAAGATTATGGATACTTATATCGCACATTGCGAGCAATACGAGGATGCCGAGGAACTTCAATTAGCCATCGTCGAGATTCGCCAGGTCGCAAAACGTGTTGCAAAGCGTCGGGAAAAGGAAGCATTAGAAGTGGCGACCCAACAGCAGGCCACTGTTGCTCAGGCAGTACAAGAAGCTCAGCATAACGTGGAAGAGGCTGCTGCACACGCTGGGAAGCGCAAGCGCGAATCCGCAGATATCAACGGAGTAGCGAGCAAGAAGCCTAAGGCGGAGGTTAGTGAAGCCAAATCCACAGAGCACGATGCGGTGCAATCCCTTCCGAAACGAGACCGCGAGAATTCGACCGTTTCAGTAAAGAATCTGCCTAAAGACGTCCCCATCCTCAAAATCCGGCAATTCTTCCGTGACGTGAGTTGACATGTAGTTGGCCCGCAGTTTACATCAAGTTAATTTGTCCTCTATTTTAGTGCGGTAAAATTAATTCGCTTAAGCTCATCCCGGCAGATGGGAATTCTGCGTCTGCGATAGTCGAATTTGATACCAAGGAGGATGCTGAAGCAGCCCAAACTCGAGACCAAAAGGTTTTGGAAGGACGTACAATCAGCGTTCAACTGGAAACAAAGGCCACTCTTTTTGTCACAAACTTCCCACCTGAGGCCGATGAGGCGTATATCCGTCGTATTTTCGGCCCAGTGAGTTCCTCCTTGATAGATGGCACATGATCTTTATTGATGGTTTACGTAGTACGGGGAGATTGCTGAGGTGCGGTTTCCTTCTCTCAAATTCAATACGCATCGCCGATTCTGCTATGTGCAGTTTGCTTCTACTGTCGATGCGCACGCAGCACTCGAATTAGACCAGGAGCCTGTAGGCGAAAATCTCCATCTCGTGGTAAAGATATCCGATCCCTCAAAACGCCAAGCACGTTCGGGGGCCTTCGAAGAGGGCCGTGAGATACACATCTCCAACCTTGATTGGAAGGCTACCGAAGACGATTTGGTTGAGCTTTTCATGGCCTTTGGAAAGGTCGAAGTCGCCCGTATCCCTACAAAAGCCGATGGTGGCAGTAAGGGATTCGGGTTTGTAGCATTTTCTACTCCTGTAAGCTCATGCTGAGACCTTACTTTTATTGTGCAGCAGCTCACCGTACCATAGGAAACAGCAAATGCTGCCTTGGCAATGGATCAGAAAGAATTCCGTTCCAGGCCGCTTCGCGTCAAGTTATCTTCGCATACTGGCGCCAAACGGTATTCTACTGCAATACTTTCCCGCATTGGAAGGTCAAAATCTCCGTCGATGGAACCAAACGGTGGTGCATCACCAGCGTCAGCGGCTATCAGCCAAGGCGATTTGCCCGTGGGTGAAAAGAAGCTTCGGACCCTTGGTTTGATGAATATTCCGGACACCGTGAATGACTCTCGCATCCGTACTCTTGTCGAGCCCTACGGTCCTCTCGTAAAGATTATTCTTCGTCCCGACCATCAAGGTGCGATGGTTGAGTTTCGGGATGTTGGCGATGCTGGAAAAGCGGCGCTCGGCCTTGACGGTCGGGAAATCGCGCCGGGCCGTCGAATCCATGTCGGGCCGGTATCTGAAATGCTTAAGCAGCCCGCCGAACACAAGGTTGACCGCCTTGAGGTTGGAAAACAAAAGCAAAACCAGAAACCGACGTTGATGACGCAGCCAGCGGCCCCTATAATGAGACCTGGCCAACAAGGCCGAGCCGGGAAAAGAGGTGGGCTAGGTGTCAAAAGAGGTGCCTTCAAGGGAAAGACCACCACTGCCGACAATACAGGAGGGAGAGAAGGGGGGCATCTCAACGATGGCGGAACGGCAACTCATGAGGGTGCATCGACACAAGCTCCGAAGTCGAAAAGCAACGACGATTTTCGGGCTATGCTGGGCCAAACCAAAGCCAAGCCTGCGGGGGCATGATGCATATCAATTTGAAGAATATGCACAATAATGGACGGTCGGCTTTCGTACCGAATCAATGACGGCGCCCTTTCTGTTTCTTTTTTTTTTATTTTGGACAAATAATGATTCCGGGATGGTCTGGGGCAAAAGGGAAAATGGAAACCGTGAATAGGAAGGGAAAATAAACAGTCTAATCTTTAATGATACGGTGACGGTGGGGGACAATTCGATCCCGCCTGCTCTTCTCTGGCTGATTGAAGGTGCCAGCTGGCTGCTGGGGTTGACAGAACAGCAGGGTTGGCCATGTTTGGGTGAGGATGATTGTTCCTGTTATTTGCATTTCATATGTTCTGACCTATGGGAACTATCAAGATCTGGCTCCTTTTACTACTATTTTTAATTTCTGCATGCATTTCCTTTCCTTGTGCTTTCCATATCAATTTTGTTTCTTCAGTGTATTCTTGCCTGCTTGTCTTTTAAAATGATGGTGTCCTCTGCTCTATCGGAGTCTGCATACATTGTTTCCCCAGTACTTGGCTTTGCTTCCCACTTCAGGTTTGGCCGGAATGTCTCCCTTTTCTTCGTTGCATTTCTTTTCTAGCGGTGCGATATCTGACTCGATGATGATGACGAAGCTAGATGCATCAAAGGAACAGCGTTCTGCTTCTTTTGGCCCTTTTGAGATGCATTGTGGGTATTGGGGGCATTTATTCTCTTCTCAGCTTGTCTCAGCCTTTTTGCTCAGAGCATGATAATGTCTGCGATGAAATCCTCTTCACAGCTCCAATTTGATGCCATGATACTTGCTACAAGGGGCCAAAAAATACCATGCGTGAAAGGTAGTACTCATAGTGGCCCAAGTCAACTATTTGATAGTGCAAGGATAATCAGTAGGGTCATTGTGTTAGCCATGTAACTAGCAGTTACTCTTATGTCCAGGCAGCCAAATAACCATCAGGAAGGTGCCCAAGTGAACATTATTTCAATTTCGATCTATTTCTTCTTCTGCACCACAGTCTTATATATTTTAGTTGTTGTTTGATTGTAATCCTTCATTGTTTGTTATATTTTAGCCAACTATTGAAACGCTTGATGCCGTCATCTGTGAACCAAGTCTCCTCCCACTGCGGGTGTTTACGAGGACGCCGTCCCAGCAGCGAGCTGACCACCTAAAGATCCACAGACATCGCTTCAACTCACATTTTTACCGCATAGAGATCCTTCGCAAAGTCTAGGAAGGCTTTGTTGTCTGTCTTTCCCCGTCTACCGATATCCTCAACAGACCCTCACTGCGTGATCAACCAAGACCATCCCCAGGATCCTAGAATCAGTCGCCATCCTGGATTTCCATCTAGTGCCCGGGGAAGGGCGGCGAAACTACACTGGATTCGTCACCAAGACGATTCTTTATTCTGCTACATTATTCGTTTTCTTAGCTGGTACGAACCATCCCCATGCCACGCCGGGCGCGCAAAGGTGATTCGAGCTGACGGATGGGCCTGACAGCTTCCGCACTGACGCTGGCGTCAATCATCTTGCCGAAATGGCTCGGTTATTACAGTGAAACGGTCTGTATCCCGCTATACCTCCCTGCTATGATTGCGCCGACTGATTTGGCGCGGACCTTCAGCCCTCCGGCACCAAATTCCATTACACCTACGGCCTTCATCGCCGCTGCTCTTCCCTCACGCAGTCCTGCGAACCGTTTCCTCAGTATGAAAACTGCCGGGGCGAAGAGGATGGATATTTTTGCTCGATGTGGCGCTCTGTCGCCTTCCTCATGTCATTCGCCGTTGTTCTCGAGGGCATGACGCTGATCACATATATTGTGATCTTGTCCGGTGGGAAGCAGATGAGAGAAACAGGGTGGAAGGTCCTGACGGTCTTCCTGGTATTTATAACCTTGGTGCAATGCGGGGCGATGGCGCTGGTGGTAAGTCTGGGCACTTTTGACAGTGCAAAGAGCTATTCAAGACGCTAACTACGGGTTTCCATTGTAGTCATATCTTTTTGACAACGATGATCGATTCTATCCGGGTTGGAAACTGGATACTTCTTGGATACTAACAGTGGTCAGCATGTGTCTGGCTGGGTTTAACGCCGTGATTATCTATATGACCATTCGTATGCTGCCGTCCGAGGCCGGATATGAACTAATTGCAGACAATTCATGATTGCCACTCCAGATTCCCTGTTCGGTTTACGACTCAATGGATGCCTGCGCTTCCAGTTATGATGCTTTTGGTAACAATGAAAGATAACCCTATGGTTTTGTGCTTTTAACACTACGGTAACTAATGGTTCGGTGGCTAGTTTAATTTCTGGGATTTCCCTGTACTGCATGGCAACGATGATTAGTTAGTTATCTCTAAGGAGAGTAATAAGATATGTATCTACATCGCATTTGTGCATATTAATACTTTCTCAAATTTCTGGCTTCCTTGTCCCGACCCTTTCACAGGTCTTACCACCACAAAGAATCGGGGACTCGTTGCATGGCATGATGGCACAATGACAACACAACACCCTAGATATCATGATGCTGTTTTTAGGCACGGAGGATCTATGTTCCGCCTCAGCCTGATGCCAGTTCATCACGCAGCAAGCAAGATATCGCCCGATTTCACCAACGCATTGCGTGTGAATTGAAGATTTGACATGTTTGAGAAATTGCCTCTGCTGATTTTGCCTTCTTGAGGAGCCTGTGCTACTGTTGTCTGCTGATACTGGTGTTTTCCCCCGCAAGCATTGTTCAACTCCTTGAAGCCCCCTTAACCAAAACACAGCGCGTACCGTGGATCGGGCCGGGCATAACCCTGCCTATTCTCCTCCACAGGGTCCAGTAGAACCACCCATCATGACTTCTCTAAGGTTCCATCCTCTAGCCAGTCGGACTTTCTTTTGGTTGACTGTACTAAAGCTTTGTAGGTTTCGCGGCGTCTCTGTCGTTACCATCACTGTTGGCGAATCGGCGGCTCAGTTCCAGGCTCACAAAGATATACTGTGTGAAAAGTCCCCCTTCTTCAGCGCGGCCCTGACGCGAGACTTCAAGGAAGCCGCCGAAAATGCGGTGTCTTTACCAGAGGACGACCCGGACACGTTTGAACGGTTCCTACAGTGGCTCTACTCTGGGAGATATATCCTGTCTGGGATTGGCTCTGACGAGGAGGTAGACGAGCGATATCTGCAGCTCGCACAGCTCTATACGCTGGCTGATAAGCTGGAAGTACCGCCGCTGAAACATGAGATAATCGATGAACTGTTTATGATGAAGAGAAATCCGGACAAACCGCCGCAAACCGAAGTCATTGCTTATGTGTACGAGAACACGGGAGAGCGATCACCACTTCGAAAACTGATGGTTGCATGGCTGGTCTGGCACGTCGATTTTCGGTGGTACTCCACGCCGAATGCCACCAACTTCTTGTCTCAATGCCCCGAGTTCGCGGCCGATCTGGCTGTGGCTCTGGCACAGCGACTCGGGGCCTTTAGCTCGCTGAGCCCGTTCTACTCATCCCCTGATAAGTACTACGAAGACTCAGGTACGGTTTCGTCAGTACAGAGCCCAACAGGAGACACCTGGAAATCTTCACGGTTGGTGAGCACTCAGAAGCAGGGTCTGAACATTACCCCGACAATAAGCACTGGTGCAACTCCGCAATCAACTTCTGGACCGCGTCCGCTTAGCGGCACAAGCACGTTTGGAGGAGGCGGATCGACTTCTCAGCCGGGTAGCTGCCTCTTAAGGGTATCAGAGCCGCTGAGAAGCCCTGGATTGTTCTCCAACGCGAGCTCAGACACTACTCAAACGCCCACCTTTGGTCGCCTTGCATTTGGATCTACGGCCGCGAATGGTTTCGGGACCTAGCTCCAGATAAATGGCCTACGAGGCACCCTCGCGCTCTTCTCGCCGTTGACCAGCGGATTGGCGTTGCGGCCTTTAGTGGTGGGTTTCGGTTAGATTTTTATTTCGCTTGCCGTATCGCTCGGTTTTGTTTGTGTATACCCTTTATAGTCTTTTGTCATTCATGGGATGAATTCTGCTCAAGTTAGGCACAACCTTTCATATTCATATCTCAAGATTACATCCCCCTCCGCGATTAACCGCTGCTCAAGTGGCCCTTGGCCAGGGCTTAGTCATATCAAGCCTGGTTAGCTCAATCGGTAGAGCGTGAGACTCTTAATCTCAAGGCTGCGGGTTCGAGCCCCGCATCGGGCTAGTTCTTTTTTTGCGGTATTTTTTTATCTTTTTCTGTGATATTCTATTGCTGCCGGGCCTTATTTTCCTCGAATTCATTTTTTTTTCTGATAATAAAAAAAGCCCTTTTCGCGTAAAATCACAAGCGCGATCAGATCTCGGCTTGCCGCCAGCCAATCGGGCCAGGTGGGCTCCCGGCTGGCCTTGCGCGGAATTCCACCGCTGCTGCTGACTTAATCACGACCACGCGCCATCTCGATCTGCTCACAACGGAGGGTTTGGAAGACACCCTCGGGCCCGAATCAACCAGCGAACCTGATATTTAAGCAACCATTACGTCCACTACCCATGATGCACCCGCAGACTCCGAAACTCAAGCGGCACCAAGGCTCGCGGCAACCAAGCCCTTCCGTTGACATGCATACTGTGCCCTTCAGATATTCATCCAGCTTGGCCGATTTGACATATCTCTCCTGCGGGTGCTAGCCGTCGCATTACCTGCTGCGGATGGCCGGTGCTATTGAAGCTGAGGGCGCACAATCCACCTGCCCGCCAGTCAACGAGGGGGGAGATACCAGCAATGACTCCGCCAAACCTGTGTTCAAGGGTGAGCGCCCAGCTTGCTTCAGCACCACGATCCAGGAGTGTATTTTTGTCATCACGACAACGATGGCAATTGGCCAGGCATCCTTCTTCACGGGGATGAATATTGGAGTTACAGCCGCTATCGGCGAGGCATTGAACATGTCATCGGCGGAGATTACCTGGATCACTGCTGGTGCTTCGTAAGTCCCATAGTCCTCCGCGGCCAGTCGCTGCCGACTCATTATATCTGCACAATATAGACTCAGTAGCGGCGCATTCCTCCTCTCCTTTGGCAAATTTGCGGACCTGTTTGGCCGTAAGGTCATGTTCGTCGTCTCCATGCTGCTTTACACCGTGATCGTCCTTGTTGCTGGCTTTGCGCCAAACGCCATATTTCTCGATATTTTCTCCGGTTTCGTCGGTCTCTGTTCTGCGGCTGTCGTCCCACCTGCTGTGGGCACTCTAGGTGCAGTATACGAAAAGCCTTCCAGGCGAAAGAACATTGCGTTTTCCTGCTTCAGTGCTGGGAATCCACTAGGTTTCGTAGGTGGCGCAATCATATCGGGAATCGCTTCTCGGTTGTATAATTGGCGGGCGTCATACTGGGCCTTGGCCGGTGTGTATGCAATCTTTTCGATGTTAACGATCTGGACCGTCCCCACGGATACACAGCCAAGGGAGAAATTGAGTCTAGAGGCGTTGAAGAAATTCGATTTGGTCGGATCAATGTTAATTGTCTCAGGGTTGGCATTGTTTTCCAGTTCACTAACGTGAGATTCCCCATGGCTCTTGCCTACAAAACGAAATTGCTAAGATTTACGAAATCAGTCTTTCCGGAGACGCCCCCAATGGATGGAAAACTGGCTATGTCATTGCCCTTTTGGTGATTGGCGTGCTTCTTGTCGCCGCATTTCTGTATTGGCAGTCCATCGCGAAATACCCATTGATGCCGTTGTACATTTGGAAGGATCGGGACTTCTCTTTGGTAAGCAAACATCACACTTCGCTCAAGACCAGAATTGCTAATCTTCTACTGTAGCTAAATGCAATCCTCGGCTTGGGCTTTATGGGATTCTCGTCAGTTTCCTTTTGGCTGGCTCTGTATTTGCAGCGAATAAAGCATTTAGATGCACTCGAGGTTGCTCTCTACCTTCTTCCTCAAGTCGTCAACGGGATCCTAGTCAATGTTATTGCGGGCCTAATTCTCCACCGGGTGAACAACAGGCTTCTGATGGGCATCGGTGCGCTCTCATACGTTGCTTGTTTCCTTATCCTTAGCTTTATGCAGGAGGATGCCACGTACTGGGCGTTTATATTCCCTGCCCTCATGCTTTCTGTTGTGGGTGCGGATATTGAATTTAATGTCGTTAATGTAAGTCTTCGCCCTGCTGACAATCTTAATGACTCTCTCGGCTAAGTCAAGATACCGCAATAGATGTACGTAATGTCGTCGCTTCCACCGTCTCAGCAATCGTTAGCCGGTGGAATATTCAACACCCTTACAAAACTCTGCCAGAATATCGGGCTTGGCATGACCACTGCTATCTACATCTCAATGGAGCATAAGTATTCTTATCCCCCCAGTATAAAGCCGTATCTGTCGACATATTGGCTTTCGGCTGGATTTTCAGCACTGGGCGCCGTCCTGGTGTTCTTTTTGAAAATTGGAACCCAAGGCAACTCCACTTCGAGAGAGGAGAAACGTCCGATTGTCGGAGATGAGACACGTGAAAGTGTAAGAGCCGGGAAAGATGGAAAAGCCTGAGCATGATACTGCGAAGCAAAAATATACGCCAAAGCATTCGTTGATTCACTAGCATTCACTGAGTTAGCGAGAGATGAATTGAATTGAATCTTTTCGTGATGCTCTAAAAATGGCCCTGTTGTGAGATTCTCAGCATGATTTAATTAGCCATGGCAACCCTTCAACTATGAGTCCTGTGACGAGCCGATATTCTTAATCGTGACTCACGGACCTCTAGTTCGGCACATAGGAGCTTCCAATCACCTTTTTGTCATTCACTTTCTTTCCGGCATAAAGGACGTGACTTTCTCCGTGCCTCACTTTCATTTCACCTCTTTAAGCCTGTTAATGATTCTGGAAGATTCACATTGATTCTCACTTGCCCTAGCTGTCAGTGTGACCCCCATTCCCAGAGCATATAAAGAGCTGATTATTCTGCTCTCAAACTGCTACTCTTTCCTTTTCTATCCAGCATCACCAAGAAACCTTTGCAATAGGCACTGGGTTGTGGCTACGATAAACCATGCCTCATGCTCTAAAAGTTATCTTAACTATATGTGCCGCCTGATGGTTTGGCCAAATTCTCCTATAATTTTAAACTTCATTTTACCTACCAAACCCGCTTCATTTAAAATATTAGGCATCTAGTTACATGTCTTACACTATAGTGGTACCGTGTCACCATCCCTTTAGTTTGAATCTCGACAAATCGTCACTGTCACGCCACCACTGGGGCTGGTGCTGCCGTTTAACCATTTAAGCGGACGATTACAGGTGTTGAAAGGAGTCAGCTCCTGCTAAGTAAGTATCATCGCTATCAAAACAGTCCTAGATAGAGAGCTAACATACGGAAAAGGTCCCGGCCACCCAATCATCCACTTAAATAAGCCGATTTAATGATTGAAAAAGATGATAACTCTTCGACCAATAAATATACATTCCTTTCCAGCACAGATCGTGGCTGTCTTGGAGCCGCATCAATTTTATCATCAGTACAGCATTCTCCATCCTCAACAAAAGGTATATCACTCTTGTTTTCAAACCCACATCATCGGCATCACTGTCCTGTCAATGGCAAGTAGTCAAAGCAGTCGGGGTAAGCTTCTCATCAGCTCACACAGCAGTTCTTTCATTTCCTCATACTCTGTTACTCAGCATTGTATGTACTCTTCTCAATTCTAATCGAGAAAATGAATCTCAAGCCCCTGAAGACAATACACGATACGACGCGGGTTTACTGTTTCACCGACGGAAACAAGTTTATATGACCCTACACGTCGATGGTATTGTCGAATTACGGGGCCTAACGAGGCTGAGATCAAATGGACTATTGAAAAGCTCAGAGAGAGGTTTGAGATAAATGAGGTTACGAACAACCGTTATTTGGGTATGCAGGTTGAAAGGCTTTCGAATGGAGATATAATCGTCAATCAGCAACAGCTCGTTGAAGACCTACTAGTTGAATTCGGCATGGAGGGCTGCAATCCAGTTGCTACGCCCATGAAGGGAATCTCAATCGAATTTACCCCGGGCCAAAGGAGACGAGGATTCAAAGGTTGAAGCATCAGGAATAGAGCCAGTTTACGGCAACGAGCTAACTACAGGAAAGGACTAGGATCCTTGCAATTCCCAGTAGCCTGCTGCCGGCCGGACATTGCATTCGCTCGACACATCACCAAGCTTGCGTGGGACTGAGTTTGTTAACCCCATAACTAACTAACTAGTCATTGGAATGGAAAACAATCATAGCCCATCGAAACTGTTCCAAAGATTCCTCCAATGTAGGACAAAGTCAATGCCTCCAGGGCTTAGGCAAGTTCCTTCTTTTATCCTACTTTCTGGTTCTGAATGCTAATCCACTTACTATTAGAAACCTTTTTCAACAGTGATACCCTATGGAAGCCCCGGTATCTGAGCTAGGTAGCGGCGAGCAAGCTGTCCCTACAGCCCAAGATCAAGAGCGTTTCCAGGCCATAAGCACCGGCTATCGTTTGGTAGACGAAGCTTTTCAGAAACTTGGAGATGAAGATACATGGTCAATCAGTGCCTCAGAAATAACCTCATCATGTCCGTCCAGTCCTGGATACTGCCAACCCCGCCGGTGCTGCGTGGATGGAGGAGCATGACCGTGATCCTTGCAATTCCTAGTAGCCTGTTGCCGGCCGGACATTGCATTTCGCGGTAAACTACCTTGTGCCGGGCCCGTTGCGGATGCTTTGAGGGTCCTTAATCTGCGATTTCAGCGTACCTGTCACTCCCCGGTAGTTTAACTACGGCAAGCCCGCAGAATTCAACACCGAATTATCCTTACGCCTGGGAGTTGCGGCTCCTCAGTCGCTAGCGCAGTGAATTACGAAAGGGGATTTGGTGTTGTTTCGAGAAGTCTTCATGCTGGAGTTTATGGGCCCAGATCGGGAACATAAGCGCTTGAAGGAATTGGTATCAGAAGAGGCAGTTGACTCGCTTGTTGTTGAAGTAGTGGGCACTTTATTACCATCAAGATGTATTATTTTCTCCAAGGATGTGTACAGCTTTTCAATAAGTTTCTTTCCCTATCTCTGTTATTGCTCTTATACAGTGATGGAGCGGAGGGTATTATTCATTATATTATATTGTATTCCTGACTTTGTTGATGAATTTGCTAGAACTTCATATCAAGTCTTCAAGTTAGTTGACTCTTACTATGATTTGCTAGTTAGTTAGGGTTTAGTTAACTAGTTAGTGGGCCAAAGCTTAAAAAGTAGTTTATTCGTACCACAGGCTGAGCAGTGTTCCAGATCATCCGGACAAGCAGCATCAGGTGTCTAGAAAGAATCGATACGACCCTGCTTCTGCTACGGCTCTGCTGCTGGCTAGCATAAAAAGGGAGATAGATGTGCTCTCAGCCCAGGTCAAGCAGAGTGACATTATTCAACTGCTGCCGGACAGTAATTGCTATGTAAGTCAATTGTGTGGGGTGGCTTTAACTACCTAGCTGGTTGCCCGCCAGGTATAAATTGACCTTTGCATGGGCCAAGGTAATTACTTCAACCTCGCTTGCCGTCGGAATGAGCTGGCTAACTCCATGCCGGCAGTGACGTGTTTGTGGGCTGATGTCCGTGGTAAATAGCCCGCTCTTGCTTTTCGCAACCATCGTCGCGGCCCTTCTTTTCGCGATGGGAGAATCGGCGTCTGTCTTCCATCTCGAATATTCCACTGTAACAGGATACTTTTTGCAAGATGACCCAGCAACCGATCCTGCGACTTTTGACTATGTATGTTCAACCAAGTCATTGGTGCCAAATGCTAACCCGCATCGTCAAGGCAACCTCGAACTTCGGCCTCATAAATCAAGCATACGATACGGATACGTTGTCAGATCCCAACGGGAGCAAATCACAATGGGAGCGTTTTAAGCATAAAGTTTTAACACTCAACCAAGATGCTGAGCCCGACACAAAGTACACGCTGCTTTACCTTGGCCGACATGGTCAGGGTTACCATAATGTGGCGGAAAGTTACTATGGAACTCCCTCCTGGGACGTACGTTTTCAGTTTTATGGTTGACGAAAATGACCTGCAGCGCTAACCTTGGTAGTGCTACTGGTCTATGCTTGACGGGAACGAGACATCCACTTGGGCCGATGCCCATCTAACAGACAGAGGAATAGCAGATGCTAAAGTGGCCAACAGCGTCTGGGCCACCCAAATAGAACACGGTATCCCCGTTCCCGAAAGCTACTACACGAGTCCTCTCTATCGCTGTCTCGAAACAGCCGATGTAACATTTGGCACATTGAACCTTCCCCTATCCCACCCATTTGTCCCCACGGTCAAAGAGGTATGTATGCCGGCTCGTTTTATCGGCCTGTTTCTGATACGCAGCTTGAAAGCAACTGTTGCTAAACGGATGCTGCATTAGCTCCTTCGCGAAACTATAGGAATCCATACGTGCGATCGGCGTAGTTCGCGGAAGCACATCAAGGCCAGCTTTCCCACTTTCAATATCGAACCAGGCTTTGCCGAATTTGACCAACTTTGGGATTCTAAACTCCGTGAATCCTCCTCTGCTCGGACTGAGCGCCTAAGGGCTGCCCTGGACGAAATCCTCTTGAGTGACAGCAGCACATTCATCTCAATAACTGCTCATTCAGGGGCTATCACCGCAATTCTCGAAGTGGTTCAGCATAGAGATTTCCCCCTTCCAACAGGGGCGGTCATCCCGGTGCTTGTTCGCACCGAGAGGAAGCCTGGCAAAGCACCTCATCGAACAACTGAGCCGTGGACTCCTGCTCCGGAGTGCACAGCAAACCCAACTGCGACACAGAAAGCATTAAACTAGTCATTTTGAGGCTTTGAAGTTTGGGTATGTATGAAGTTTGCACACACATTTGTATAAAATTCGCCCTGGTTCCTGGGAAATAATCAAATGAGTCCATTCTGCTATATTGAAGTCACAGTCCGGAGTACAGTATGGAGTACAACCAATTGCAAAAATCAATTCCTAGTTCATTTTTTCATTGGCTGTCACCCAGCACAGCCACCCAATCGGACTTCGCCACGGCCAAGCACGTGCCGCGGAGCTTAGCGGCCTTGGCATCTAACCTGATTAGGGTAGCTCGGTATCGACGCTCAAACTCTTTCTGAGGCAGTCCAGCATAAAACGGCTTGAAGCAGAGCTTTGGTCGGTGTTGTTTTCTAAATATAGTCTGGGAAATGATTCAAGTTGGGAGCGGGCTGGTGGAAATTCTTTTCAAACAATACTCATTGGCGATTATCACGTTATGGGATGTCCAAGATGCTGTTTAGCGCGTTTGGCAACCTCCCACGCGATGCCCCCTGACGAGGTGGAGAAGGTGACTGGTTAGTGAGCACAACCAAAGCTGAGTTGTCGAAGGCGGTTTTGCTTCATTTAAAGAGTCGAGGGCCGTATCAACGACTTTCTGGCCTATCAGACTCCAAGCAGTTTTCAACTTTGCTGGTGGGAGGCATTTGTCTGTTGCCTGCTCTGGGGACGGATAGTTACCCCAGGAAATTTTTGAGCATCAAAGTGGACCAGCAGTTGTTTCCTCCGTCCTTTCAAGCAAACATGAAAAGTTACGCGATCCTAGCATTGTGCTTAGCAACTGTCTCCGCGGTCGACCTCATTCAAATCAGGATTCGAACCAATGCAGACAAAGAAGTTGGTCTCCTCGCAGACCTAGATGAGCTGGCAAGGACTCACCGTACGCCCTGGATTTCCTTTCAGATAGTCATCTGCTAACGCTTCTTCGCTCCTAGCGTCCGCGTCCAGGGGCATCGGCGCATCTATCACCGACAAAAATGTTTACTGTCAAGCTTTTAGTGATCCTCACGGCCGCGACGAGCTAGGTGACCCATTTTCTGCCGGAAACGACGTCGCGTTCACATCTTCAAAGGATGAGAAACCGGTGCAAATCGGCTCAGTCTTGTGTTCCAACAGTGTGGACAAGTTGGAGGGACCCGGGCAGAAACCCTTGGCGAATGAAAAGGGCGGTGACACGACGGAAAAGACAGTTAGGGTACAGTTCAGGACTCAATTCGTCGAATTCACACGGGGAGATGTGAAGTTAGGAGAAACTGTGCAGTTGGGTAAGCTTCCAATGCAAGCCTATTGTCTGGAGCACTGAACGCTGAACGATGAATAATAGGCTCGGACTCGAAACTTGGGACCACGGTTGAGGAAGCCATGGTTGTGTCGGCGACTGGGGACGTGGATTGGACGGCAGTGCGGTGCCAGTTGTTTAAGGATCCAGAGGGCAAGGAGAAGCTGGGCGACGCGTTCACGACGTACGGGGAGACTTATGGGACAGAGCCGGCAGAGGTTGGGGCGATACGCTGCGACGTGTAGAGCGGCGCGAATTCTTTTTGTTTCTCTGTGTTAATATCATCAAATGCAGCGCAATCACATCGCTTGTTCCTTCTTTGACCGCCGGCAGAAACGCAAAAGAGTGACCTCATGGATGACATAATCAGGGTGACTCACAAGTTGAGCTAGTGCTGACGTAATGCCAATTCCAGCGTCTGATTGGCTGGGATGCGCTCCCGCTAGCGTCGTCGGAGTCCCAATGCAGCCTAGCGCCGCGCGGGACACAGCCTGATTCGTCTCTCCGGGCTGTCAATAAGAACTCCGCCGACTTCAGCCCATCTCGACTCTCTCTCTCTGCTTCTTTTTCCTCTTCTTCGTCAGTCCATCGCATCCTTTCGCACATCGCTTGTCCCAAGGCAGGGCGATACTTATATCTGTCCAGTTCGACGCCTGCGGACTGTAAAGCGACCTCGATTAGAACGTATAGATCGTCCTGATTCGACCTTATCCACCGCTTACAAGTGTGTCTGCGCTTGCGGAGGATAATCGCCCGCAACCGTCCTTGGAATTAATGATTCCAGCTAGTTAGTTTATTGGTATTCTCGAATAGCTCCTTGCATCCACAGCTCAACACCGCCGACTGCCTCGACCTCGTTGTCCTGAGTAATATCTGCATATCCCGCCTAACAGTGCGTGAGACTGTCATCCCCCCCCCAGCACAGGCCAACCCATTAATCGCAACTTAGCTTGGCTATTGCACGGACGTCAGCATGGCTATGCAGTCGACCCTCATCACTCGTCGTGAAACCAGTGCCCAACCAGTCCCTGAATTGAGTGGCGCATTCGCTTCCAACCAGTCAAGCTACACTAACAGCCCGATGACTGAAACCTTGGTCGGTGTTGAGCCGTGGATGCAAGAGATGCTGCACGAAGATCTCTTTTCCACTCCTTCTTTAGGCTCCACCTACGAGACTTTCGCCGGGTTCGAAACAGACACGGTTCCATCTACCTTCGCGATGAACGATCCGGCCTTGTTTGGCGCTGAATCTTGGTCCGCCCATGGTGCCGATAGCTGTGAATTTGCGCAGACCGGAGATGTGGTATTTGCGCCCGGGACTGCTTTTGAGTCCTTCGACTCTTCCACCGACTTTGACGCTGATCTGGCTTCATTTCTTTCGGGAAACCAAGCGACCCAAACGTCTCCACAGCAAAGTTTTGACCATCTACCTGAGGCCTTTGAAACCTCTGCAAGCCACCACGACCATTCCCAAATTGCTTTCAACCAAGTCACGGCTGCTTTCCGGGAGTTGACGCGTGCGCGAGCCGCCGCTGATCCTCGCCCGGTGTCCAACAAGCAGAAGCAGAGAGATGCGTCAATTGCTCTATACCTCGAAAGGCTGCGAGACGCGTGCGAGGACGCCGTAGCAGTTATTAATTCGTCCGGTTCCTCCAACCACTCTGCGGACAGCTCCTGTTTCAGCTCTCCAAACTTGAATTCACTCCAGAATTCCTTCCACAGCAACCATGATCCAGTCGTCCGAGGTGAAAGTGAATCCATAGTCTTCGATAAATCCATGGCCACCGACGTCAACTCGCAGCAATTATACCCCGTTGAGTCGCCCTCGCATTCCACGGCTTCTGTCTCGACACCCCATTCGGAAGCATCATCAACCCGGCAACAGTGTACCCAGCCACCAGTGACTGGCGGCGTTGAATTAGTGATGGATTTGAATATGAATGCTGCCACAACCCTTCCTCGCCGCCACCGCCCACGAACTCAGGCTCAGCGAGAGCGATATCTTGCTGTTCGGAATCGCGGTGCTTGTGAAAAACATAAGAAGCAACATAAAAGAGTAAGTTAAACCACCAAACCCTGATGGTATACCATCAAGGGAGTTTTCTAGGCTCAGTCGAATTAACAGGGAGTTTAGTGCACTTGCGTTGACAAAGATATCGCGCCTAGCGAAAGTCTCAAGCAAAATTCCGTAGGCTTGAAACTTCCCGGAGGCTCAATCACCAAACAATCGTCCGGCATTCGCTCTCAACAAACTCAATCTTCTTCCCTTCCTAGCGGCGGATCCACCACCGGCTATAAATGGTGCCCCGGGGATCCCAATCACAGCACACCGGGATCTATTCTTACTCGAGAAATCATGCCTCGTGGCGAATATCCAATTAGCCGCAGAGGTTCTCGACGAGGCCCCGATCACAGCATGTCAGAGGCCACTCTTCACCGACAGGCTACTAAGTTTGCCGACGCATCTGAAAGCCGCAGGTGTCGCCCAGATTCCATCCACAGCTTGGCAAGAGTTGTTCGCGACCCAGACGCCAGATCATCGTCATTGCCTATGAGCATATGCAGCGATCGCCCTAACCGTCGCCCAGGAAGCCCTAGCTGTCTGTCTGGAGGGACCCAGGCTCAAGGCGTTAGAGCTAACGCATCGCCTGCGAGTGCCCGGCCGATCAGCCAAACTCGGTGCCCAGGCGATCCTCAACTCAGCATTTCAAGGCCCGTTCGTGCTCCCCTTTCGTCAACGAGAGCGAGATCAATCGCTGGCTGCCATAGCTGGTCCGGAAACAACGGGCGCCGCCCCGTTTCTACGGCCGCTAAAGGCCAAAATTCAACTTGTAGGCAGTGTCATGAATACCGGACGGCAGATGGCAGTCTATCGTGTACCGCGCCTTATCGCTAGACCTTTGTCAACGCCTGCGAATGTACCCATGGGCTACCATCAATGGAGCCCGAACCAGAGCGCACTGAAGATCGCCGAGCATACTAGGTCTCGCCCAACATTTATGATCACCAGCAATAGCGATAAACTAGGTGGCTCAGAAAGCGGTCACCTGAACAGGTTGAGCGTCATCCATACTCGATCTTCCGCTGTTCCAAGGACTGCCTTCGATGACGACAGACGGTACTTGGGAGACATCAATCATAGCGCGATCCTTCAGCTTCACTCCACATTTGCTAGGGCAGATGTGGAATGCCACGAGTCCGGGTTGGAATGGCTCAGCTATCTCATGTCTCGCGCCTATCGCCTCCTCAGTTGCACCTGGCGCCAAACTCAAAAAGCATACATCAAGGATCCGTTCCGTGTGTGGCTGGTGCTTTGGGCAGTTTTGTTGGTTTCAACGTTGATTTTTCCAAGTATTTTCTAACATGTGTAACCTTGCTCAGAAGAGTATACACCTGGCGTGGGCTTAAGCCATTAGCGATGGCGTGTATAGATTAGGTAGCATGCGTTTCCTTTGTACAATCTTCATCCAGATCGTGGACGAACCACCTATACCCCTGGATGCTTTTGAAGTTTTTACGCTTTTTCGATTTTTTTTTCTAGTCTAGAGGGACCAAGAACAAAGATAGGTAGCAAGCTGAAGTAGACGCAAATAAGACATGTATAGTACTGCTTATTCGAGGTTTCTGAACTTGATAACCCCTTGGCCGGTGCAAACAGGCAAGGTCGGTGTAGATGTGTGCAAAATGTGTTCTGCAGGCGTTGAACCATCAATCCAGCCCAATGAAGAACATGAGTATCTAAGTTATGGATGCTGTCTTCCATCAAAGCCTGGTTAGCTCAATCGGTAGAGCGTGAGACTCTTAATCTCAAGGCTGCGGGTTCGAGCCCCGCATCGGGCTGTTTTTTTAACTCTTTCCCTTTACTTTTCTTTTTTCCTGAATGCAGTAAACTTCATGGCTGCTGTTGCATCGTGCTTTTTTGACTTAAATTTGGTGATCGGTTATAGAATGCTCATTATGGCGTAGTTACCCATGGCATTTATCTAGTTATAGCCAGTACGGAGTAGCGCAAACGGCTCATGATCGTTGCTCTTATATTCTCAACGGCGATTGTATTGGATATGATTACACAGACAGAAAAGCATACAAGGTTATTAGATATTAGTACATTGTATTCCAAGACTTAAGGCCAATTCAAAATGAGAGGATATACTGATCGAGACGATAGACAGAAACGCGACGTAGAGCCTCGCGCGGAAGCTGAAAACGAACATTCCGAAAGATTACAAACCTTCTCGCCGTAGGTTTTTGCCTGGGGATATTTTGCTATCAAATTGGCGAAATGCTTCAAAGGATTTGTAGGTTTTTTTGTTTTCCATACACGTCCGGCAAGCCCGTGGGTCTGCCGACTCCCTGGCACTCTTGCAAATCTGTAAAGATCACTTCCCTCTGGTCTAGTCTCTTTTCCACCCCATCTGTGCACATATTTTGAATTCTCAGCTGCTTCTGCCATTTATCACCACTCGGCGCGTTTTAGTCGTCCATGCTCAGACTTGAGACATTGTCGGTTGTGGTGCCACGCGGGACGACCGTCGGTGCGCACGACGCCGCATTCCCAACCATCCTCCGGTCATCCTGATGCCGGAAAGGATTGTCGAGATGAGGAATACAAACCAGAGGAACCATAGAAACGCAGTTGCTGCTTTGGCCTCGCGGCAGGTCTTTCGAAGAGACCTGGATTGCCTGGTGATGGTATTTTCTCGAAGTTCTCGCTGCAAACGCGGAGATATCAGCCAGCAGCTCCTTTAAACCATTCGACGTCGATGAAGACTTACATCGTTGCTGCAATCTGGAACATGGAGTTTCGACGGCAACGCCACAGCAGCACAAAAGAGGAAGAGCAGATTCAGCAAATCCACAAGGAACAAAATAACGGGGTGGATCATGAGCGATTCGCTCGAATTGGCCGCTATGAGGTAAAATAGCGTTGCGAGAGCGAAAGCTACCGTGAACATCACATAGTTCACTGTCGCTTGACTGTGGCTCCGATAATCGTTGAGCATGTCACCGATCAAACCCATAACGATGGTTGCAAATGCAACCTGGCAGAATTAGAGGGATTAGTTTTATGTCCACGACGGGGTATCTCAATTGGGTTTGACAATCGAGAGATGATGAGACCAACTGCATACCTGCAACAGTCGAAGGAACAAATTCAACGGCTTCATGGGAAGCATTTTGGCGGTATGGTCGACGAATCCTTTTCCAAACGATCTCAGGATCGAACTGTATCGATGCTTTCTCGAGAATCAGATGGGATTGCCCACTATCCTTTCCGGGAACGAAGAGAGAGCTCAGTAACCCCGATGCCGGTATAGGAATTGAATTATATACAAGGCGGACGAAGACGAGATGTACCAGAAATCAGGGAACAAAAGCGGTTGATAGCTTTTTAACCCTGGCGTCTACGTCGGACCTCGCGGACAGGCATGACGATATACAACGAGCTCTACGTCATGCTTTCAATTCAAATTTGCCGGCAAAACAGGCCTCGTGGATTCAACAATTGCTTTTTGTTTTGAGTTTTCTTCCAGGCTTTTTTCTTCGCAGAGCGCGGGCGATGTTTGGACGCTTTTCGACCAGAACCGGTAGTTGTCATAACTCATTTCCAGAGTCCGTTGGAAGTATATTGTAGAAAAGCCAATGGACTCGGAGCTTTGAGTTGCAATCCTGTCAAGTGGAGCAGCATGGAGGAAGGGAAACGCCATGTGAAGCTTATCTGGCAGCTAACCGATTGCCTTGTAACCTAAAATTCGAAACCTCATGCTAGATCGCGCCGAGTCACGGCCGTGTCGTCGAGTCGTCGATGCTGGACGGTGGCATCAGTCGGGCGCATTTTGAGGAGTCAAAAGGATTGCCTCTTGAATCCGGCGTCGGGTCACGCAGCTGGGCGAAGAATGATGTTGCACGGCAAAAGCAAATAGCGAAGATCGGGAAACTCAATTGCAGTTATATTAACCCTCTGGGCCCAACTGTCATTAGGATCATAATGTCAAGGTTGTTCATAAAGCCATATTGTATCAACCAATGCAAAAGACCAAAAACGCAATCGTTCTGAACGGCGCCGTGACTATCCACGGTGCCCGGGGCCGTTCTCCCAAACGCCGGCTGAACGAGGCAAATGGAAAGCGCTAAATGCAAAAGGAGGGCCATCTAAGTCGCTGCCGCCAGTTGCGCCACCAAGTCTGATGCAACATCTAAAAACGGATAAGGGCTAGTAATCTCCTTTTCTTTATTCCGAAACCTCTTGCTGATGGGACGCCACTCTGTGACACTGCCATCACCTTCAATGCGCACGACATTCTGATACCCGTCGCATTTAAAGTCTACCATGTAGTTATCCCGCTCGAGCTGGTAGAGTTGAATGTCGATGAACACCCAGACGCCGTAACCAAAGGAAGCAGAATGGGACGACAAAGACGAAGCAGCGGTATTCACTGAGCCAGATTTATCTTCTGGGTGTAATACACCGCCTTTCAGGCTTACGCGCCGACGGAATTCCTCTAAATCACTGCGGCTGCTATGGGCACTGCTTAATGGACCAGGAGCATGCACGCCTTGCTTCAGGAGACGAGCGCGGATGAACCACAAATCCTTTGGAATGTAATATTCGGAAGGAATATCCCGATATTTGTGCTGAAGGGACCCGGGGATGTCGGACGTCACCTCCGGCGTTCGATCGCCATGCGCATCTATGACTACAGGGTCAGCAACCATAAACGTAAAATCAACGATTAGCAACTGACCTGGCTCAGCCGGCTGGATTTCCCAGACTCCTCCTTCAGCCTGGATTGCTTTGTAAAGGCAAAGCATCGCTTCGTAAGGCAGGTTACGGGACCTGATTCCGAATTGCCATTTACGAGACCGTTTGGGTTGACTTGGGACCTGTGTCAACTTCTCGGGCGGTTCATACCGCAGCTTATCTAAATCAACAATGCTTCGTGAGTGAGGCTTAAGCGCCCTGGCAGTGGCAGCCTGCTCTTCGGGGGTTATTTCTCTCGGGCTGCCAACATGATCAACCGTTTCGACATGTTGCACACTTGCGCGTGAATCATCCTCTGACGGGCCGGCCGCTCGAGAGGCCATTTCTTCGGCTCGTTGAATCATGATTTGGTCATGGACATATGGAAGACTGGTGGGAAGTATGCGCACATGGCTCACACGAGACGCTGGCGGGGTCGGTGGAGGAACTCGGTAGGGAGTAAAGGGGGGTAATGGGTGACTCATGAGAGCTGGGGATTCCGGGCCCAGCAGTCTTGCTATGGTTCCGTGGAGAGGCATCTGGACCTTCTTTGGGCTGAAGCGATGAAGGACTGCCATCCGGCTCTGTAGGTGCTGGAAGGAGGTCAGTATCTCAGCTGGTTGGAAACTGCGAATTCGACACTCACAGTTTGTCTGCATCATCTCGTTCTCTACTACAATAAAAAAAGCATCTTTGATTGCGCTGGGCTCGGGTTTGAGCAAGGCATCCTGAATGTCCTCTTTGCCGTATCCCATTCTCCGCTCCAGTTTCGTCACTGCATTTTGGCGAATTTTCTCTCGAACTGCGGGCGATTTTCCCGGCGCGATCGAACGGAGATCAATAGCTTTGTTTGGATCAGCACCCGTTGCGACGAGCTCTTCGGTGGGATGCTGTAGGTATTTTGGAAGGTCCTTTTTGAACCAAGAGTCCCGCCGAATTTCGCGAATGGTAATCCGATGGACGGGATGGACTTGCAGCATCTGTCTGATCAGATTGGCTGCACCGGTAGAGATATAAGAGGGCATGTAGAAGTTCCCTGCAGAGATTTTCCTGAACAGATTGGGTATATATTCATCGTCAAAAGGCAATTTCCCCACCAATAACACGTATAAGATAACACCACAGCTCCAGACGTCGACCTCGGGCCCCGCATACAATTTGCCGGAAATGACTTCGGGCGCGGCATAATTGGGGCTGCCACAGCTGGTTCGTAGGAAGTTCCCGTCAGTCATGATATTGCTCAACCCAAAATCGGCGATTTTGACATTCTTTTCGCTGTCTATGAGTAGGTTCTCTGGCTTGAGGTCCCGGTGAACAATCTTATGACGGTGACAATATTCAACGGCGCAAATAATTTGTTGGAAGAAAGTGCGAGCTTCGTCATCGTTGCATTTGCCACGACTGACAAGATAATCGAATAATTCGCGCTCAGCGTATTCAAGGACCATGACAATGTCCGTCTTCGTGGCGATGACTGTGTACCTGTAGGAACGAGCCCAAACCGTTAGTATACAAAGTGATCTGCCATTTTTCCGGGCGAAGATTTTAAAAGGCATACAGTTTGATAATGTGCGGGTGTCTCAGGAGCTGCAGATATTGGATCTCCCGCTCCACGCGTCCGACCATATCTCTGGATAACAATTTCCGCCTCGAGATTATCTTCAGAGCCACTTCTCTTCCGCTGGCTTGATGGACGGCCAATTTCACCTTGCCGAACGAGCCCTCGCCCAGTATCCGCACGGTTTTGTATTGTTCCAAGCGCTGCATGTCTCGGGCCGTGGCTGGTGACTGCTCAGAGGGCACGGCAAAGGGCCGCGACGGTGGCGGCATGGAAGGGTGGCTATGGAGCGCTCGATCGTCGAGGCCATCTTGATCGAAGGAAGGGAGTGATATTGAGAGGTCTTCATCGTCAAAGGCCGCAGCCATGACTCTGAGCTAGCGTGGGTTTGACCGTGTATTCAGGACGATGAGGCTGGGGTTTCCAGACCAAGGGTATAATGCCCATGAATTGAGAGCAGAGGCTGTGTAGTTTGCAGCAATTTTCAGTCGGCGCATTCACTTGTTCGGTAGTCTAGGTCAGAAAGTGGGATGGGAGGCCAGCGGAGACCCCACGATCGGGATTCATTGGGGAGAAGCACACTCACATGCGAGTCGAGTCGTCGAGAGTGCAGCAGACGCCAATATGTACAGCGGTAGTTAACTAATCCTGCGTCCGATGCTGGGAGAAGTGTTTGCTCAGCAGGTGGCCGGTTATCAATGAATTGGCTTTGTGGTGTTGCTGGAACCTGCTTTCTCCACATCCAACAACCACACTTTTGTCTTCACTCTGATAGAAGAACTATTCGAAGATTGAAGGCATCCGCCAGCCAGGACCATCTTAGAGGCCATGATCTTTCCTCCTTGGATATATTGGTGCCTTATATATATCAAAGGTTGGATTTTTTTTTTTTCTGCCTATGTTATGTAGCGTCTACTGTACAGATATACTCGTTTTCATCCCATGGACGACACACTGCGTCCCCCAGCCATACACCAGTAACCGTCCAGACATAACATTTGCAGCCGGCACTTTGGCCATGTAAACGACCCGAACAAGGGAAGTGGCGTAAGAAGTGAAGGGGAGAAAGTGGAAAGATATAAGACAATACGAATGGAAAACAGGAGAGTATAACCAAAAAGAAATAGGAGAGTTTCCATCGCCAAACCCCAAGACCCAAAACGCCACGCTATACGAAAACACATAATCGGTAACAGACCCCATGTCCTCATCATACAAGAGCTGAGTGAAAGCATTGTTCACGCGTCGTCATCGGCGTGGTCGGTCTCAATGTGCGGAAAGGAATGCTCTCCATTGCCGCCGCCGTTCGTACCGTGGGCCCAAACGCGCTTCCACGCACCGTCGGGGTGACCACCCCCGACGGCTTCGCGATCCCGGCGCATTCCTTCGAGCACTGCCACAATTCCACCGTAGCGTAACCGCTCCAGGACGATGTTCATTCCCTGCTTGCTCTTGAAGACAGCATCCCGAGTTCGCTTGACCCCGATCAGCTCAATCGTCCGTTGCAAGCCAGCAGTGGACCACGCCGCCAGGAAGCCTCGCTTGTGCGGCTCTTCGTCGGCATCAGCAGCCGCATCGGGCTTGTTTGACCGAGTAAGCATCGATTGGCCCAGTCGAGATCGAAAGGTGACGGTTGTCTTGACGGTGGTCCATTCGTCTCGCCTGTCGTCAATGCTGAAGGCGGACGAGAGCGAAGGCGCGGGGGCGTCAAAGTGACCGGATCGCACACAGCGGCAGTACAGCTGCTTTTCCACGACGCTCAAGATCCCTGTCCACTCCATGTTGCGGGACTCGGTCTCCATCCAGCCCTCTTTGACATCCACTACACTGGTCTCGAGGATAAAGCTCTGGCCGGAGTGATCCGCGCCACCGATCCCCTTGGGCAGCAGTTTCAGCATCGCGGACGGGATTTTCGACCGCTTCAAGTGCAGCCGCGTAGTATGCAGCCGCTGGGTCTTCGGGTCGACATAGCGTTCGATGACATCGGAGGTGAGCACGTGGCGAGAGTAGGGATTGGGATAGCGCAGGAAGAAGGCGAGCGAGACGGCGGGGAAGCTGTAGTCGTAATTGAAGGTGTTCTCGAAGAACTTCATTGTGTCAAGGCACCAGCATTGTCCGTGCGACAGAGATTGGCGGCACTCACGATCGATGGGAGGCAGGTCGTCAATTGGAGGAGAAGGAGAGGCGAGAGCCGCGATGTGTGGAAGCCGTGTTTGTGCTGGAACTTTTGCTGCGTTTTGCTTTTCCTGCTTGCGATTTTTCCGGATTGGGAGCCGGCACGCGCTAGGCCGCATTGGGCCTCGGCAGCGGGGCCGGGGTCCGGCTGAGTAATAGACTTTACGTGATGACTAATAACTGGGTGCTTGATGCTCTGACATCTGTGGCTGGAGACTGATGTTTACAAAAAACGGCCATGGCGCTGCGCCGCCAGGCATCAATTATGTCGCCTACGGGCAATCACCGGCAGCTAACTGGTGCTCAGGGCGTCTCACCCGCCTCTGCCATTTGGCATTGCAACGTCTTTTATCAATCAATGGAACGCCCTTGGGCATCGTTTTGAAACCTTTGATTAGCCACCAGCGCTCCTCTAGGAGCTCCCAGGTTCAAAGCTTTCCCATGGCACTCCCGCTTCATATCCCCCCTTGCATTCATACTCCACCGGGCGAATTTCACTTCCCGCCACCCGAGAAACCGCTCAGAATCGATATTGCAGGCCCTCCAAGCTCCATAAAAAGACTTCTTCCGGATATCACATGGCAGCTGCATGAGGACCACATAGGAGCCATACATCCGGCAGGCCCAGCGCTGGCAAAACTGGCCTATCAGAAAATATTTGGACGTGACGTTTGCCCAGAAACCCCGAATGATTTGGTAGTGCGGTATGAGTACTTGAGCTGGGTGGGAGAATCCCGTCCCTGGACGTGAGTCGACATCAAATTTCCATTAGGAGATGCAAACTCGAGTTTACTCTCGATTTCGCAGCTGACAGCTTCCCATTCGTACTAGAGAGATTGACTAATACGGGGTAACTTTCGACCATCTTGTCCCAGCCGACGAAACCGACCCAGAGGTCCTGCAAATCAATCTATTCGAGCCCGAAATGGATGATGGTGTTCTCATATATAAGGGACTGCTCTTTGCGGTGGATCCTGTCGAGTTCGTAGGGAAAAAAGAGTTGGCTGTGCCGAGGTGCTGCCAAACACGAAGGGGGACGACGGATCGTGCGCGGGTAAATTTCTGTGTAAATGACAGACCCCAGTATATGAAAGGAACGGAGCACTAAGCCGTCGGAAAGGGTTGGTGCAAGAGCCCGGATAAGCCTCGCGAGCAGCTTGACTTCGAGTCCTAGCATTTCCAAATGTGCAATACTGACAGGCTGGTCCAGTTCATAAACTGGTCCTTTTTAAAACGCTTAGCCATGTTGAACATTAGCTACCAGTCGCATTGATATGTTTCGACGATGTTGTGGCTCTTTCTTGATGATGGATGCCAGTCCGAATTATGCGTCAATCTGTAGCACGGCAGGAAAGAACCCCCGCACACCGTTGCTCAACCAGACCTCTTCACCGTCCACCAGATCGTCCACTCCCACCACCTCCTCCACGCAGAGACCGGTCGCGAGGCTAAACCGGCGGGTAGTTCCCGCGTTCCCTCCGCTGGACAACGGCGGCGTTACCCATACCTCCTCTAGGTCTTCGCTACCGGGCCGTCTCCGGCTTCGTTTGAAGTACGGCGTTGTAATGCTCCCTTCCATCACTTCCCCTGACACGCTGTATATCAGCACTTCGACTGCTTCCTGGCTTGAGCGAATCCCCGCTCTAGCCCTCGACGCATCATATGCGCCACGCCTGGTGGTTTTATGGCGTGTGAATAGGGAAGGTGTGGTGGGTTGAGAATCCAGCCGGAGGACCCAACGCGGGGAAAACCGTGCTTGGTCGGAGGACGAGAACGGGTGAGATGCCTCGCCCAAGGTAGGGAGGAGGAGGAGATTCGAGGGAGACGGCGCCAGTGACGTGAACTCGGACTTGATCTCCCCCGTCTCGTCCATCAAAAGCCGGATGCGCCATGGCTGGGACGGCGATGGGATTTCGCGGTCTAAAATGCCTAAAAGATGATCATGTCCACGCTCCTGGAGACGAGAAACCGCAAGGGTCCATTGAAAGTCAGTGGCAGCAGCTAGCAAACGATCGTAATGGTAAGGGAAAAGGTAATAGGCGGCATTGTGCGAAGAGGAGGCATTGGGCAAAGCGGGATCAAAACGCAGGGAGGAAATGATCTGAAAGGCCGCTTCAGAGCAGCTCTGAGACATCTTGGGTCGATGTCAGGCCCAAAACCTTTTCAATTATTGCTCTTCTTTTCTTTTGTAGCCCATGTTTGCTGCTCCCAAATGGTTTTACAAGTTGCTTGATCCTGAGTGTCCGCGGATTATGTAATCCGCGCGTAGCAATTTTCTATCTGGAAGCAAAAACAGCTTCCGACGAACTTCAGATTCAACTTGGATGCCAATGCACCAGGCGGAGCGGACTGTCCCACCTTTCCATCACTCAATTTCCTGTTGAACCATTTTTGGGGCTCTCCCTATATATCGTTTCTGTTTCCCCACTCTTGCCGGAGCCGTTTCTATTCCCTGTGCTTTGAGCCTCGAGTTTGGCGCCGAGCATCTAATCCGCAGCCCCCATCACCAGCAACTTTCGCCCTTCAACCCTCAATTGACGCCCATTTCCTTCAGTCGTCAAGCTCCCTGCTTCTCGCATTAGCCATGTCTTCAAGCACGCCTTCCCAACCGACTATCGTCCCGGTTCCGGCGGGGAACGCAACCATCGTCACCGCGCCTGTTCCATCATCGCCCTCTTCTCTTTGGGACCGGGTGTCCAAATGGGCATCCGAACATAAAGCTTTAGTGTATACAATTGCCGGTGTTGCCGTCGTTGTAACAAGCGCCGGAGTCGTATATTACTTATCAGATTCTGGACGAGTGCAAGCTACGGTTCAGCCCGGAGAAAAGAAGAAGAGTAAAAAGGAACGAAGACGAGAGAAGAAGAAGGCAGAGGAAGAGAAAAAGTTAGAAGCTTCAAAGTCTTCAGAGCCACGTATGTTTTCTAGGACCTTTTAACAATAGGGCAACTGTCTGTTAACAGGGGTATGCAGAGGCGAAACAGGCGGAGGAGCCAGAAGAGCTTCCAGAAGTCGATGAGACGACGGTTCAAGCTTTGGATGCAGAGGTACAATCTGCCAAATAGATTTGCGGGGTTTTGTTCTAATTTGAAATCTCTCCAGACTCGCGCGTTGTATGCCGGGAAATTGAAGGCTGCTGGAAATAAAGCCTTTGGCTCAAAAGATTACAACAAAGCGATTGAACTCTACGGCAAAGCTATATTGTGCAAGCCTGACCCCGTATATTACTCCAACCGGGCTGCCTGCTATAACGCGCTCAGCGAATGGGAAAAAGTAGTGGAAGACACTACGGCTGCTATTGCAATGGATGATGAATACGTCAAGGCGATGAACCGGAGAGCGAACGCCTATGAGAAACTTGAAAAGTATGGAGATGCACTCCTAGATTACACGGCCAGCTGTATCATCGACGGCTTCGCCAAGGACGCAAGCAAACAAGCAGTGGAACGATTGCTCAAAAAGCTTGCAGAGCAAAAGGCGCGTGTCATCATGGAAGGCAAAGGGAAGAAGCTTCCCAGTGCTACCTTTGTTTCCAACTATCTCCAAAGCTTCCGCCCTAAGCCAGTCCCGGAGGGCCTGAATGATGATGCAGAGTTACAGGAAGAGAGCGGCAAAGGCCAACTCCGAAAGGGACTGCAAGGGATCGGTAAACATACCGGTGATGGATACGAAGAGGCAGCACGATCGTTCGAAAAAGCACTGGAATTGGGTGACTTGGAAGCCTTTGAGGCTCTTGCGCTGAATATGCGCGCCACTTTTACGTATCTCGCGGGCGATGCTGACAGTGCTCTGAACGACCTGAACAAGAGCATTGAACTTGACCCATCCTTGGTACAGAGCTACATCAAGCGAGCCAGTTTACATCTGGAGATGGGGAACCGAGAAGCCGCAGCAGACAATTTTGATTTGGCGTTGGCCCAAAACAAGGATGACCCTGATATCTATTACCACCGTGCTCAGCTGCATTTTATCCTCGGTGAACTAGCCGAAGCCGCCAAAGACTACCAGAAATCGATAGATCTGGACCGAGATTTCATATACTCACACATTCAGCTTGGTGTGGCACAATACAAGATGGGTTCGGTCGCCTCCGCCATGGCTACATTCCGGCGAACCCTTAAGAACTTTGAAGATGTCGCGGACGTCTACAATTATTACGGAGAATTGCTTCTTGACCAACAAAAGTTCGAAGAGGCCATCGAGAAGTTCGACCGGGCTGTGGAATTGGAAAAGAGTCACAAACCATGGGGCATTAATGTGCTCCCTCTTATCAACAAAGCTCTCGCTCTATTCCAATGGAAACATGACTTCCAAGAAGCGGAAAATCTCTGCCAGAAGGCACTTATCAGTAAGCACATCTCATCCCGTATTCTTTGGAGCTCATGGCATACTAACGTATTGACCTCAGTCGACCCCGAATGCGACATCGCGGTTGCCACCCTCGCCCAGCTGCTGCTCCAACAAGGCAAAGTCTCTGAAGCACTCAAATATTTTGAACGAGCGGCCGAACTAGCCCGAACCGAAGCAGAAGTGGTCAACGCTATTTCGTACGCAGAAGCCACCCGTGCGCAGCTCGATGTCCAGGATCGATACCCCAAGCTGGCGGCTCGATTGGCACAGATGGGCGGTGCTGGTGGACTAGGCGGAGTCTTCTAAAACACAACTCAAGTGAGTGCCTTGATTTAAAAAAGGAAAACGGACGGGCTGCCCACTATCCTCGCAAATCAACTTGCGCCTTGCCACTTGTATTTTAATAAATGTCGGTATTATTTACTCAATTCCTGCGTCTCACTTCCTGTCGGCCCGGGCCGCTCTGATGATTCCATTCTGCCCACGGCATCGTTGCGGACTCCCACCAACAGCTTACTCATTTTGCATGGATGTAAAGTGTGGGTTCGGCCTTGGCTTTTTTTTTGCTCATCTTGTTATTTGAATCATTGTACTTTTATCTTGTCTGCTTTGTCGTCTATTGATGCTGTCTATTTAATATGTTGTCTTCATTTTGAATATGGTTTGCTAGGGTTGCCTATTTGCAAAAGCTTGGGGGCCAGGGGAATGAATATCCAGGAGGTGGTTATGTATACAAATGAATCTTAATTGAAAGACTCTTCTCTCACTGAAGCTTGCTCCGAGATAAGGATGTAGTTAAAATACAAAGTTGTTTAGTATACGGAGTACTCCGGCACATTGGAGGGTAGCAGTACGCCAGCTTTGACTTGAAAGGCATAAAAACATGGCCATCGTTAAACTTGATCAACAATAAGTGACATCATCTTAAACAGGGTGTTGGAGGCCTCTCACTCTGTTACTTTGGCATAAATAAAGGGTCTGGAAATGTGAATTGGAACATGCGAGAGTATGTTGGTCAAACTTCTATATTACACTCTGGCTTGGTATTGGAGATCACACAGTACTCAATCATTGACACCCAACCCATTAACATGCAAGCGGTCCTAGGAAAGGTTGGCGTCGGTCCATCCAAAGTGCTGCACGATCTCAGCGGAAAAACCGCGCTTGTCACGGGAGGAGCACAAGGAATCGGGTGCGAAAAGGCTACCCAAATCGGGAAACCCGTATCTAATGCTGCATCACAGATATGAGGTTGCCAAAGCATTCTCGAGCGTCAATGCTCGAGTCATCATGGTCAACCGCAAAGAGGAGCAGGGCACAGCGGCAGTGAAGGCGATCAAGGATGAAATGGGTGCCGGGGCAAATGTGGAGTGGGTGCACTGCGATTTTGGGAATCTCAAAGAGGTTCAGAGTGTTTTCACCAAGATCCGTGAAAAGGAGGACAAATTGGACCTGGTTAGTGCCCTCGAAATGCAGAGTCGGTGTTCCAGATATTGTATATGCGTGGTGTGGGAGACAGCATGGCTCACAGGACCGGATGCATACAGCTGGTGATGGCAGCGGGAATCGGGGCGAATAAATTTGCCCTGACGGAGGACGGCTTGGACCGCCTTTTCGAGGTCAACTGGCTCGGGCAATACTACGCGACGAACATCCTCTATCCGCTGATCCGCAAGACCTCGATGATGCCCGCCGCTTCTCCGCCGCGGATTATGATGCTGACATCAGAACTGTACCGAACGGCACCGTCGAATATTCGGTTCGAATCGATCGACGAGATCAACGACGAGAAGCTGGGGCCCAACGAGCTGTACGCAAGGTCAAAGCTTGCCGTGATTCTCGGCATCAAGTATGGGCTGTTTGAACGTGTGATTAAGAAGAATGGGGATAACGTCTTTGCAATGGCAATCTACCCGGGAACAGTGGGTTTTTGAGGGCCTTGGGAAGGCCATCTCATGGCTAACGCGGCAACAGGTAAAAACCGAGATGCAAAAGCAATGGAAAGAGGCATATCCCGGCGTAACGGGAAAGCTTCTGCAGCTGGCTGCGGGAGCAATCAGTCGCTCCCCGGAGCAGGGGGCGTTTAGCACGCTGTAAGTCGGGCTCCAACAAGGAAGGGAAAGCGAGCTGATTAGATCTCGATTCCAGATATGCGGCAACTAGCCCTGAGATAGAAGAGAAGCAATGGAACGGCGCCTATATCCTCGAGCCGGTAGGTCTCCCGTTGCAAGTATGCAGGGTGCTTTCGTTGCTCTGACCATGGCGGTAACAGGGACAATTGGGCAAGGAGAACTCGCAAGTGAACCCGGAACTGGGGGCCAATCTTTGGGATCTCAGCCAGAAGATCATCAAGCAAAAGGTTGGCGAGAATGCGTTTGTCGAGTGGAAGTGAAGGGTGGACTCTATCGTAGTAGTTAGTGATTATTATATTGATATGGCATTTCTTCTTATTATTGATGCTGTCCCATGGAAGCTGTGAACTCAATGCAGCAACAATCGCCCACTAGTTAGCGCTGCTGGAATCTTGATTTTCCAAAGCCAAAGCCTGCCACTGCGGATTATTACTCAACATTGATGTCCTGAATCTGGCTGGACGCCGTGCTTGTTCTCCGGCCTGAACCGCGAGAAGGGCAGTCGACGTCATGCATGCACTGTCGCCACGACCAAGCGGGAGCGACAGTACATTCCTCTGCAGACCAGGGAACAAGCGCGGCGTACTGGCTAGTTATATATGTTGCAACGAGTCAAATCTACTGCTGCAGACAATACTCATTCGGCCTCTGCTAAACCTCCTCTCAGCATTGACTGTTACCAGCAAAGAACCCGAACTCGCCGCCAAAACATGTCGACCTCTCGCCGCCCCACGAACCCACGCGGGCCCAAGCCCAATGTCACCTTCACGGGACTGTGCATGTACGGCGTTGGAGCTGGCCTCTTGGGCGTCGCAGCGTATGCCGCCCTTCTTGCTCCCCCCTCCGCAGGAATAGAATGCTAACCCTGTGAATTGCAGCATGACCGTCGGCGAAAAGGTCGAACAGTACTTTACGGGCCGGCCCAGCTCCCTTGTCCCTGGGCGCGCCCTCGAAGGCCTCCTCAACCTTGCTCCTCGCACGGATAACCAGATGTTTTCTCTCAATGTCATGATGAACTACGCCGAGGGGGCTGTGGCGGGGGTGGCTCGCGCCGTGATGAGCTTCAACGGCATTCGGGGACCCATTGCGGACTTTTTGTTCGTGGGCGTGAGAATGTTGATTGATCAGTCTCTAGAAGTCTGGAGTGGAGTGGGCTCCTGGCCCTGGTGAGTGCTATTTCCGTCCCCTGGAGCCAGGATTTCGATACTAATCTGTGGACAAAGGAATTGGCCTGCGAATGAGCAAATGTTCGAATTGCTGCACAAGACCGTCTACGCCCTGTTCACGGGGTACATGGTGGACTGTTGGCTATATTGAAAGTTCAGGTTCTCCCTGCTGTACCTGATTATTACGGCACTGTGAGGTCTGTTTTATGTGTATCACCTCCTTCTACTTTGGTTGAGTGACGGCGTTACGAAATTTGATTTGGCTACCGTATTAGGATCATTTAATTCAGTTAGCTATCACGGTATCCATCCATAGGCATTGATGTATCACCAAGACACGGTACGATCACAAATCATAGATGTACGGAGTATTAGAGCCAGTGGGAACCCGGCGTTCATGCCTGGGCAGCAGCAATTGCCGCCGCAATGGCTGCTCCTTCACTCGAACCGTCCTTCACAAAATGCATTCTAATAGGGGTGTCTCCCGTTCCCTTCTCCCCGGCTTGTCTTGATTTCGCATCCCAGTCGAGGATTTCCCCCAGTGCCTTCATCGTCCGTCCCCTGAGCACGTCGTTCTTCAGCATTACCGAGCCATCCACGCCAATTACGCAAGAACTGAGACCTTTCTTCTTACATATGGCTGCTAGTCCGCATGCGCAGAGCCGCGCTGCCCGAGCATTAATCAGATCGGCCAGTTTCTGGCACAGGTCCATTTCGTGCTTTTCGAGCGATATCTGAAGTACGGATTGTAAAGAAGAGGAACCGTTGCCGTCGACCTCGGAGAGGTGGAGACAGTCGAGAGCGTATGGTTGTGATAGAGCGGGCACTTGCTTACCGACGAAGAGCTGGTTGCGGGTGTGTAGGTCGAGGATGGCATGGCGGAAGATTTCGCCCAAATACAGCCCCGATGTCATCTTCTCGTAGGTCTGTTGGCCCGGGCGTGGCGACTCCTTGTCAATGAGTTTATCATACTTTGTTCGCGGGAGGACGCAATGCTCGTTGTCAAAGGCACCGTATTCACAGTTTATGATCATGGGGCTGTCCGGGGCCAAATTTCGGTGCTGAAGCTTGGGGATATTGTTGCAGGTCTCGACATAAGCGGAGTTGCACCCGGTGCCGAGAATCGCCCCGATCTGGGTATCTGGGTCTGCATACGCGGACGCAAGGAGGGTTCCCGCTGTATCGTTGATGAGTACCGACACTTTGACGGGCACGTTCTTTCAACAGATTAGCCTCGACGAGACAGAATGGATGGCTGCCTAGTTACTTTACGCCGCAACGCTTCTTCGAGCTGCGACACCACGTTTTGGCCCTCGACCCCTTTCACATCGAAGCCCTTGGTCCATCTCTGAAGCACACCATGGTTTATCGAATCCTGCGTGACGGGGTACGAGAACGTGAACGCCAACCGTAACGTATCGTCCTGGTGCTCCCCGTCGTTCTGACACTTCGCTAGCATCCCCTCCTTGTCGACAACGGCTTCTACACACTCTGCAAGGTAGTCCCAAAGCTCGTTGGCTGTGGCGGTCTTTATGTGCTTGGGGATGAAGAACTCTCTTTGTTTATTTTCCACCTGGCCTTTCTGTTTCAATGTGACCTGGCAGACGCGCGCCTTTGAACCCCCCATGTCGAGTGTGAGATATGTGCCTTGCTCGTAGCCGGTGGGCTTGTTCATCAGCCATGTTGGGTTCATCGGCTAGCAATGTAGTGTGTTAGCTATTAGTTTCTAGAAATCGAAACTATGGTGCAGGATTGGCACTCACTATGTTACCGCCGTCGACGCTCAGCCCTAATGTCACCGTCAGCTTTGACGCCAGCTCGGTTCAGCTGCCATGGCTTTGGGTACCCTTTGTGAGCTCCTTGGTAAAGTGCTCTGTGATTTCCTTGAGCTTTTCCGTGCTGATATCAAACATATGCTCAAGTTCACGAGCCTCGGGCTCAAGATCTCTCGACATTTTTGAGCTCACGGTGCCAAACATTCCAACCGTCTCAGCTTGAATCAACTAGTTGAGATGAACTCACAACAGGCATGCCTCTGTAGTATTACCACGGTATTGATCCCAGATTCAACATTGGCAGCATTTATTTGACTGCTGGAGAGCTGCCAGGTGACGTCATTGGCTGGCTCCCTGGTGCAGAATCACTTTTTGTCCGAATATCGTGAATAGTTCTTATCATGAACAGGGTCAATTAGGTGAAGATGCTACTGGGCATGGTGCCCTCCATTCCGGTCAGAATTCCAGCCTGTGCTGCGTTGGGCATTGGGATCTTAGAAGAGGATAACTACTAGTTAGTTGATGCTTTGTTTGAGCACTGTTTTGAGCTCCAGGTTGCTTTGTCTCTCCCATGGTTGGGTTGCATTCACAAATGCAGGCCATGGACCCTTTTCTTCCGGTCTGAACAGTGGCTATCTGTCCTGTTCCAACACGGACCGCCAGCTCAGAGATATCTTGATCTCGGTGGGCTAGACCGACGGCAAAAGTTTCAGCCTGGAGACTGCGGCCTGATGTCATCAATGACACCGATCACTCGATATCAATCACTCCATCGCTGTTTCAAGAGAGCCTCCCCAACACGACGGTCGATTGTAGTTGTGTTCTCCTTGGTCCGAGCAGCGCCTTTCCACGGAGCTGCCGTTGGGGCTCTCTGCTGTTTGCGGCTGATGCCGGCAGCTCGGCCAGCGCAAGCCGGACAGATCCGTGCAGCACAGCGATACTGGGGACAATGATGCTTGGAGCAAGCGGACAAATCTATAAATTCCGGTGCTGCAGCATGCGGTTTCGGGTGCCTCGTGAGTTCCAGCAGTAACTTTGTAGCCACCATCACTATTATATAACTAGTTAGTCCAACCACTCTGGACGCTGTATATACATCGTGACCTCCTTAACTAGTTACCCCGCCCTCCAACATCCAGCCCTCGAGTCACCGCCATCATCCATCCATTTTGTGCTGCATCTTCCAACAGCACACTCGCCGTCTTCCACTCTCCCAATCTCCCTCTCTTTGTCCAGCGTGACGGCTCGCACACCTGAACCCCGAGCCGCCCTTCGTCGCAGAACACGGCCCGCCAGCAAGAACTGTCCACGTGGATGTCAGCCCAGGCTGCCGAGGGGTTATCAGTACGCCCTGCTCTCCCTCGTCTCTTTCGATCTTGCACCGCCTGGTGACTGACCGTCTTCGCATGGAAACAGCTCCCAATCAAACGGTCGATCCTGCTGATATACCGACAGCTGCCATCCCTCGATTTGGGCTCTCACGCAGCCAGACGACCCGTGCTGGATTCGACTCCGATTTCCGGGCTGTATACCGGTTGGAACTCCAGCCATGGGGGGTAGTCAATGTATACAAACACCCGTCCGACCCCGTATAGCTGTCTGATGTACTGATGACATCTCCCTGCCAGTAACCCTGACCATCCGCCGTCTCAACGGCACGGAGCCCTTTGCGGATCGAGTCGTCACCTTGAACTCCTCCACCAACCGAATTACCCTCGGCCGCTCTTCCAAAGCCCTGGAAAAGAACCTCATCCCAGGAACTCAAAACCTTTGGTTCGACAATCCTGTCCTTTCCCGTAACCACGCGGATTTCCTTATTCTCGCCACAAAGGAGGTATCGTTCATCCCATCCCCTGCCTTTCTACTCTTTCTACGCTTCGTTGGCCCGTTGCTTATCTTCCCCCCCTTTTTGCTTTTCTAGGAGGCATACTTGATGGACACAAAGTCGATGCACGGAACGTGGGTGAATGGCATCAAACTGACGAGCGGAAGGCGATTAATCTTGGAGGATGGAGACTTGGTCACATTTGGAACCAAGGTTGCTCGAGGCAGTGGTACGTCAGGCTATCCATGGTTTCCAGTGGCTGCTATTTAACTACATACTAACCGTACCGCTTGAAGATGCATACGAACCCCTGACAGTCCGCCTAGGTCTTTCATGGCAGAAAGCAGATAGTTTACCGTGGGTCGATCAGTTGTGGTGTCTCGAGTTTACATGTGTTTCTCGCCTGTACTAACTTTCACCTGCTTACAGGATGAATATCCCAGAGAAGGAATCTGAGCGCCGTTCGACCAATACGTTTGTTGTGCCTGACGATGACGACGAGGGGAGCGACGGGGACTTTGAAATTGAAGTCGAGGGTGACTACCATACAGAAATTGACGATCCAAAATGTGATTCTCCAGATGTTACATCTGTTGCTCCTTCGCCTAATTCGTGCGTCGGCGGGCAAGTTGTCGATTCTCCAATAACCCTTCCTACCACTCATATGGAAAACAGTTCGAAACGAGACGACTCCCCCCTCTTCGTTCAGGACGATGATGGTGATGACAGCGGGAATCCCGGTCCAGTCGTAGAAGGTAGCAATGTGCTAGATATTTCAGATCCTGGTTTCTACGTGGAGATCGATGATTCGACATCTGATGAATCGGAAGATTCTGGGATCGAGTCGTTAGAAGATCAACGGGATGTACTGCCAGATCGATTTCACAGCCGCGAAGCCCCGTTCACTGAGACGGGCGACAGTACTAGCGCCACGGCTGCGGACGTTTTGAGGCGGATGGGTCAGACTGCCCTCCCATCTACCCCGGAATCAATGCATCGTGATGAGAAGCCAACCTTGCCGGATTATGGAAAGCCTTTGAATATGTCAACAAACGCAGAAGCCGAACGGCCACGTCTCCAATCAGAGCGCAACTCGAAGCAACCACTCCGGGCGCCACCTTACTCACCTGAGCAAATCCGGGCTAATAACGACGTTGCGGCCTATTTAGAGAGAGTAACCATGGGTTGCGGTACTGCATCGCTGCTCAGAAACAGGCATCAAGCGTTACATGGTTCCCTTGCTTGGCCCACGTTTCCTCAGCGGCCTGAGCTATCAGCCTCCCCATATATGGAGGGACCCTTTGCTGGAAGCGGCGCGCCATACGTCCCGATGAATACCTCCCACAACCGCACTGGTTTCGGACGTGAATTGCCTCTGCCCCCATTTGAGTCACGCGGTATGGAAGCACTTCAGGGCAATTACGAGGGAGCGAATGAGACTAGCGCACAAGCCTCAGGACGCTACCCGTACGCAGACTGGTGTAATCTCGATCCCAAGGAAATTGCACCTGGATCAAATGGAGAGAAGATTTCGGCACGCGGCAATGACGTACAGGATTTATGTGATCAACCGGGCCCAGGAAAAAAGAAGTCGTTGAAAAGGAAACTCGACGAGACAGATCTTTCCCAAGGCCAAGAAGCGGATGCTAGCAATAGCAGTGAAGTGTTGCCCGATGCCCAACCCCACGAGAGTTCGCAGAAATCGGTACAATTCGAGTCACTCATAACTGAAATGCCCATGGAGGAAGACGGGTCAAAAACCGCCCCAGGTACAGCTGATAATGAGAGGCCCAAGAAACTAGCGAAAATGGCCAACGAACGTCCTTCGCGAATGCAGATTGTTGCGCGATATGCAGCAACAGCTGCCGCAGGTGCAGTGGTGGGAGGTGTTGGAGCTATCATGGCCCTGGCGTCTCTCCCTGCTGACTTCTTCAATTGACAATGCGATATTCATCTTCTTCATGGGGTGCTTGGTATTAGGGATAACGGCTTTTAATGCCTTGGCATCATTTCGATTTTCCTTGTGAAACGGCGTGTGGATGAATGGACCATTGTGTGCGGAGTTTGGAGTTCAACTATTAACCAGTTTGTTAACTAGCTACTAAATATGCAATCATTCATTGATCTGCTTTTGCCTGTACAAGTTCATCCCCATCCCTGGCTGTGAGAGATATATGGAGTGATGCAAAGGGAACTACAGAGGGCTTTGTAACCATGTAGCCATCATTGCTTGGAGCCTGAATGGCACTGATGGCATCTGGATAGCCAATATCCAAGAGTGCTGTGGCGGTTCCCCAGGACATATATGTTCTATGTCCAGTGTAGATGGATCACCGCCCGTCACAACGGCGATATCGAGGTTACACGCTCGTTGCCGGGATCTCGGAACGCGGCCGTCTTCTGACGTGCACAGCCAGGCGGTCAGCCTGGTATCTCCTCTGTGATGGTGCGGTTCCCCTCCATCGATTCCGGATCCAATAGTCGGCTGATTCACTGACTGAGCTCCAGAGTAACTGGTTATCTAGTTAGTTAGCTTGTTGACAGTCGGGGGAAACTCGGGGTGCATCCAGCAACGGCGTCTGCGAGCGAGCTGGCAGCATCCAGCCCGCAGTTCTCGTTTCCCTTCCATTGCCGCCTCTTCCCATCAGTCGAAGCGTCGAACAGGCATCCGGCGGTATGTATAGCTACTTCCAGCCGCCTTTCTTTGGGGTCCTGCTAACTTTTATTGGAGACACGGGCATAGTTCATCAATCTGCTTCCTTGATCAACAGCTCTTCTCACAGGCAGCATTCGACTCTACCACTTATGAACCTGTCAACGTCAACCAGGTACATACAGTACAGAAGATGGCACTTGATACTCCATCTCCACCAGCCGCATTGACCCCGTTAACTGGTTTATCACGAGCAGTCATGCATCAATGTCAGTGGCGTTTCTCGCCGATCTTCAGCCTGGCGGGAAAAGCAGCACGCATAACTAGTTAACCAATGCTGATAACTATGACTACGGACGAGCCGAGTATGTAATACCAAATACGACCATTCATCACATCGCTCATTAACCGTCAACGGGTGCGGTGTATCTCTCCCTGACGCCGATAGTAACTAGTTAGCCTGACGGCCTGACGATGGCCGGCTTCTCGGATACCCGCAGGCACGATCCCAACGCACCGGCTTAAAGGCGCGAATAATCCTGCACCGGAACCTATTTGGATGCACCTGCAGGACGCCTTTTGAACGTGGTTCCCATTGACTGGTGATCCGGGGCACAGCCAACGGCCAATTGAAGAGGCGTCCGATGGGCCGGCTTTTGAAAGAGCGGGCGAACGGTGTTGGCGTTTCTTTCTTTCTCTCTCGCCCATCGCTTGAGATCGCTTGACGGGCTTTGACTTGAGCTGCGAACAGCTGTCAATCATGCCAGATCGGGTTTCTCCCGTTGGACAGTTTGAATGCAACCGAATTCCTCTTCTTGTTTGGGCGAGAAATTCTGCTCACTCATCAGATTTGCCGAATCCATCCCAATGGCACCGGACACGAACACGCAATATCCGATTTGATACATATCTGCAGAGCACGCTTTTAGGCAATCTCGAGTTCTCTCCCATTGGCACTCATGTCCACTTCCACACGTGAAGAACCTGCTCCGTCGCAGTATAACTATGACTCCCTGAAAGCGCAGCAAGGGTTTCGCCCCGGGGCACGGAGTCCGTGTTGAAATACCGGAGAGGTTCCTCGCGATGGAGATACATGAGGCCTCCCGGTGGCATTCCCGAGCGATAAACTATTGTATCGTCTCTCAAAGATTTGCGTCTCAAGAGCCCTTCTTAGGTTGAGGGTAAAGATTGGCCACCGACGTTTCGGAAGCCCTTAACTAAAGATTAGATCTGGCTCTATAATTCCGTTTTGCGCCGTCGTGGACGCCCTCAAATGAGCAGCCGTTCATTGCGACTCGATTCTTTCCTATAGAAGCTGGTCTTCGCATTCGGGATTCTCATCACATCGCGGAATCCAAGCGGGATATTGACCGACGATCTCGGTTGTCCTGACAGTCTCTGCCTCGGCGGCCGCCACAATTCGAACTGAGCTGAGGCATTGCAATGTCTATTTTCTGTTGTGTCGTACAGGAAGAGGAACTTCCGGTACTTTTTTGGCGGTGAGGATCGGGCTCAGGGTTGATCTTGCTCTCGAGCAAGAGTATAACTGGCTCCCATCTAGCTGGAATCAAGTCAGGGACTATATTGGCTTCCAGCACGGATAACAAACTAGTTATAACTACCAGATGTTCTTCCGGTTCTCCCGAGTTAACTAAGCGGGAATCCCGACTGACTCTGTCAGTCCACTCATCTGGACGTCATACTACCATGCTTTGTTTTTCTTTGTTTCCTCTAAAGCCAGATGAGAAAAGAAAGAATAATTTTCTTTTTGATGTCATTTCGGTACTCGTACCAGATGGCCACGTGCCATCACTATCTTCTCTCCATATCGATGATGCCAATGGCTGGCTGGTGCTACCATGGCCCATGAGAATACGGTTGATATTGATCTACCTCTTCGCTTATTGAAAAGCATTCGATGATGCTCTTGTCCAATCTCATCCCCTTTGTTCCAACTTGTGATTCAAGCCTCGAATGCCATTCCTGCTTGGCTAAGGGTTTCCGCTGACCGCTTCTGCTCCTTCGCCCTCGCGTCATCATTGGGAAGATACGAGGTTGAAGAGTGGGATGAGTTGCTGCAGAGTTTGCTCCTCCTGCTGGAACGGGATCTCAAGTGAAATCCGTTTCATCCGCCTTATAGCACTCTGCAGCGGGATACTATCGTTTAACATTGCATCGTATCTGGTGTATCTTCATGTTCAAGTGACACGACATCCCTTCGAATCGAATATTGGCTCGCTTTTCATCAGAATTTCGAGACCTGAGCCATGGCCTGTAAGTCGTTTTGCCGTATTATGGCGTAGAACGATTATAAATCCCCTGGTTTCCCTCTTCGAATTTCGCTCGGGAGAGAGTTTCCTCCTTAGATTAAAGATCTTAATCTTATGCCTCGCTTCGCGATCTAGGAAAAAAGTGTTTGGAAGATATCAAACAAGCTCCTCTTTTTCCGTTATCATACAAGCTTTAGAACCTCTCCGTGTTTGTCCCCTACAGACTTTGAACAAAGAACACACACGGGGAGAATACTTTCCACTTTACGCTATATATACATCTAGGATTGGAAAGATCACAAACCAACTACACGCGTCCACCTTTTCCATGGATACGCATCGGAAAGGCTGCACAAACGGCAAAGTTGTTGAAACATGTCGTAGCTGCGCCGGTAACCCTCCGAGGTGAGAAGACCCTCCCGTTTTCTACACTGCAGAACATAGGGCTAAGTTGATGGGTTTGGCTCTAGGGTTAGAAGTGAGCCATGCACTGCTTGCGATGGGCATGGGTTCCATTTTTATCTCTGTCCGTATTGTCACCCTACTGGGGCCAGCTCCCCTGATGGCGGTGCCTCGAGATCGGCCATGGACAGCCGGTTCCCAGGATCTGGGAGAAGACATGGTCCAGCCTCCCCACCAGGATTGGGTGCTAGAGGGTGAAAGCTAGGAGAATTGCGGGAATGGGGTACGATAGTGCTTGAAGGTGTGCTTCCAACCGTTGCTTTTTTGGTCTTCTAACGCTTATATGGCCAGTCTGGCAAAATATAGGAGTACGGCTATTCAGGATCGCATATATGTGGACGTTTCCGTTTTATTATTATCAAGGCACGATACACTCACGGAAGCAAGGGAAATAGTTTTAGTTTCAGAGGTTAGATGTCGGATTCCAGGAGTGATACGGCTATTCTTTTTTCTCGGCGACGATTGGACAAGGAGCTTGTTTGGATAGAGGCCTAGATGAAAAGCAGGGGATCATGCTACACGGCGTGGTGTAAGGAGTTTTTCGTTTAGCGATGTGGAGTGTAAAGCATAGTTATAGGAACTTGGAATTCAAAAGACAGCCCAAGGCTTCTTCTTGGTTTGCGCTGGCTCTATACACCATATACTATTAGTTATCATAGACAACTAGCCGAAGTGCAGTAGCCAATGCGAAGACAAGGCATATTCAGACAATATATCAGATGGAAAAATATTAGTGGAAACTACCGTCCATCAATTCAAGTCAACGAAGGGGCGCCAAAAGCGCCCGGAGAGATAAATCCGATATGTGGATTCTTGGAAAGTTCAACTCTCCCTCCCCAACGGCTCCAACGCCGCTGTCAAAAAATCACTCGCATTCAGCAGTTCCGTACTACCGTATATAACCCTTCGTTGCAAGGTCCCACTGCCACCTCTGCTGACACCACTCGAGGTTTGTCCCACGCCACCTTCGCCACTGGTCCGGCGAACCCAGTCTTGTAGATTCCCATATTCCTCCATGCTCCCCCCACCCACTGTAAACACAATTGCCTCGTTGAAACCTTGTCGTCGTTGCCCGAAAGTTGCGCCCGTTCCGGGTCCGGATGATCCCAGAGACCCCGGCGTACCGGTCTGTGCAGGGTTGCGTAATGACGAAGAGGGAGGCATGGCACCGCGCGCGTTGGCGCTGCGAGGGTCGAAGTAAAGATAATTTTCGACTTTAGCTATGGCAGAGCTTGATGCAGATGATGGATCCATGATAGATTCGGTGATTTTGGTTAGGGTGAGATCTTTATTTACGGGGAGGAAATTTTTGACACCGGAAATGAGAGAGTCGAAATTTGCGCCGAGAGCACCGGATGCGATGCGGTCTGTCAGACGGTTGGAAAGAGATGAAAAGCCACGGAAAAGGTCGGAGGAAGGTGGCTGTGGAGCGGTGGCAGAGGTGGTCATCATGGTCATACGGGTAATTTCACGAACGCGTTTGACGTATGCAAGCGAGCTGATGTCTTTGCATCCAGCCTGGGTCAAAGCTTCTTCAAATCGAATTATTTCAGCGCGTGAGAGATCGGATTCTACGCTTAGAAACCATATTAGGAACAGACGGAGCTTATCAGTCGGTTCGTTTCCGCGATTAGGATCAGCAAGGATTTCGAGCATTTGCTGCTTGCTCTGTTTACCAATATTCTCTTCCATTTGGAAGAAGTTATCCAGCTGGCGGTCTTTGATACCCTTGAGCAGGGCGGTTGCAATGTTCATGTGCATATCAAGGACGGCCTTGCGTTCGCGAAGCTCAGGTAGCAGCGTGATGGCCGCTTTGAGGTGCTGGGCCGACGACGCAGTGTCGTTTTGGAGATCTTCGATGGAAGAAGCTCCAGTTTTCTTCGTTATGTCACTTGCATCTTCTTTATACCTAGTTAGTTCGGCATCAATATCTTCGGCGACTTGTGGGAACGGTACTCCGGCATTACGGGCCCAGAAGAAGTCGTTCGCAGTGAGGTCGTAGGAGCGGCTTGTATTGCCCCTTGCCGGGTTAGAGTCGTCACCGGGGGCCTCCATGGTTATTCGATTGAGATGCATTGTCAAAACGTCATGGACAAGTGACTGGTAGGTCCACGAATGGGATAGCATAGGAACTAAGTCAACATTGCGGTCGAGTACAATGAGGACTGGTCGAGCAGCTGGCACCCCGAGGGTTCTCTGGCTCCCACTAGTAAAAAGGTTGTCCTTGGAGTTTAGGATATGATCTCGTAGCTTGCGATCTAGTTTCGTAGCGATCAGCTCCGCCGCACCGCCTTTCGGACACCTGATGATCGGGATAGCACCTATCGCGTTGTCAGTACTCAATGGTACCAATCGTCAACACGTCCCTAGCTTACCCATAGTTACACTGACGCTAAAAAGTCCGCTGACGATTCTGTCAACCAAGGTATCCAGCTCTTCATCCTTGGTTTGTGCACTGTTGATTTTCCAGTAAGTGTCTTTCCCCATGCTTAAACTGAAAAGGTCGGGTTCGGCGACAATAAAATTTAAATACTGGTCGTAAACCTGCGCTACTTTATCTGATGTCGCCGTCGAGGCGATTTGCGAAGCAAAGTCCTCCAGGAGCGGCCGTGGTACGGATGACAGAAAGTTGACATATGCAGGGGCATACAATCCCTTGGAGAGGTCTGTTGTTATATTCTGAATATTTTCAAGTGTGGGCTCGACAAGGTAAAGCACTGGGACATCCGGAATAGGGTAGCGACGAGAATTGATATTCCTGGCAATGATCAGTCAGCGTATGATGCCATCAGGGGGAAGTTCACAGGAGCTGGCGAACAGGTGGATGGTGACGCCCCAACTTCGAAGATCGTTCACTCGTAAGACGCTGCTGATGACATCCCTTCCCAAGTTGTCGAATACCAAGACCTTCCATATCGGGTCGCCGTCTTCGTTCAAGAGGGGAACTGTATGCGTCGTGCTCCCAGACGGCTCGTTGCCAAACTCGGGAGGCTGAGGGGGGTCATGATTCAGGTTCAGGATTCTCTCAATTGCAGCTAGAATATTGTCAGATCAAATTGCAAAGTACTGGACTACTGCGCCAGCTCCTAGGCTAATGAAAACCTACCGATCTGCCGCTGTCGCAAAGAAAATGGACTGGCGGCCATTGTGGTGAGACTGAGGTGCTGAGAGAACGGACCATGTGGCAGTTAGACTTTGGGTGGTTGTTAGAATGCTCGAGCTGGGGCGACTGCTGTCAGTTCATGAGCCCATGCCACGAAGCTATCCGGTTCATTATTCAAATCAGTATCGTTCGCACCACGACTGACTGTCGACTAACTACAGCTGGGAAGAACAGCGAGAAGAGCATCCTCGCCGTCGCTTGAGCTGCGCGATATAGCTAACGTAATCATACGGCTTATATAACTAACTAGTTAATCTTAGTCAGCTGCAGCCGATTTCGACCCCCAACTTTGCCATCACCGCAGTCCTTTTCATCACGCCTCAGCTGCTGCTTCAACATCCCACTGCTTTCTTCCTGCCTCCATCTTCGTTTTCCCTTGGTCTACCTGCCTTTGCCTGTCACTTTCATCGTAAGGCATTGGCCAGCAATGCCACGACGCTGCCTTTGATCAACCCCAACCGCTGTAACGAGACCTCCCTTCGCGTTTTCCCGGGAAGTCGGTGCCCTGATCGGTTAGTTTGGTGGAAGATAATCACTAGGATAAGTTCAGTCGGAGTATCTCCATCTAAGGAGAATCGGGAAGCAGGGATTTGCTTCGTGGATGTGCACAAGTCTGTTGGACTCACGGGTTTAGCAGCTCCCTGAGAATCCGCTTTAAAAAGTGAACCTTGTATTACTGCGCCTTGTGAATGAAGGGGCTGTCTGAAATTTGAAGCTCCAACCGGCCTAATTAAGCAAATCCAGCGACTGTCGTTGAGGAGCGAGCTGTCGATAGCAAGCGCACCGAGCGGTTGCAGGAAACACTCGGCGTGGTGGGTACACTCAGGAGGCGAGCCTGCTGCATCGGCCATTGATGACGGTGACCACGACCATTGAGGTCTTGTTCTTTTTTTTAGCAAATGGATTAATACACGTCTACGGAAGAGAATTTTAAGCCTTACAATCCTGCTACAATTGTGTGGTGTGGCGCTGGCACAGAGAGAGAGAGAGATATCACCGTTCCTGGTCTGACTCTGACCAGACCCGTTCCACGCCTCGCTCTGCAAGACAAGGGGGGGGTCGTTGGCCTTTGAATCCTGTTGCGGTTGTTCGGTTGGGCCAACCAGAAGCCTTCCCGTTGCGTCGATCACATTCCTAAAGCGGACTCGTCTCCGGCCACCCGCTAATCCCAATCAGGCTAGTCTGGCTTGCTCACTTCGGTTCCGGTCAATTATTGATCCGTCATCCACGTGACCCGCTTTGTCATCGCCGTCCGGTCTTGGCCGTTTTTGGGGAAAAACAGCAGCGAAAGAAGATGGACGCAGCGACAGATCCAAACCCGCCGCCTTCGACCGAGCAAGCTGCAGCCCCTTTCTCTGCCGATTACTGGAATGGCATGAACTCGATCTACCCTCCCACTCAATCCCATGATCAGCCCTTTGGGATTGGGTGGGATCACCCTGTTTTCCAGCAACACACCCCCCACCCGCAACCCCAGTCGCAAACTCCCGACCTGTATGCCCATCCTCAGCAGGGATGGCATCAAGCCGCCGTTGCACATTCCGTGGTTCCGGAACCACAGCAGAACTACGATATTTCGAATCAATATCGAATAGACTCCTTCCAGCAACAGCAACAGCTGCCACAGCACCACCAATCCTCCACTGCTTCCTACGACTCCCCGCAGCCAAACGCCCCCTATCCGACCTACTCTTTCGTCGAGGCTCCTACCTACTATCAAAACCCTCTTACGGCCCATAATAATTACTCTACACAACCTCAGGTCGACCTGCAGAGGTCCAGGCTTCAGAATGTCCCCGAAAGCTCCTTGGAATCCCATCCAACAACCTATGCTACCCCTTCCGCGCTCCGGCCCAATATTCAGGTACGTTTCCGCAATTGGTGAATATTCCCTGGCCGCTTGGATAGATGAGTTAACCCTGATTCAGGCGAGGCCTGTTTCGTTTGCGACGGCCTATTCATCGCATTCCCCTAGCTATCACAATACCATTGATCCCCAGTTCCTTACCGCCACTCGCCACTCGATCCTCCAACCGGAACAAGCGCAGGGAAACGTGTTCGTCGTCAATCCAGCAGATCTTGAGCGTTCTAATGCCGCTCGGTTAGTTCCTCCTACCCCCCCGCACTGAGCGACCCAAATCTTGCGTATATGTTTCTAACCCCAGGTATAGAACCCCTCAAGTCGCAAATGGCGAGTTTGCAAAACCCACTGTCCCACCGGGCCAGAACATGAATTTTATCCAAACCAAGCTGACAAATTCTGGTAAATCCCTCCTAATTTTAAAGGTAGTTTGCTGTAAATCTTACTAACTTGGACCCCAGGGATTCCGGCGATTTCCAGAATCGAAAAACCCATTCAACCACGGAAGAAGAAAGAAACTTTACTCAAGGCCAAAACTACCGCAAGAAGAGAGCCGGCCAAACATCTCAAACAGAAGTCAGATAGCGAGACTTCCGAATCAGAGGTTGAAGAACCTCCGGAACCCTCACCGCTTCCTGCGTCTCGACCTATGGATCTAGACGGCAGTACGAAGTACGACGCATTGAAGATTGTTTGGTTCCCGCGGAATCGACAGCCTTCAGCCCCCGCAGTAAGGAATGCAATGGTTCTGTTCTCAGACATGGTTAAAGGCATCCGTGACTCTTGGAAATCGCGAAGCGAAGCCCTCAAAGCAGCAGAAAATCAAAACCAAGAGGCTAAGATTCCGGCAATTAAAAGGGAAGTGATTATGCAGCGCAGACTGTTGGATATGATCATCAATACAACTCTTACCCACGGCCATCCATCCTATGTTCGAAGGTACGTGATAGTTCAATGTTTGCAGTACCTCCTTTATGACTTGCTCTTCCGTCAGTTTGTCGATAGAAGTTTGAAGAGCAGAATGGAGAGAAGTTATTCTGTAGTCATGTCAATGCCTGGAGTTCCAGCCTGTCATGCCACCCACTCCTGCCAATGGGATTAACCCTTTGGGAGAAGTTGCACATAACGTATTGAATGAGCACATATTACCATTGCTCATGAAGTACCAATGCAACTACGTGTTGCTGCAATTAAACGAAGCCGATGAGATCTTCGGTCCTCCTGGGTTTAATGGGCGCTATAGTGATGCCTGAGGTTTTCTCGGCTTTGCCATGGAACCCCTAAAATTCAAGAGCGCCACTGATGTCTTTGGATCATTCTTCTTTGTTATACTTTTCCCATGAATCCGGTAATAAATACTTATTGCTTCATGTATAGATTCGGTGAACACCCCATTATCGTGTCCGCATTTTATTCTTTTCTTCTGGACCGCCACACTGCGGCGGACAGTGATGGGCCTTTGACAGTGAATATACTCAAGGTACATACATTTATTATTTCCATCTCGGCGGATTGTTAACCTTAACTGACATCTTTGTAGTTGATGGCTAAATTCACAACAATGGATCAAGCGATGCTTGAGAAAACGAAGAACGACAAGATTTTAGCACGATTCGTCAAGAAGGGCGGCGAGATCGTTAAGAAGCTGGCTAAAACGGTCCTCGACAACGCGGCTTTGGTGACAAAGAACAAGGCCGAATTAGCCAAACCCGCTCCCAAAGAGAGCCTTCCGCAGGGGACCGTTAGAAAAGAGCAGCCTGAACCGTCTTATCCTCAGGTCGTCATCCGCAACTCTGCACCCCTAGTCGCGAAGAAACGGGCGCGGGAAGGCGAGGATAGCAATAGCCCTGCACCAAAACGAGTGGTCTCACCACCCAATATAAAACCACTTTCCAGGCTTCTACCGGCTACCACAAACACAACACAGCGCGGTGCTGCTGGGAATGACGGGAAACCAGCATCGCACAATGTGAATGCGCCCAATAAACCAAAGGCCAACATCGTTACCCCGAAACCCACTCCTAGCCTATTCAGTAGTCTGATGTCTGCCTCAAAAAAGCCTGGCACGTCAAACGCGGCCCGCGCGGCGGCGGCGGCGGCGGCTAAAGAGAAAGCAAAGTACGTTTGTGGTTTCAGGTCATTCTCTCTACCCCTTGCCACTTTACGCTAACAACGATATAGAACCGAACAAGAGACGGCGCGTCCTCCGCCTAGGCCAACATTTTCGTTTGCTGAAACCTTGGCCGATCTCAGCAAGCCCAAAAAGCCAGAGGTGGCAAAGCCTGTGGAGGAGCTACCACCGGAATCGGAGGAAGAGAAGGCTAAGAGGCTCAGAAAGGAGGAAAGGCGCAGGCTTCGAGTCTCGTGGAAGCCCGACGAGACGCTCGTCGAAGTTCGTCTATTCACCCATGATCCAGAAGAAGAAATCGGCAGGGATGATAGTGCTAGGCGCGATTTGAGTGACCTTGCAGGTGAAGGTCGAACGCTCAAAATGCATCGTGGCCTTGATGATCTAGATGAGGACGACGACGATGATATGTTACCTTACCATGCCCCTTCAGGTTCGTAACTACCTTCGCCGTTGATTTCAGCGCTAACATCGAAGTAGAAGTTGATTTTACCGTCCTTGAGGCCAGTGACCGCTCAAGGAACTTTTTTAAAACCGGCGGTGAAATTGCACCAAAGAGTCCTGCCAAGGAAGAACAAGATCAAAGGGAATCCAACACTTTGAGCGTCTTCTACGCGTCTCCCGATGATGTTCCCATATCTCCCAAGGAACCATCCGTTCTTGACAAAGAAGAAGAATCATATGAGCCTGAAGATGACTTTGGACAACCCAATGACCAGGTCCAGGTACGCTCCTCTCCCGAAATGATTACCTTTGTTAAATACCTAATCTCTCCTATTTCATCCAGGCCCGCTCTGCAAAGTATTTTGCCGCAATGGCTGCTATAGCAGCAAAAGCCGCTGGTACTAAAGTTGGGAAGCCGCCGACTCCACCAGCCGCTACAGTATCCTCAGCAACCAGCTCACATACTCCCGCCCAAATGGACATCACCAGCTTACTTAAAGTTCTGCAACAAAACCCGTTGTCGCAAAGCCAAACGCCTCAACAGCTCCCTCAACCCCAGTCCAATACTTCCGACCTCGAAAGGATTTTCAATCAATTTCGCGAACCTAATCAAACGCCTCTACAGCAGGCCAGCCAAGTACCCCAAATGAACACTGCCCCCACCGCTCCAGGCCTCGACTGGCAAAAGTTGCTTAACGTGGTGACCTTACAAAAGCAAATGCAACAAGCTCCGAGCTTTCCCCAAATTCAAGCCACCCAAGGCCCTGATCTTGCTGCCGTTTTGGCCCAATTGAATCCTGGAGGGCAACAAGGACAACAGCAACAAATGGCTCAGCCGCTCGAATTTAGTCAGCAATCTGTAGCAACACCATATGAGAATCCAGAGCGCAAGCGGTACCGTGAAGGTGCAGAAAGCCATGAGGGAGACGACATTAGCTACGGGTATAACAAACGCTTCAAAGCTAATGGCGAATCTGGCAAGTCTAAAAAACATGTAAGCATGCCTTACTTCCCTTTTCCGGCTGAGACTAACAAATGCTTTTCACAGCATAAATCAGGGCTAGTTCCTTGTCGATATTGGAAAGAAGGCAAATGCCTTAAAGGCGCAGACTGCACTTTTCGACACGATCTCACCGACTGAGTTATTAGACCGTTTTACAGTCTATCCGCATTTAGAAATATTCCGATACCCTGCATTTCTTGCGTGCTCGGCGTCTTGCTATACCTGCGATCGTGCCCCTTATGGGCTACTTCTTTTCTCATCTGTTGTAATCGTGAAATAGCATGGTTGATGGGGTCTGTGGTTAACTTGGCATTGTATTTTATTAGGATCTTGGTGACATCTTCTTTTCGCTATGTAAACCTACATTTATTATTCCCGGTTGCTGGTGTTTGGAATCCATTTTCACTCTTGTATGCTCTTCAATGATTCTACTCTTGCCCGTGTTCTAAATTTTTGAGTAAGAAAGTTCGAGCACAAGCCTTTGAATGATCATTAAATAAAACACAATGCTGGTTTTCCATCCCGATGTGTTTTGGTATTAGACACTTTTATGTGTACAGACAGGTCCATACATATAAAGTGGAGGGCTATCTAACCCGCATCGGGGGCTATTGTACAGAAAATAGTACCAAGTACCTATGATCACAGCAACTTTGACGGCTATTTCGACAAAAACGCCTGGAATGCTTTATGTTCAATAACCACATTTCCAACAGCCTGAAGCTTCTTCCTACCTTCCTTCTGCCTCTCTAGCAGTTTCTTTCGCCGAGTGACATCGCTAGCATGTAGCTTTGCCAGGACATCTTTTCTGTAAGGCTTGATAGTCTCTCTCGCCACAATTTTGTTTCCTATGGCGGCCTGAATGACAATCTCGAACATTTGTCTATCGACATGCTCTTTGAATTTGGTAACCCACTGCTTTCCCAGTCGTGGAACTTGACTGATATGTACCACTCGTGACACGGCATCGACAGGCATCTTGTTGACAAGAAGTTTAAGTTTGACAACGTTGCTTTTTCGCCAACCGGATTCTTCGTAGTCCAAGCTTGCATATCCTTTGGTTAACCCTTTCAATTTGCCAAAGAAGTCGTCCACAAGCTGAGCAAGGGGGAGTTGGTATTTCAGAATGACCTGGGAGGCAGTGAAAAACTCAAGGCTCACTTGCTCACCGCGATTGCCTTCGCAAAGTTCTATAACCTTGCCGAGATATTCGTGAGGGAAAGTTAGTGTGGTAAGAACGTATGGTTCTTGGAACTCCTTGACTTTCATCCGATTGGAGTCGCCGTCGGGGAAGTCAACGGGGCTGGTGATAACGGTTTCTTCTCCGCTGTTCCAGAGCACTTTGCAAGGAACACTTGGAGGTGTGATGATGATATTGGCACCGTGTTCTTGCTGGAGTCGATCCTGGAAAACGGAGCAGTGCAACGTTCCAAGGAATCCCAAGCGAAAACCTGCACCCAAAGCCTCAGAGGACTCCTTTTTGACGGTGATACTGCGGTCGTTCAACAACAATTGGTTGATGCTGTCTTCTAGATGAGGAAAATCATCTGCATGTACTGGATAGGCAGCAACAAAAACCATTGCCTTGGGCTCCTCGAACCCCGGGAGCGGTTTGACTAGCTTTTCAGAGCCAACTTTGGTAAGTGTGTCACCGATTTTTGCCTCCTGACTTTTCTTCATGCCAGGGTTGAAATAGACGTAACCCACTTGGCCGGCCCGTAGGACACTCTGAGCAGTTTGGTTGGGATACATGATACCTACTTCGCCCACGATGTACTTCTTCTGTGTCGCGAAGGATACAAGCTGATCTCCTGCCTTTACCGAACCGTCGAAGACACGTATGAGGAGAATAACACCTTTGTATGTATCATACCAGGAGTCAACCAGGAGAACCCGAAGAGGTTTCGTATGATCACCAATTGGACTACAAGCCTCTGTCAGTACACGTTAACCGATATCTACTAGAGCTTGTGGCAACTCACGCGGGAATCTGCTCGACAATTGTCGGAAGAAGCTGTTGGACATTCAAACCAGTCTTTGCGGAGACCAGCACGGCTTTGTCCGTATCCAGTTCAAACGTAGTTTCCATTTGCTCCAGTGCTCGCTTCGGATCAGCCGAAGGAAGATCGACCTTGTTGATGACTGGCACCAGCTCCAACCCCTGCGCAAATGCAAGGTAGAAATTAGCAACAGTCTGCGCTTGAACGCCCTGGCTCGCATCCACGAGTAGGAGAGCCCCCCCGCAGCTCGCGTAGCTCCGCGAAACCTCTGCTCGAAAATCTACGTGGCCCGGTGTATCAACAAGGTGTAGCAGGTAATCGTCGCCCTTGTGGTTATAAAGCATCGTGCAAGTTTGAGCCTTGACCGTAATTCCGCGCTCACGCTCCACGTCCAACTTGTCCAGCACCTGTTTATTGGAGCCGGGCTCAATGGTTCCTGTCAACTCCAACAGGCGATCCGAAAGCGTACTCTTGCCATGATCGACGTGAGCCACAATACAAAAGTTGCGGTAGCGCTCAATAGGAATAGCCAAAATCCGTTCTTCAAGTTCCGACGGCGGTTTTTTGGCAGTAGCAGCGGCTCTGCTGGCACAGGTGCTGAAAAGACGCGAGGCGTTCGGGGGCAGTCGAAAGGCGAAAGGCAAGGGCCGGCGAGGAGACTGCCCCAGCGCCGTGGTCAGCAATCTGACCGATTGCAGACATCCTCGCATCGGGGTAGCAGCATCGAAGCCCCGAGGAACAATGGGCTCGTCGTGGTGAAACTGCTAGTTAGCTAACCGGATGGAAGAAACGTCGAAGTCGCACTGCAGATTTTCAATGCCACGTGACTGTCACCGTAGCGACGGCAAGTCAACAAGCACCGAGCAGTCTTGAGGGCTTGTCGAGCATCAACAAGCAGCTCGAACTCCGAGCAAAGGACACACGCATCAATCGCAAACATGGCTCTGGCAAAAGATAGACACAGGGTGCACAAGGTATCGCTGAAAGGTACAGCACGAATGGCGACTGCGCTGCTCGGCTTTACTGACTTCTGCGCTCCCTCTAGGCTCCGCCAAACTCGTGTCGGAATTCGTGAGTCGTCTCCTCTCTCATCCTACCCGAAAGGCCGGAGCCTAACGTTTGGCAGTTTGAATACTCGATACACTCAATTCTGTAGGCGATCCCAGCAGGGATTCCTCAACCACCCGCAATGCTAATTTGGCCAAGGTTCCAGCGAGGGGTGTACCCGGCCGACGATTTCACAGCGTAAGCTACCCGCAACGCTTTCTGATGGCCGTAATGCTGATGATGTTACAGGGTGAAGAAGTATGGCCTCAATATGCTCGGTACGACTCGCCTTTCTGACTGCTCCTTAAGCTCCACCTTACTGACCAGCCATCCTAGTATCGGCCGACGACCAAGTCAAAGCGTACATCAAAAGGATCATGTCGCAGTTGAATAAATGGATGCTAGGAGGGAAGATATCGAAACTGGTTGTTGTAATCACGGACAAAGAGACTGGGGAACACGTTGAAAGATGGCAGTTTGATGTATCAAGCCCTGATTCCCCGCTCGGAGGCTTTGCGACTCACCCCGAGACAGGTCCAAATTTTCAACAAGACTTCTCGGACGAAATCTTCCCAGACACAAGCAGATAACGAGAATGCTTCGCCAAAGTATGCCCATGCCCGGATTTACTGATGGTGTGCTTGCACAGTCACTTACTCCCATTAGGGATATGAGCCCAGAGCAGGTCGAGAAGACCGAGAAACAAATTCAGGAAGAAATCCAAGCCATCTTCCGCCAAATCACCGCGTCCGTAACATTCCTTCCGATGCTCGACGGCAATTGCACTTTCAATGTCCTTGTTTACGCCGACGCCGATTCTGAAGTTCCTCTGGAATGGGGAGACAGCGACGCCAAAGAGATTAAAAACGGGGAGAAGGTTCAGTTGAGAAGCTTCAGCACGAATAGCCATCGCGTGGATACGATGGTTAGCTACCGGTACGCATCAAATTGCCCTATTAACGTTATTGGCGAGCTCCTCGGCTAAAGTTCCTCCTCTTTTGCGTGCAGGCTTGCGGAATAGCTTTGGTAGCTTCGGCGTTAGGAAGGGTAAGGCTTTGGGAAGATCGGATTGATTGGCGTTTTGGATCAGGAACTACGGGATCAGTGCGCATTCTCATTTTGCGCGTCGTCATGTTTCGCGAACCGTAATAGCTAGCTTCTAATCGACGTTCTGCGTTTCGCTTTAAGTCGCACTCCAAATGAGTAGCTAGCCGCCCTGAGGCCCTTGCTTTGAGAGCACAAGAAGAGTCAAAAAGGCGTTTCTCTCTCGAGATATATTGTCCCGAGCGCGATATCACGTGACACCGTTATAGCTTGATTAGATAATCAGACCGCCCGCATTTTTCGAATTCTGGAGTCATCGAGCAGCTCGGCGACGGCGAGGTGGACGCAGACTGCAACCGGCTGTGCTTGCTTACTTCTTTCGTTGCTATTAATCACACATTTCATCCGTGTCTGCTGCGCCTGCTGCCCTTCCTCCGGACTGTATTTCTCGGTCCTTGTAGACTGAGAGGCGCATTGTCCTCGTCGCCAACCCCCGCCGTCAACCCAGTTCCAAAATCACCGGCCAACGCTGTGGGAGAATCGCGACATTGCGACACGCTTTCCGTGGACTGTATAGAACATTGCGACCCTGTTTCACTGCTCGGGATAGTCACCACCTGCAAGAATACAACGCTGTCCCGCCCATCCGCCCTCCAACCCGCTTTTGCTCACCCGCTTTTTGAGCATGGTACCCGCTTGATCTCGGCGGAATGCAGGCTGCGGAGGGTGCTCCGGTCGATCCGGGCAAGGCCCAGGTCGTCGACCGTGTGCCCAAAGTTATCAAGGAGATAAAATTCGGTGTCCTGTAGGTGCTCGCCTCTGCTCTCCTGCGCTTCCCTCAAGCTGACCGAAAAATCCACACTTTGCTAGAGCGAGCCAGGATATCGTCAGTCAAGCACACGTTGAAGTTTCCGATCGAAAGCTTTTCGACCTCGATAACGACCGTGCCGTTGCCCGGCATGGCCCGCTGGACGGGCGCATGGGTATATCGAGCAAATCCGGCACTTGCGAGACCTGCGGTGGCGCATTGCAAGAATGCAACGGTCATTTTGGTCACGTTCGACTTGTTTTGCCAGCGTTCCATGTGGGCTACTTTAAGCGAGTTATTAGTATACTTCAGGAAATTTGCAAGGTAGGCCAGCGTTCCCCTGAACCGATCATGGGTGTGGCTAAACTTGCTTGATGAATCGTAGGACTGCTCGCGAATCCTGCTACCTGAAAACGAGAGGCGCTCGTTTCTCAGAGACATGAGGCGCCCCGGCATCGATAATTTGCGGCGTATGCAAATCAACAAACGAATTAATGAGCGCTGCCGGAAAACTCGAACGTGTTACACATGCAACGCGGTTAACGGCGTCGTTAAAAAAGCCGGAACGAGTGCCCTGAAGATAACCCACGATAAATTTCGTGCTTTCAACGCCTCGACATCGGCCAAAAAAATCCCTCCTGCCAGCAAACTCGTTTTTGACCAGTCCTTCGAAGAAGCTAAACGATCAAACACAGATATCGAGAAACATTTTAAGAAGGTGCAAGATGACCTAAATCCTCTCCGGGTGTTGAAACTATTCCGCCGCATTTCCAATGAAGATTGTGAATTGCTTGGGTTAAACCCCAAGGAGGTACGGCCGGAAATGTTTCTCTGGCAGTTTATCCCTGCGCCTCCGGTGTCAATTCGTCCTTCGGTGGGCCAAGAAGGCGCCAGTACAGAAGACGACCTGACCGCCAAACTCGGCGATATAGTTCAGAGTAACATCAACCTCAAAAATGCGATAAACAAGGGCGCGCCCGTGCAAACTATTATCGAATGCTGGGACTACATGCAGCTCCAAATTGCAGTTTACATTAATAGCGACGTGCCTGGTTTGCAAAAGGCGGACTTTGGAAAACCTATCAGGGGCATCTGTCAACGGCTAAAAGGAAAACAAGGCAGATTCAGAGGGAATCTTTCAGGGAAGCGTGTTGACTTCTCCGGTAGGACAGTCATCTCTCCAGACCCTAATCTAAGGATTGATGAGGTTGCCGTGCCCCAGCTTGTCGCCATGAACATGACCTACCCGGAGAGGGTGACAAGATATAATAAAGAGAAATTGCGCGAAAGAATCAGGAATGGCACCAAGGTTTGGCCGGGTGCAAATTACTTGTCTAAAAGGGGCACAACCTTCAAGGTCTTTTTGAAATACGGGAACCTGAGACTTATGGCAGATCAATTAGAAGAAGGAGATGTCGTCGAACGGCACTTGGAGGACGGTGATATCGTGCTGTTTAACCGCCAGCCGTCGCTTCACAAGCTCAGTATCCTTTCTCATTTTGTCAAAGTTCGGCCACACAGAACATTTCGTCTGAATGAATGCGTTTGCAATCCCTATAATGCTGATTTCGACGGAGACGAGATGAATCTGCATGTCCCCCAAACCGAGGAAGCAAGAGCGGAAGCAATGGAGCTGATGGGAGTCAAAAACAATTTAGCGACTCCGAAGAACGGCGAACCCATTATCGCTGCTATCCAGGATTTCATCACGGCTGCGTACTTGTTGAGCAGCAAGGATAACTTCTACGACCGAAAAACCTTTCTGTTGTATTGCGGGTACATGTTAGAGCCCGGAACCAAGTTCGATCTTCCGCCGCCTGCAGTGTTAAAACCGCAAATGCTATGGACCGGGAAGCAGGTGTTCAATGTCATGATGCGCCCGAGCAAGGATTCCCCGGTTCTTCTCAACCTTGACGCCGCATGTCGGGAATTCTCCGCACCCAAAGGCACTCCAAGGGATCTAGACGCCGATGACGGCTGGCTCTGTATTCGGAACTCCGAAATCATGTGTGGTCTTATGGACAAGTCCACTATTGGGTCGGGTAAAAAGGACTCTGTGTTTTATGTCATGCTTCGTGATTTCGGGCCGCGGGTAGCAGCTGAAGCAATGAATCGACTTTCAAGGCTCTCTGCCAGGTGGCTTACGAACATGGGGTTTTCCATCGGTATCACGGATGTGTATCCAGGCGATGCGCTCTTACAAGCAAAACGCGAAATTGTTGAAGAAGCCTACGCACAGTGTGATGAAGTGATTCAACTGTTCAAAACTGGAAAACTGGAAAAAGCTGCCGGTAGTGACGAACAACAAACCATGGAGAATCAAATCTCTGGCATTCTCAATAAAGTACGTCAGCAGGCTGGTGAAAAATGTATTGCGGAACTGAGCAAATGGAACTCTCCGCTCATCATGGCCCAATCGGGGTCAAAGGGTTCTACTATCAACGTCGCTCAGATGATTGCCCTAGTCGGCCAGCAAATTATCGGGGGTCAACGTGTACAGAATGGTTTTCAGGACCGAACTCTGCCCCATTTCCCCAAACACACTCGTCAGCCACTCGCGAAGGGTTTCGTGCGAAACAGCTTCTTTTCGGGGCTGACGCCATCCGAACTCTTCTTCCACGCAATCTCCGGGCGTGAAGGTTTGATTGATACTGCTGTCAAGACCGCAGAAACAGGCTATATGTCCCGTCGATTGATGAAATCACTTGAAGATTTGTCTTGCCGGTACGATGATACCGTAAGAAACTCCTCGGCTAATATTGTTCAGTTTCAATACGGCGATGATAAGCTTGACCCGGTGGACATGGAGGGCAAAGCGAAGCCTGTACACTTCGACCGTACCTTCACGCACGCGGAAGCTACCACGTACAGCAAAGACGATCAGGGATTACCTTGCTCAGAGATTATGTCCCTCTGTCGCAAATTACTGAGCGCCGAACGTTCTAAACTAAATCGTTTTGACTTACTGGGCAACGGCCTTGACTACATGGACAGAAGTGACCATGGTATCGATCAACTTGAAAGTAACCGAGACTTCTTACAGTCCATTGAGGACTACGTCTGGAGCAAGACCAAACAACTTCAGCCCGTAACTGGAACCGACCTTGACACACCCGATGGGCAGATGGCAATTTCACACACCGCAAAACTATCTGCAAAAACACTAACCGCTTTCGTTACATCTTGTTTGACAAAATACAAAAAGGCCCAAGTCGAGCCAGGCCATGCGGTGGGTGCTGTTGGCGCCCAGTCTATCGGGGAACCCGGCACGCAAATGACTTTGAAAACTTTCCATTTCGCGGGTGTAGCCGGTATGAGTATAACTCAGGGTGTTCCGCGTATCAAGGAAATCATCAACGCATCAAAAGAAATCAGTACCCCCATCATAACCTGTGAACTAGTCAATAAAGAGGATTTGCGAGCCGCCCAGATTGTCAAAGGTCGTGTTGAGAAGACGTTTATCAAGGATATTATCTATTATATTGAAGAAGCCTGGACGGGCTCAGTGGCATATATCAACATCAAAATCGACTTCTCCGCCATTCAAGCTCTCCAACTCGAGCTCACCCTCCGTGACATCCTCAACGCGATCAAAACCCATAAACGTTTCAAATCCGATGACTTGAAGTTCCGCTCGTTCGGCTCCCATATCCACATTTTCGTCGATCAAACTGCTGCCAAAACTCTTTCAAAAACCGAACAAACAGCCACCGGTTCAGACCCTTATATTCGTCTGAAACATCTCAAGCGTATTTTTACCTACTATTCAAGTCTTGGGTTATCCACAATGTTCGCGGGCAGTTATCCGCACTGATGAAACCAACACCAAAAACACTTTGCTCGTCGAAGGCTATGGTTTACGCGCATGTATGACTACCGATGGAATCTGGGGAACTCGAACACGGACCAACAACATCATGGAAACCAAAGACGTTCTAGGTATTGAAGCTGCCCGTACGACTATAGTCGATGAGATCAGTGAAGTCATGAAGGACATGCGTATTGACCCGCGTCATATGCAATTACTCGCCGATGTAATGACATACAAGGGCGAAGTTCTGGGCATCACACGTTTTGGGCTTGCAAAAATGCGGGACTCAGTTTTGCAATTGGCAAGTTTCGAAAAGACGGCTGATCATCTATTCGATGCGGGTGGTGCCGGCAGAACAGATTTAGTGGAGGGTGTGTCAGAGTGTATCATTATGGGAAAAAGTGTGTCCTTGGGAACCGGTGCGATGGAGATAGTTCGGCCAATGAACTTTTATGAAGGTCAGATTGGGAAGAAGAAAACGAGCTTCGAGGATGCTTGGAGAGAAGTTTGCGAGTCGCCCATAAAGGGTAAAAAGAAAAGAGTATGAAACAAAGCCATATTGGATTTCCCAGGGCTGGGTCGGCTGTATATCAACGATGCAATGAGATATAAATGTGTTTAAATATTAGCCTCATTGGTCAGGCATCTATGTCCTGAGCCAAGGAGTGGGAAACATAACTGCTCAAAATTAAAAACAGTTCACAGCGCTGAACCTTCTCTCCTTGGGAAACGATTGCCAAAAAGGAATGCCACTGAGATTATGATCTCTTCCACACTTCTCTGTTCTCATGACTAAGAACAGGATCCAATGACCTCGTAAATTCCCAGTCTATTTCCTTCCGAATCTTCTGCGTACATGATCTTCCCATGGGCTCCCTCTGGGAACTCTCCGCTCAATTTCTTCCCACCATTCGCCACAATGGACTTCATCCAAGTGATTAGCATTCCGAAAGACAGATGAACGCGAATAATAAAGAGTGGGTCATACATTCATACACTCCTCCAAGTCCTCAACGATGTAGAAGAGCGTGATACCCGGCCTCACGCCCTTCAAGTTGTTCGAATTAGCACTGCCATCACCGTGATTACATCGTTGCATGGCTTCCTCGGAAACGAGGCTCAAACCGCCGCCCAGCTGGCTGAGTTTCTCTTCGGGGTATTTGAAAAATGCGACCGTCTCGTTGCAAGGGTTGCCCTTTTCGGCTGCCAACTGGGCCTCCGTTCTGGGTGGTACTGGCATGAAGGTCCATGAGAAGACTGTGGAGTAGAACCTTTTGGCTGAATTGGGAAAAAGTTAGTGGTGGGACTCATCAGTTGAAGTTGTTTAACGGGTACCTCGTTCAGGGTTGGTGACGGGAATATCAACCCAGCAGATAGTACCGTTGGCCGGGGGGGTCCAGGATGGTGCCATAGCTGGGATTGTCGTTGGGAGTGTTGTTTTCGAATGTGGAGGGAGTGTGCAGTCCTCAACAACGACAGTGTGCCTGATGGAAAAAGAGAACTCAAGTCCAGGTCAAGATGCGCTCTTATATACTTTTCCTGAACATCCCTTGACATCCAAAACGCTGGACATCCAGCCGGAGCTATTTCTTGGCTGCTATTGATGGGGAGAGCCCCCAATTTCGAAGCGAGTCTCGCTTCGGGCCAACAACCAGATTAACCATCCAGGATTTTCACTTCGGAGCCTGGTCAGGCACTGAAGGGAAGGGATTCCCGTATTCTAGGCAGCAACTCCAATCATCTTTTATTATCCTTCACCTCTGAATTGCTATTAGTCTCTTGTTGCTACGGGGCGGGTTTGCCCCACGCGTTATCCGCGAACTCATATAACCAAATACAGACTAGTCGATTTTAGCCTGCAACGCGTCAAGAACGCGCGATCATGTGGTTGGAGCCCAGTGGATGCATTTGGCGGCACGAAGTATACTGTGGGGTTTGGCTGCCTGGCGGTCTCGTATTTAAGGCCGATATGGAAATTTGAACCGAGATATTCACTCCCCACCGACGATGCAGAGTACTCTGTACTCCGTGGTGGGATCGTATCGAGCCCGTCTTGCCTGTCGCGTTCGTCTTGAGAATATTGGGGGGATGTCGTGCGGAGGGCGGAACTCCATTTCAACAATCAGGAAAGGTCGAGTTCTTATGATTCAACCAGATTTGGCCAAGAAACCAATCCATAAAATTGTACTTACAAGAATAACAAAGCTCCCACGTGGATGCCAGATGAACGGGAATGGGGGAAATATAGAAGAACATCAAGTCGAGTTTTATAATAAATGATGAGATCACCGGAAGGTATCAGGGTCTGTGTTGGCTCATAGAAGCAGCCAGGGGTATGAGAAATGGAATAATTGATAAAATCACGCGAGTGACCGGACATGGATGTCGAAACAAGTAGAGAACAAAAGAAAAGATTAAAATCAAGGGTCCCTGGGGTCCAAAAGCCATGCGCCGATGCCCAAATGACGCCATTACAAAGACCTCCGGGCCCACTAACGGATTTCATCAAACTCTCTCCATGGAACAATGCTGACGAGAGCTACTGCGGAGGGTCACATATACAAAGAAAAGGAGGGCAAAAGTTGTCGAATATTCTTAAGAGTCTATATGACCTCGTTATCGTCTGAGAACGGGCTATTCTGCCTTCCTTGACTAGCCGGATCACCCCTCCGGTCTAAAAGCCGGTTGGAGCTTTGACTGTTTCGCTGACGATGCGCGGAGGTACCTTTCGAGTCGATACTCCGGCGAGACGGGTTCGAAATTTCCTCGGGGATGGCAGACGAGGTTGCTGACGGCCTGACCGGTCTGTTAGTATCGGCAAAAGGCCCATGTTTTTCCGTGGGTGAGTCGTCGATAACCGTCACAGCCGTCGAATGTACGGAATCGCGAGCCTTTGATTTGCTCTGGTGCCCTTCGACTTTTTGCCGAGATGCGAGTTCGACTGGAAAGGAGGCCGTGTCTCCCTGAGGGGAGTTTACGTCGTCCTCATCGATGGGGGTGGTTGCAGAGTGAGTCTTTTCATCCTCAGCGGCCTTTTTGTATTTCGGCTTTGTGACGTTGATCGGTCGAGCAACTGCAGTTCGCGCTACGATCGAAGAGCCCACTGGTAATTTGTCCGACTGCTCTAACTTGGCAGCAACGGCGTTGGCTTTATTCATTTGCGTGACAGTGATGGCCGGAACCGCAGGTGTGAGAGTGGTAGGGGATGGGTTTGAGGAAAGGGTGGGAGTGGTGGAGCCGGATTTGACGCTAACCATGGCGGCTTTTGCGCGCAAAGCCTGTTGCGCAGGCACCGGGCTAACGACAGCGTTGCTTCGATAAATGGTGGTGGCTACGCTGCTGCGAGCAAGGCTGGGAGCAATGCTTCTGCGGGTCTCTTCGGAGGTGCTTGACCAAACCGAATCACGAATATCCCCGGGCATGAAGTAGTGCTGATCGTAGTTGGCCCGGGCGGCGGGGATGGGAGGGACAGGTGGGATCATCGAGGGAGAATCCGGCGGTGAGCGGTTTGTTACGCCGGGGATGTAGGCGATCTGAATGACATTTGAGGCCCTTGTGAGCACTGTGGAGGCAATGGAGCCGACCGCTGACAAGCGCCCTTGACGCTGGGAGGCGAAAGCCTCTTGTTTTTCGGCAAGCTCTGGGCTCCAGCTCTCGTCGTACTCGTCGACTCTGCGCTTTTTAATGCAGTATCCGACGGCCACGATGACGACTAAGATGGCGATGGCCCCAATGACACCGCCAGCGATGGCGCCGACGTTCGGGCCGGAGGGTTGAGCAGGCAAGCCTGTTTCTATGGCAGGGACACAGACATTCTCCATGCAGGTATCACAGGTGGCCGGCCGGCTTACACACTCCTGGCCAGAGGGGCAGTCTGGGCACGGGTCGGGGCGGTCGGGGCAGCCAACAATACAGCGACGGAATGGATGTCGCCATGAGGCGGCACGTGAGACTACAGACAAACAGAGCGAGCTGGTTAGCGATAGGATCTCGGTGAAGCCTGGCCGGCACAAGCCTACCCTCAGCCATGTTGGGCGTGTTTCGTGAATAGGAGAGCTTGGAGCAGTATATATCTCAGAGGAAGCGCGTCATGGCCGTGGAGGGAGCGGTGGACAGAGGATGCGATGCGAGGAAACGGGATCAACAGGCCATGATGGAGGGCGATGCAGATGCAGAAGCAGAAGATGAGGAAGAAACATCGGCCTGTCGTCTGTGGATGAGAAGAGAGAGAAACAGAAACAACAGCGAGAAGAAGAAGAGACGACGTTGAAAGAGAGTCGCTTGTTCCACCGTTACATCGTTACAGGGTTACCCGCCGGCGAGCCAGCGGCAGGGCCAATCAGCGCTCAGGGCAGGGCTCCCTCGGCGGGGCGGACCCCGGTCTGACCATACGGCTAGTACAGGTGACGGTATGCTTCATTTCCGGCGCCCAATTTGCCGCAGTCGCTGGTAATGTTTCGGTTTCATTGCGGTATGGCAGTGGTACGGGCGGTCAGCGTGACAATACATGTTTGCACGGTTTGCAGCTAGCTCATTTCAGCTGGACATCAGACAGAAGTGTTATCATTATTATTCTGGACATCAAGAACGGTTTGCTATCTCGGCCAGCATGGCTTCACTGCGCTCTCTGCTTCGTCGAAAGCCCCAAGCTACGCTGCGTAAAATCAGCACGACCTGTCGTGGTCTGTACATCCATCTATGGTCCCTGGTACCTTCAACTGACTCGCGATGGCTTGAGGGAAACCCATCAGTGAGGATGGAATATATCACTACACCAATGGCCGTTTTCTCGTAAACGAACACTACCAATGTCAGCGGCGCTATCTCAAGTTCAATCTTGCCGAACTCTGCAATGTTGCCTCTACGCTTGGCTCTCAGCAATCCCCCATCATTGCCGTTGATAAGTTAGAGGGCGGCTTCTGCAAAGCCCTGATTATGAAGAGAGAGGACGGGACAAAGCTTGTTGCAAAGTTACCTACCAAAATTGCAGGCCCGCCAGGCCTATTGACGGCCTCGGAGGTTGCCACGCTGAAATACGGTAGCCAACTGACAATGAAACGTTCACTGGATGTTGCTAACATCTCTTGGTAACTTTCCTAGTCAAACAACATACGTCGATACCTGTTCCTGTAGTGCTTTCTTGGGATTGTGATCCTTCCAACAAAGTCGGCAGTGAGTATATCATCATGGAAAAAGCTCCTGGGGTTCAGCTCTACGAAAGGTGGGCCGATATGACTGGTGAATCGAAGATTGCTCTGGTTAACAACCTGGTCCGTTTGGAGAGCCAGCTTGCGTCCATTCAGTTCCCCGAATTTGGAAGCCTATTCCTTCGGGACTTGGATGACACTACGATGAAAGGCCATAGCCTCCGGCCACTCCCTGCAACCATAGATCCTACTCACTCCTACTGTATCGGGCCGTCAGTGGATCGTTCGTGGTATATCAATGCACAGCAAGATGTCTCACAGCCTACTTTTAGGAAAGGTCCTTGTAAGTCGGCGATTGACTTGTTTTTTTCTCGCTTTCCCGCGTGGGCCTCTTGCGACTAACTGCAATGATAGGGTCTTCCCTGTCTGATTATGGCTGCAACCTTGCGAAAAGAGAAATCGCAAAGCTTTTCCGCCAGCGAAGGACGGACGATCGCCCATATCGCCGCCGTAGTTCTGAAGAAGAAGCTAATGACCTTCTCCCTGCTATGAAGCTCGTGGAACTGCTGGAGTCTCGTCACACCGAACTCAGTTCGCTCTCAAGACCTATCCTCTGGCATACAGATCTACATTTGGGTAACATATATGTTGCTGACAATGACCCTACCCAGATCGTATCTATCATCGACTGGCAATCAATAGGCGTAGGGCCAATGTTCCTTCAGGTAGAATGGCCGGAATTTCTAAAGCCAGATGAAGACTATATCTTCGGCGTCGTGAAACCTAGTTTGCCTAAAAATTTTGATGAACTAGACGAGGCGGCAAAACAACATGCAATAACTGTCAGAAATGAAGTCATCTTCATGAAAACCTATGAATTACGGAGCGCATTGTTCAACAATCGCTCTATTTTCCGGTCTTTGAATTTCCCATCTGTCTTTCGTGAGATTTTCATCAGATGTGGGGAAGTGGCAGATGAGGGATCTATAGGTCTTCGCGCCTGTATGGCTGAACTCTACCAAAACTGGGCTGAGCTCAACTTTACTGGGACGTGCCCTATATCTTTCACAGATGAAGAGCTTTTGAACATTGAACAAGAATTTCAACAATATCGGGATTGGCATGAAGTTCAGGAACTCGCAAGAAAGTATCTAGAAACGGATGCAGAGGGCTGGATATCTCCAGATCGTGATTTCGCGCAAGTCCAGGAAAATAACAAAGTTGTGTATGGGAAGTATATTGAGGAAATATCCAAGCATTTGCCCTTACAGGAGGCTCGAAAACGATGGCCGTTCTTAGAGAACCTTAGCTGATCGGTTAACGACGAAGCTGGATTCAAGCGGCGCCAACGGCACTTTATCAGGAAATGCCTTCTTGATACTACAGTCTTATACGGGGGTGGTATCCAATCCATAATCCATCAAGCAAAACAAGTCATTGACATTCATATATCATAAAGGCTGAAATACTTATAATCATTCGGTTATGCGCCCGTGTTCATTTCTTCCAGCACCCCTTTTACACATATTCGCCTCCCTACCTTGCGGTAATAAGACAATAAAGTCGGAAACCGTTCCAGGAACAACTTTCCCCTGGCATCTAGGGCAATGCACCGAAGCACTGGCCAGAACGCACAGTCATCAATGCCGAAGAAAGTGGGTGAGGATATGTACGTATTCTCCGGTGGAAGCAAAGATGCGAAGAAAGGGAGATATCGATTAAGCGGCTCCAAAGCGGCCAACGAATCTGAAGGAGGAGAAGGCGGTTGAGTCTTCACGGCCGTGCGCCAAGTACAAAGGAGGTTATTTGCTGCTGCAAGGCGATCTTCGAGCGTGGACTTGTTCAAGGGAATGGTCGGGTCAGGTGTATCCTGAGCACGTCGATGAGTGCCAACATGCTTTAGAATAGCCGTATCCCCAGATATGCAAGTTGAGCCGTCGGAGTCGAGGTATATGGGTATCCGATCCCCAGATGGAACGTGTAGGGTGTCACTGGCCAAGGGAGGGAGATCGGTTCTGGATTGCAGTACCTCGTAACGAACTCCATTTTCGACGAGGCATAGTAAAACCCGTAAATCAGAAACCTCATCACTGGAGAGTAAAACCTTGGCTGATGTGATCGTGACAAAGTTGACGACATCGAATCCTTCGCCGTACTGCGCATCCCAGTCAAATAGCGTTTGCCGATTCTCCAGCCCGAAGGCACGAACCAACCGCTCTATCTCTGCCAATTCGCCATGAATGATATGCCCGGCATCCGAGTGTGCTTTGGAACGAGCGCCTTGTCCCCAGATCGTATCAGATTCAGGATTTATAAAGGTTCCGATGTGGCGAAACGTCAAGGATATCCGTTCCCCGTTGAAAGCTAATTCCTCTGGGGACTTGGTCGATTCTGGGCGTTTATCTTGGCGAATCCCATGCAACCACTCCATATTGGTTCTTTCACCGAGGATGAAGAGAGAGTTATGCGGTAACGGAACTCGCTGCGACTGCCGGCCGGTGCCATTCGACTCGGGATCAGAAGTAGCAGAGGATTTGGTGCGAAGGGTCATGGCCCGCTGAGCGCCTAGGCTAACATTGCAGATGGATGATCCGCGCACGATGTCGAGGGTTTTATCCGAATGCTCCGAAATCCGGTCGTCACCGCTACGATAAAGCTGGATCAAGACGTGGTTCAGCGGATGGCCAAGCTGCTTCTCAACAGTTTCGCGAATGGTATCCACAGTGCTGCTGAAAGGCAGCAAGGGAGGTGACTCATCAGCCGGGTGTCGATAGATGGGAATCGACCCGTCGGGCTGGACAGTGCCTTGGACGGCCACCAGGCGGGGGACCTGGCCGGACATGTGGTACATTTTCTGCCAGCGCACCTCGTCACGAAGGGTGCGGAATGCGTCGTCCGGGAGAGCTAGATCGTAGATGATCTTCGAATCACCAGACCCAATGCTCTCACCGGGTCCCCGGGTTGAGGAGGCGGGATTTTTGGGGGTTTTCGGCCTAGCTAGCCTCGATGCACGCCCGCGACTGTGGCATACGGATTCGGGCACGGGGTTGGGATCGTCCTCGTCCGTGCGTAGACGACGTAGCGCTCGGGTTAACATGGGCGAAGGGGGTTCATCCACGCTGTCGGGGCCGTCGTCAAACTCGATGGGCCCCTGCTGCACGGGCTCCTTGGCCTCCGCAGGTAGCTTTTCGCTCGAGGGTTCGTCATCGGGTGTTAGCAAGTCTGCACTCTTGACGGTGTAGACGCCCAGGACTTGGGTCATGCGGCGCAGGGCATCTCGATGCCTAGAAAACCGGCGAAACCCTAGGCAGTCCTCAACGAGAGTGACTACGAAGCCATTGCGGACGGCGTCGAGGGCGGTGGCATAGACGGATATGTTGGATAGGGCGCCACAAATGTAGAGCTCGGTGATGAACTGGGTGCGGAAGGACAAAAGGACGCTGGGGGACTGGAAAGCGGAGTAGTCCGATTTCACCAGGACGGTATCGGCCTGGGCATCGATGGCGGAGACGACAGCGGGAGGAAACTGAGCGCCGGGGGTGTCTGGCCGGCAGCAGGGGTGCGGTGCTTGCACGGTGAGGAAGGCCTCGGGGTCGGTGGTGGACGCGGCGGGAGCGGCAGCGGAGGCGGGCGGGTTGACCAGGATGAGGTCGCCGCCGGCAGCCTGGCTGAAGGTGTCTCTGGGCCGCTGGAAGGTCGTCTGGACCCAGAAGACCTTGCCGGACGAGCGAAAGTGGGCGGCCAGGGCGGGGATGCGGTCGATCAGGGTGGGCGCATTGGGGGCGAGAAGGGCGCCGCCGGGCGAGACAAAGTCGTTTTGGAGATCGAGGACCAGGAGGGCGCGGCGGGTCGAGATCTGGGGGATGTGCTGGAAGAAGTCGGGCGGGAGCATGGATGCCTGCATCCTGAGAGAGCTCGCATCAGGCACGATGGGCTAGTTATCGACGACTCTGCCCGCCGTCCATCGAGAACATCGTACCGGATGGTTGCTCTGTACTTGTGACCACTCACGCTGCCGGTACCGTACGGTCACGGCCCCAGCCACGTGACTGCTTGGGGAAATCGGGGAAGGCGGGCTGGGGTTGGGGGAATGTGCTGAGTCACGTTGGGGAGTGCCGATGTCGGGCCCGCCGCTTTGAGAAGCGAGAAAGCCAAAAGCTGACTCAACGCTCGCTTGCTTCTTCTTTTATCTTCAAGCACAATCTCGCTCTTCTCTTCTCTTCTCTCTCTCTCTCTCTCTCTCTCTCTCTCTCTCTCCATCTGCACTATCATCTCCTCCTTTCACAATGGCCTCCAGACCAGCTGCCAGAGCGCTCCGCGCCTCCTTCTCCCGCAATGTCTCTTCCTCCGCCTCCAAGGCCTCCCGCCGCTCCTTCATCACTGTCTCCAATGCTCGCCCTGCCATTGCTGCCAGAGCCCCAATTGCTGCCCCCTTTGCCCAGCAAACCCGTGGTGTGAAGACAATTGACTTTGCTGGCACAAAGGAAACTGTCTATGGTGAGTCTTTCCCCCTTCCCCTTTGGTTCTTTGTTCTCATAGTGAGCTCCAATTGACTTTTTGTGTTCACCCTCTTAGAACGCGCGGATTGGCCAAGAGAGAAGCTCCTGGTGGGTGGCCACTCCAGCCTTAACGCATCCCTGCAACCCATGGTCGCTAATATCCTTGTCAGGACTACTTTAAAAATGATACCCTGGCTCTCATCGGCTACGGCTCCCAGGGCCATGGCCAAGGCCTCAATCTCCGCGACAACGGCCTGAATGTCATCGTAGGTGTGCGCAAGGACGGTGCTTCGTGGAAAGAAGCAATCCAGGATGGCTGGGTCCCCGGAAAGAACCTCTTCGACGTCACGGAAGCCATCCAGAAGGGCACCATTGTCATGAACCTCCTCAGTGATGCGGCCCAGAGCGAGACCTGGCCCACCATCAAACCCCTCTTGACCAAGGGAAAGGTATGGAAGACATCCCGTCTTGTATGGAAGATGGTCCATCTAACATCCACCCAGACCCTCTACTTCTCGCACGGCTTCTCTCCCGTCTTCAAAGACCTCACCAAGGTTGACGTTCCCAAAGATATTGATGTCATCCTCGTCGCTCCCAAGGGTTCCGGTCGCACCGTCCGTTCGCTCTTCAAGGAGGGCCGTGGCATCAACTCCTCCGTCGCGGTGTTCCAGGACGTCACCGGCAACGCCAAGGAAAAGGCCGTCGCCCTCGGTGTTGCCGTCGGCAGTGGCTATCTCTATGAAACCACTTTCCAAAAGGAAGTTTACTCCGACCTCTACGGCGAGCGTGGGTGCCTAATGGGTGGTATCCACGGCATGTTCCTCGCCCAGTATGAAGTGCTCCGCGAACGAGGCCACAGCCCCAGCGAGGCCTTCAACGAGACTGTCGAAGAGGCCACGCAGAGTCTGTATCCCTTGATCGGTGCCAATGGCATGGACTGGATGTACGCTGCCTGTTCCACCACCGCTCGCCGTGGCGCCATCGACTGGAGCAGCAAGTTCAAGGATACTCTCAAGCCTCTCTTCAACGATCTCTACGACAGTGTCAAAGACGGAAGCGAAACCAAGCGATCTCTCGAGTATAACTCGCAGCCTGATTACCGTGAAAAATACGAAAAGGAGATGCAAGAGATTCGAGACTTGGAGATCTGGAGGGCTGGAAAATCCGTCAGGTAAGTCTTCTCCCAGGCTCTCTACTCATCTCAGCGTGGGCTAATCCTTCTGTTTTCCACAGAGCGCTCCGTCCAGAGAATCAGAAATAGGAATTGTAACATCATCTTGATACCTTTGTGTTCTTAATATAGCTTCTTTTTCCTTTAGCATGTGACTATGAGATTAAAAGTTTTTAATATCAAGTTCATCCCGAGTATTCCCTGTCTACCGAAGGACCCTTGCTCCTCCATTCGCCGGACCCTTGCCCTCGGTGGTTTTCTCGTATTTTAGACCTGGGGCAGCAAGCCGAGGCCGTAATAAGCACTGCTCCCCGTCCCGGATCTTTCCTTGTAGTTCATAACTTCATCCTGAGACTCAGCATCACACTCGCTGGCCAACATGACCGACCGGGCCCATTGGCGGCCTCTCTCACGCACCAACATCCAAGCTGCCCATACTGTCATCCAACCGCATATCCACACCACCCCTGTCCTGACCTGCCGAACCCTCAACCGCCTCGCCTCTACCCCGCAGTCGCCCGGGTCCCTCCTCGGCACCCCATTTGAAGGACGAACGCCGGCGAAGCCCAAGATCAATTTATTTTTCAAATGCGAAAACTTCCAAAGAATCGGCGCGTTCAAGGCAAGGGGGGCTTTTCACGCCGTTCTGAGGCTGTGTGAGTGTCTGGGGACGGAGGAAGTGAGAAGACGTGGCGTGGTCACACACAGCTCTGGTAACTTAATAAAATTAAATCTACGAATATCTGTCCTCTGCAACGATCGATCACTGACAGACAACGCCTAGGCAACCATGCACAGGCTCTCGCCCTTGCCGCTGCTACCCTGAAGATCCCCGCGCGCATCGTCATGCCACGTATCTCCACCCCGTCGAAAATTGCAGGAACAGAAGCACACGGCGCGAATGTGATTTTCAGCGGGTCGACGAGCCAGGAGCGCGAGGAGGTAGTGAAGCATGTCATCAGTGAAACAGGCGCTATCCTGGTGCCGCCGTACGAGCATCCGGATATCATACTAGGACAGGGCACGGTCGGTCTGGAATTTGAGCAGCAGGTAAAACAAATGGTGCGGCAGGACCCGGGTCTGAGCGTGCGCTCCGATCCGGCTCGCAAAGATGGGGCTCTGGATGCCGTGATCACACCCTTGGGCGGCGGTGGGCTCAACTCCGGCGTCGCAACGTGGTTTTCTTCGGGGGACGGGCAGCCCTCAAACAAGACGCTCGTTTTTGGGGCAGAGCCGTCGTATGAGGGCGCGGACGATTGTTGCCGCTCCCTCGCAACCGGAACCCGCATCACAAGCGTGTCATCGCTGACTATTGCCGACGGCTTGCGAACACCAGTAGGTGCCATTCCCTGGTCCGTCATCTCGAACCCGGAGAAGGTCCGTGGCGTGTATGCAGTAACGGAAGAGCAGATCAAGGCCGCAATGAGATTGGTGCTGGAGAGAATGAAGGTGGTGATAGAGCCCAGTGCAGCCGTGGGACTGGCGGTTGTGTTGTTCAATGAGGACTTTAGGGCGCTGGCTGAGAAGGAGGCAGGCGAACAGGGGTGGGATATGGGCGTGGTATTCAGCGGAGGGAATACAAGCATCGAAGCAATGGGCCAACTGTTTTCCTGTTAGAGTGTGGGCTTCTCGGTAAAGGAAAAGTTGCATTTTTGCTCCGGCTAGTCTAGATAACTTCGGTCTTGGTTTGGAGCTTCGGTTATTTCATACATTCGTGAGATAGAACTTGACGGGTAGCCATGGACAAGTATGGGATATCGCCTAAGACAACTCAAGAATCAAATCTAATACCAGCTTCTAGTATATTGAAACCAAACGCCGCGCTCATGCGTGGCTCTCCTCTGAGGCTTGCAGGTATACTAGACGGGTCAAGCCATCCGGAAAATCGACCCCTTTGCACAATCTCCTGTCTCGCAGACGCATCAACCCCGGCTTCATCAACGGTCATGCCATCCGCAAACGGTCGCACGGGATCGCGCCGTACGGCAAATCGTACAGTGGGAAATATAGGCCACGGGTGCGGGAGGTATGGCTTGAAGGGTGGGGAGCGTGCTGGGTATAACCCAGCGGTGGCGTAAAGAATCGAACATGAAAACCTCTTCCGTAGACTGTGCAAGCATGAGATAATCCCCCGATGGATGTGTGCCCTGTGGCCAGTTGCTGTTGAAGGCTGTAGCTGTGCCTCCGCTTCTTCCCTTGCTCCTGGGATTCGCGAGATCTCAGCTTCTCGCCAATCCTGCCAATAGAACGCACTCGCGCTGTCCACTATGACGGCGTGGATCCGGCGCCACCGCGAATGGTGTTGGGTATGCAATATATATTCCGGTAGGGATTCCAACGTCGCGAGTAGCGCTGCGGACGACTGGGGCCGGAAAATATGTACATGGCGCAGCGCTTCTTCGAAGACGGAATATGATACTGCCCCATCTATTGGAGTTTCCGCCTCGCCAGAACCACAGTGAGCGGTCTTGATTGATTCTTCAGCAATACCCAGCATCACCTGTTTAAATCGAAGGACGTCGAAACGTCCATCCGTATCCAGCCATATCACAGCGGCTCCTTGGCCTCCTAGAGAAAGCTCAAGGTCGAGGTGTGCGGGCAACACAGCCAATGCAGCAGCATAGTAAAGTAAGGAAGTCTTCCCATCAGCGGAAGAAGGGCTGGTTATTTCCACAACCGGTTTGCCTCGAAGACTGCCGCTGGCTGCGAGGACTGAAAGGGCGTGATCAATAGGCTTGATGCCGACCAGAGTCCGTTCAATAGCATCTTCTGCATGGGATTTGCGAAACTCGTCGAGGATCTAACGTAAAATCATGGGTTAGAAGGGTTGAGAGCGAGCGTGCAAGCACCACTTCTGCAGTCTTACTGACAGATGAAAGGCTCTCGCTGTCCACGTCCGCCAGCAGCTTCGCGCCGAAAGCTTCAGCGCCCATCTTCCTCTGGGGAATTGGCACGGGTCAAGGCCCTCATTCCCGCCTCGTTTGCTAGCAGTCATCCACTGCCGACTGTGTTGATTAAGCAGGGCTGCTGGAGGCGAACTTCGTTGTAGGAAAGGAAGTTGTTCCGCATCAGTTTTCACAACTCTTGGTTGTCCAGCGTCCAGACAACTCCAGCTCCATTGAATCCTTTGCAACACAGCTGTTAGAAAATCCCCAGTCTATCTTCCAGCAATGGCACCGCCCGTCACGCCGTTTCCCGCCGCTTCCCTTCCGATTCACACCCAGACCACCACGCACGGCTTTAAGCCCAGAGCCCGCAAGGGTCCGCCCACAGACCTCTTCTCGTGCCCATTATACACAATGCAGCAGTTTTCGTGTAATCCGCCGAGTAAGGGGCTTCCAGACGCGCCCGGGGTGGTGAACTGCGATATCATTGTAAGGGTCTTTCGACGGTGAGAAGAGACCGACTGCAGGTGGGAGCATCAGGGAGTGCGACTGACTTTGGTATCAGGTGCGCAAATGGGATCAGCGCGGAGACTACAGCTTTGGAAGGGTCAAAATATAGAAATCTGGCGCCTTGGGGGCGGGATCAAGGCTCGTGAGCTACGGTGATTTTATATGAAATGCGCCGACGAGGACTGGAATCTATTCAATCATATTCCCCTGGGTATCTGGAATCACATATGCAACGCTTTCGAATAGACACGCTAACCCCATGGACCAACGACCTGAACGCCATCATGCTCGATAAAGATGTTTTCCGAAATTAGTTATTACCGCCTTCCCTTGCCGGCTTCGCCGACGTGTCTTTCTGCTGCTCAGCCCTTCGCGTCCCGGATACCGTGAATTTACGCCAATATACCCGTTCACAATTCACAACTGGTCCAAATTCAAGTTTTTGAGGGTTGATGCCCAGGAGATCCGGCGTTTTTTGTTTCACGGGCTCTGCAGAGTCAAAATCTATTACGGCTGCTGCGGCATCCGCGTGGGTTTTCATCTCCTTGTGCTTTCTCCCTTCCTCTGCCTGCCGCTGGAGCGTTGCTGCTAGCGTTTTTTCAAACATTGATTGCATACTTTCCGTCTCCCTTCCCCACAGCCTCTTCTCTGTCATTTCTTCTCCCGTCAAGCGGGATTCCTTTGCCGCACGCGTCAACTTCCTTAGTGCTTCTTCTCCTAGCCGTCCTTCCTCTGTCGCTTGCTCTCTCACCTTCCTCGGATCCGTTTCTCGCTCCGTGTAAACGGCGGTACGCTGGTAGGTATGCCTGCTTGGGAGTCTGGGGAATTGTTTTGGAATGTATGAATACTTCTGTTTGTCGTCGCTGGCACTCAGCTGCGGCCCTAGGAACGGTAAATATGTTTGCGGGACGGGCTCATCTGGAGGAGGCGTCGAGAGGATGACCGGTGGCTGTTTAGTCTTGTGAAGCGTCCTGAGGTATGGGCGAAGTGAATCCAACGAGATGGCTTGTTGGTGAAGCGCGTGTTCAAAATCGCAGGGAATGGGCTGGGTTCTGCGGCATGACGCCATGGATGCGCGGATATAAGATAGGAATCGGAGCAGGTCTAGTAAGAATTTAGCACTCATGTGAGTTACGTTGATAATAGAACTGACATACATTCTTCAACTCCGTCTCGAAAACTGTCCAAGGCAACGGGCTCCGCGTGATCGAAACCCGCTTCTCGTAGTGAGATGCTAATTGCCATATTCAGCAGCTGGTCCACAGACGCGTCATCGGCAATCACTGCAGAGTCAAGGGATTGAACGTTCAAAGGTGACTGCAGTCGATGCACGCGATGGTATTCGATCTTCTGTTTCTTTGCTGGAATAGTAGGTAGGTGGTCGGAATCTGGCGAGGGACGTTTGAGCGACGGAGTGCCGGTCTTCTCGGGAGCCATGGTGGCGGGGATGTGATGAGGAAATGAGACAGTCAGTGGGGCTTCGCGGTACAAGGGATATTTCGGTCTTCATGGGAGATAAGCGGATGTTGAATGCAGTCGTTATCAGAGGGCTTCTCAGGTTTGTGTTTAGGAGACTCAATGGGGGTGGCGCTCAATTAGTTATGGAGCGCGAGACGGTGAATGCCAGCTGTTGTCATGCCACCCAAGCCAGACCTGAAAGAGCAGAAGGCGCTCTGATGCTCATCATCCCCTTCCGAGGTCCCTGTAGTTTCTGCGTCTCTTTGTCTTCTCCTGTTCGCCTGGTGACCTTGCCGTCGCTCTCTTCCTCAGCCGGTGCCTGCTTTTCTCCATTCGTCTGCTGACATAATATCTGACTAAGCAATGGCCTGATGCTCGGCTGGCTGCACGTGACCGCGACTTTGCTGGTTGGCCGCCAAAACCAGCAAAACCGACGACGACGACAACATCGACCAACGCCAGACAATCCGCTTTGAACGCCGCTTGAGGGAATCTCTCGGGCTCATCTGTGCTGTATTATCGCCAATTCCTTCTTACACCTCCAGCCAGCATGGCTATCCAACCAATCACTGGTGTAAGTCCGCCGGCCTTGGTCGTTGGCTACTCCCCCGATCCTGGAGCCAATGTTAATGATGCTATAGATGCTCCGAAGGGGCCTTGTTCTGGACCTTAGCACCGCCTTTGGTGAGTTTCTACGCATCTCATGAGGACTTTCTAGTCGGATCATATTCGGGATACCCTGCAATTGAGGCCGCCCTTCGCCCAGCCACTTGCGAAAAACACATTCAAGCTCCACTATCTTCCAACTGCGACGATTTCCTTCAATTTCCTGCTAATGCTCAATTCCAGGTCTTGGAACAACATCTGGTTATCTATGGTGGTACGGTACGTAAATCATACGTTCTATGGAATTGCCTCCGAGATTCCAGGCACTCTAACGACGCTGATGAAAAGGGTACCACCTTCCCCGCGTCCGGGCCCGTGACCGCCTCTATGCTACCTTAGAAGCCGAGCGTGCCAGAGAAGCTGCACTCTAAACGACCTATCCTCTCTCCATTTACTCGGTCCGCGCAATATATTACCTCCACGAACACTCTCTGACCGTTTCTTTCCACCCTGGCTCGATAACCGTTGGGACAACGTCCAAAGGAACTCCGCCGAGTATGACAAGCCGATGGAGGGTTGCTGTGGATGGTGGTGTGTGCTGCCAACGAGTTGTGTATATACCTTGATTTGAAAAGAAAGAGTTGCATATCTATCAATCTCCACTCCTAAAGCCGTCCGCTCACCTATATATGGGCCCCCACTCATCGGCATTCATTATGAGGGAATTTCCCGGTACAATTCGATTTTCCTTCATCGCTTGAAAACCATGCATTCAAGCGTTCCAAGTCCAACGCGCATGTCCAAGGCTTCGCACTGACTACGGGCGTCTCCAAGAGTAGCCCTAGGAAACCGTTTACAGAATCGTCTCTTTAGTGGCGAAATATCTATGAGCCGTTGTCTGATTTTGTAGATTTAGGCTCAGGTAAAACAGCTGGGGGTGTCTCACTATCATAATAACTCCGCTATCCGTATTCCCTGTACGATAAAGTAGTCCGCCGTTATTCATAACTCATTTATCTCCTATATTTCTTATCCATCCGTTCCCGTGGTATAGATCTACTTCATGACGCGCTCATACGTAATTCCCTTGACCGTCCCTCCAGCCATAGCATTGCGCACATTCCGTTTAAACTGCTCTCTATTCAGCCGTAAGTCTTCCGCAGCTTCTTTGTTCAGAGGGTCGGAAGCATTGGGCTCAAGGAAAAGGAACTATTCGTCGACCGGAATAATTAGCAATTAAACCCAGGTCTCAATGAATCATGGCCCATGGAGCATACCTGCAGCCCCACAATCACTGCGTTTAAGTTCAGAACGGGCTTCCAGTCCTCTCTCAAAATGTTCAAGCACACGTTTCCTTCAAGGTCGATATTGGGATGGTATATCTTCTGGTTACACTTCACCTTCGGCGGATCATGCGGGAAGTTTTGGTTAATAGTGAAGTTGAAGGTGAATGTTCCCGCCTTGTACATGCCTTCGTCAGGCTCAACAGTGAGGATAAAGTGCAAGATATCGTCGGAGTTGGGGAACGTCATCTTCATCGTTGAGCCAAGAGAAAGCTCAGCTAGGTCTTAAAAATCGTGAAAGAAGTTAGCGGAGGGTATACAGATCGGAAGGCAGAGCCCGTGCTGAAAGGAAAACACACCTCGCTGAACACGCAACTGGGCGGCAGTGACTTTCTTTTTCTTTGGCCCACTGGCCCCTTCGGCATTTTCAGCCTGCTGTTGCTTTTGTTTCTAGGAGGCCTATCAGTACTTCTGTCGGTTGAGTGAAGAGGGTGAGTTCGTAAGATGGAGTAGCGCAAAGCCCTACCATTGACCATATCTTGAGCATCTTGACTCGGAATCTCCCTCGATAGCCCCAGTCAGATATACCGATAGCCCCCTCTGGCGGGCACAAGTTCGCGAGAAAAAGGGCGACAGTCTTGCCTGGCTTCTGTTACAAGGAAACACAGTTCTGGAACGCACGAGCTGCAAACCAAGAGTTAAGAATCGCGTTATTAATAGCAACCAAATGCCTTGGATGAAATATAGCAAACTGTCTGCGCTATGTTTGTGGTGGTTCTGAAGAGGTTGTTCTTTTTCGGGCGTGAAAGTGTTAGGCTGCAGAGAGCCGAGCGAAGCAGGCTGTGAGGCGTGATCTAATAAATCAAAGAGTAGTTACTACTGTTCCTAATAATAGTGGACTATCCGAAAAGCCCAAAATAGTCTATGTCTCTAAAGGAGTAAAGAAAATCTTACCAAGAGGCTCGCTTGAATTCAGCCAATTCTCTTTGCAGAGTCTCAACTGTGAAGCGGCTATTTTGTCAACCCAATGAAGTCACCAAGACACATATCCAGGCACGTGATATAAATCCACGGTCAGCAACCTGTGCAGCCTAAGCTTTCAATGTGGAAGAGGAGCAGCATTACGGAGTAGTCTGAACCAACATTGTCAAAAGAGCTGAATTGAACTTCTAGATTGTGTATATAAGACACAGGTAACACTGTCACAGCCTGGGTCTACGAGCGCAGTTTTACGCAAGTGGAATAACAAGAGAAGTATTGAGTAATATAGTTAAAGGTGTAGCCCAAGGTATAATAAACAAAGCCAAAACACAGACTGGCAACAGATGGTCATCGAGAAAGACAAAAGGGTGGAGCTACCAACATTATTTGAGGAAATCGCATAGTAAGGGCAGAAACAAAAACACGGGAAACCCATCTAAATAGAATACAGGCGCGAATAGTTACCAGGGAAATCGAAGGGACAGGGTAACAGACACCCAGCAGGATATTCAACAGAACCGCATTTTGAGAAGAAAAATTGTCGTTTCGAGTGGAATGCAGATTACGGTGCGAAATTTACCGTAGACTGAAAGAGACATACATGGTCATAAAGTAGGGAATTCCACCACCGATTTGCCTCGACTATCGTCTGGCGAAACAGCACATGATGCCGGACTTGCCCAGGAACCAACAAGCGCCGATGAAGCGAATTAAAGCAAGAAAAGCGGTGGCCCACAAAAGAGCTTGGAAGAAACGAGCTGTTCGCTTTGTCGCTTGTGACTACCGAGCTGGTCAGTAAACAATCCAAACAATTATAAAGCATGGCTCAAAAATGACTTACCGAAAACCCGAACTTGTTCACATTGTCGCTGGTAATGGCAACAGCAAGCAAAGCGTTGGAAAATATCCATGAAGAAACCAACCGGGTACGGAAACTCTTGTAGGAATCCTCCAGGGACTTCTTCTCGTCAACTTTGGGTTCAATGTATGGAGTGAGAGCGCGCTTCACGGTTGCCTCAAACTGGCTATCAATATCCGCCTGTGGTTTATCGATCTCCTCAATGACCGCGGCCTTGCCGCCATCTTCCTTCTTGGTCTGTGCAGAGGGCAATGCATCTGCCTTGTCTGATCCCTTGGTACCCCATGAAACGTCATGCCAGTTGCTGAATGCATAGACCATGAGAATATTGATATATGAAGACATAATCAGCAGATAGGCCGGGAAGGAGGTGAACATGTGCCATGGGTCCATGTACATGAAAGAGGCGACGAAATAGAGACCGAATGTTGCCGCGAGGGCGATGATAATGATACCAGCACCATCAGAGCTGAAAAAAGATTTCAAAAACTCGCCCACGCCTTTATCAACGACGAAGTCTACGTCACCTGAAAAGGCGCGTACGACCAGGTACATCGATAGAATTACAATGTACAACTGAACGAGGCCGAAGAGAATAAATGACGTGATATACGAGTGTTTAGACCTATTAAGAATCAGTATCTACATCCGACGAGGGTGCAACACTCTAACTTACCCCTTTGGCCTGTTACCGAGAGCGAGGATGAATTGTAGCAGCAGAAAACCGAGGTATAGATACTTCAACACGGTGTTGACGATAGGGGTGGCTTTGTTTCCGAATGGGAAAGCTCTTTGACCCTCCTGAGTAGGGTTGCCAACAAGATCCATAATGACGGAAGTCGTGAGCCAGTAAGAAGCTACAGGTGGTTGATTAGCATAAATAACCAGTTTGGGATACAGGCGAACCTACCGAGCGCAAACCAAGTTAGAAAAACCGTAAATGTGTTGTAAAGCATCTGGATATGGAAAAAGAACATGCGAAGGATATTATGCCCGCTCTTGTACATTCTGCCGAAATGCATGAGCGAGTAAATACTGGCAGCGAAAGAACCGTTAAGCCAACGTCGGCGCTGGGAAATAAACTCTGGAGCGCCCTCGGGAACGTCGGTTTCACCCTTTGATGCTTTGACATAGGTCAAATGCCATTTGGACCCGGCTTTGGCCACGAGTTCGAAGCAAAGAATACGATCCTCGGCCAAGAACATGTTTTTCTTGAAGATGTTCATGCCTTCAATACCCTTGGGACCGAGCTGCTTCGATAACGTGTGATCACCGTGGAAATACTGTTCAAGAGGACGGCCCATGATAGCTCGGAACCGATAGGCGGAGAAAGCACCGGGCAGCACACTAACATAGCCAAAAGAACTCTCCAAGGGTTTATCGAGGATGTTACTGATTTTGTACTCAAAGTTCTGGGCAGCGACAAGGGGGTTGATCAATTTCTTCCATCCTTTCCCCAACATAGCGTGAATTTCACCGCAGGATCCACCTAGGTCTTTGTCGTTGTAAAAGGCCTCCCAGAGCGCGAGCAGGGATTTGGGTCCTGGTTTGGTACCTGCATCCAAAAGAATGCAAATTTCGGGGTTGAGGATCCTGCCGAATGCATTGAAAAGCCACCTGTGAGAGTTGATCTTCTTGCTGTTCTTCTGCTTCAAACAGAACATCATCTGGACGGGTGGGAGCGTTGACGGGCCGTCATCGTGAGGCCGGATGAGTTGTTGGTTCGCGGTGACAGATAGTTGAGTAGTATATTCGAACTAGTTCATAGATGTTAGACGATGGGGCTTGGGGAAAAGGGGGTTCGAGCACTGACAATATGGGCCACGGTTTCCTTGCCGTCCACGTCTCGTTTCATGACGCCGTCCTGATAGACACCAATAGTTGCCAAAACGTCCAAGACGTCTTTGTCACAAGGGTCGATTCCATCGAAGATGAGAGCGACAACAATCTTTTGCCAAGCGGGACCGCCTTTGTTCCAGAATTCAGACTTTTTGATATTGACGATGTCGCGGATGTTTTGCATGACTCCATGGAGAGTGCGGGAGGTCAACATCTTGTCTTCATTGTAGTACGTGATGGCAATCAGGAGTTCGGTATGACGGTTGTACATGGCAGGGCGGAGATTGTAGCCGTTATGTAGAGTGAACTCGTTGGGGTCGCAGGTCGCCGCGGTGTCTATGCATCAATGAGGGTCTGAAGAGCAAGTAGGGGGGATACAACCAGCTGCGAGTGCTCACATCTCATGTGGGTGAATTCCTCGCTCCCTCCCTCGAGGTCGTTTCGGTATTTTGCCTGGACGGCATTCTGAATGGCACTGGGGACGGGGTAGTCGACGCTCAGAACGGAGCCCTGGACAAGCTTAACTTTCCTGGTAGCATAGCGACGAAGGTTTCCTTGGGGAGCCTGTCTCTGGCGCCAGGCCTCTGTGGAGGAGGTTTCGCTCCGGCTGTAGGGCGAGGGCACTCGACTGGGAACCCCGAAGCCGGCGGCGGGATTCTCCATGTGCTGGCCGTACATGGGGTTATTGTACTGGTTCATGTTCTGAGAATCGGTGGCATAGGACTCGGTCAAGCTATAGCGGGAGGCGGGTCTGGCTGGAGAGGTGTTGCGGTGATGGGGATCGTCAAAGGGGCCACTAAAGGGCCCTTGATTCTGATGGAGCAGAGAGCGTGAAGCATCATCGTCCTGCGGCAGGTGATATTGCTAATTAAGGCCAATGAACCAGCAGAATCGGATCGTCAGCCAATATAATTCTGAAACATGGAAGAAACAGGGATGAAGAATCTTTGGGACAGGGAAGAGAAAAAAAAAGTAAGAACTCCATTCACACCACTCACACTTCCGTTCGACGGCAAGTCTTGCAGACGATGGTCGCCATAGCCTCCTGGCGAGTTGGCGCCGCCTTGATAGGCCATTGTGTGAGATCGCACGCACGATCAAGCACCGCGACGAGTTGGACCAGCAATTGGGAGAAGCAAGCAGTTCAGGCTGGGGGAGCTCAGCTGACACGAGGTCTCGGGGGCGGTTGGACAGAAGGTCAGGGCCCAACGACGGTGGTGAGGATGGAGCGCAGGCGAACGAGCGGCGAAGAACGAGAGATGAAGCAGCCAGACGGGAGAACCGAATGCAGTTCAGACAGAGAGCGAGGGGGAGAGAGAGAGAGAGAGAGAGAGAGAGAGAGAGAGAGAGAGAGCAGGAAGAGAAGAGGTTCGCAGGGAAGAAAGAAGAGCGAGAGGCAGTGAGATGGCCGAACTGGGCAAGGCGCCGTCACAAATGCAGTGTGGTCACGGCGTGACAGGCATTTTGGCGCGTTGTTTCAGCTTCGGGGCGGGCTGGTACTAGCGCCGTACACAGGGGCACGAAGCTAAAAATACTCCGAAAATTACAGACAACGCGGCTGAGACCCCGAATCCGGGCTGCTGATTGGCCGTCTGTGCAGGTAACTTACCGCTAGCGGGCCCCCGGTGCGCTGGCCGCACATTCGTTACCGCCGCCATACATACAGCGCCCTCAGCCTGTATTTATTGGTTGCTGCTTCTTGCTGCTGCTGCTATATCAACTGCCTGTGAGGAACCCATGAATATTGCACCCCTTCAGCCCAGCACCGAACCCGTCACCTCGTGCACTGCGCATCGTGGCGAGAGCACAGCGACCACCCGCGAGAACCTTGGCTCCCTGGCATCGCGATGAAACACCTGCGCTGAGAAAACTTTGATTGCAGGAGAAGCTAAAAGGGGCGGCCAATCCAATCTCCACTCGCTGTCCTCCACTCCCAGATCGACGAGTCCTGGAGCTGTTCAATCTCACTTGGCTGGAGAAGTCGTGAGTCCGATGCCAGGCCACGATATCCTCTCCCCTTTGTAGACCCGAGAATAGTTTCCCAGCCGGGAGCTGCGAGAAGCTGGACGCAAGGAGAGACCCAAGTTTCAATTGACTGCGGCCAGACGATAAGGCTGAATCGTGGCGGTCCCGCCCTTTCACCAGCCTCGAACTCTCGCTAATTCGAGGCTTGTCTTTTTAGACCTCTTCTGCTCAGGTCTTTGACTAGAGATCGATCGATCTTGATTTGCAGAAGCTGGAAACAAAGGCACAGCCCTCGAACACCGAGTCAAGTGGTTGTAGTCAAGTAGTTATTAGCTATTGTGTATTTGTGTGCTATGGACTCCGGAAAGACATAACTAATGAGCCAATTCACAGTGCAAACAGAACTCTGGGTATTAATTAAAGCAACAAGAACGCTTCCAGAAGCCAGCCATCATGTCAATTGTCTGGCCAAAGAAAAAAAAAAGAAAAAGGGAAAGAGAGAGAAAAAGAAAAAAGCACCAACTCGTCCCTCTCAGCCGGATAACGTCTCTTTGGACGTTTATTTGGCTGCAAGAATGCTTCGCCCTCCGTCGGCGGTGACCCGCGTCCGAACTTTGATCTTGATATAGCGTGGCCCCAATTTTTGTGCAATAACAGCGCTGCATCCGTTCTCGAGTTCACTCTGATCGACTGCGAGAACGTCCAATACCCCGTTGGCACTGAAGACCAGGGCCTCTCCCGTGTCAAGCAAGACAATCCTGGAAGATGCTGTTTCGGCTGAACCTGGAACGTTCTTCCTCCGTCGCTCCGACGACTGCCCCAGCGAGATGACCTTCGAGCGTCTTGTACCACTCTGGCGATGAGAAACGATGTACAACAGTTACGTCACAGAGGTCCAGGAGCTTGGGGGACAGGGTGGGCTCCTGGGTCGCAATGATTACTCGAGTCCCGAGATGCCGTTGCTGACGGATGATGGTGAGAAGGTTCTCCGTCAGTTCAATTGCTTCGCGACCAGTGGTAGTCAAGAACTAGGGCTTCGTCAGCCATGATGGAACACCACGAAAGACATGGAATGTCCTTGGTTACTTACCTTGTGCGCTTCGTCCAGTGCGACGAGCCGGTTTCCCTCCCCACGCGCTGCCAGAAAGTTACTCAAGCAGATGTTGAACAGCGCACAGGCATCGTTTGCACCCACAAATGGGCAGCTGAGGTCTACAATGGTCAGAGAACCTTTTTCGAAACTCCACATCTTGTCGACCTCAGCATTGCCTTTGATCGCGCTTTGACCCCGACGCTTCGGCCGTTGTTCCTCAACCTCAAGAAATGACTCCAATAGACTCATCCGCAGAGCAAGGGGGGATCGCTGATTAGGAGCTAGAATTTGCCTGTCCAATTTGCATTTGAACTCGTGATAGTTGATACGACTGCTTTCATACTCCTGCGCCATCTCGCGGAGGATTTGGGTCACAACCTATTGTCTGTTATTTCAAACGTGACCTAATGATTGGCCGTTCACTTTTGACCGACTTACTTCCATATACAATGGCTCCTGACCTTCACCATCCACAGCCATCAGCGCTTTCATCATGGTAATATTCAAATGTTTCTCTGCAAACTTCAACTTCGATACAACCGGTTTTGGCGAACCATCCGACAGCCCCTCCAAGTTCTCGTATAGGCTTTTCATATGTTGATAATTAGATGGCGATACAAGCACTCGCACCGGGATTCCAGACGAGCAGACGTAAGCTGCTTCACAGGGCTGACCTGCTTCGAAACCGGAAAACCGATCATAATGGAGCACCAAACCGGTTAATGGTGCTGCCAATTTCCCTGTCTGCGAGGGGGCCAAAAGGGCATTTTCTAACATGCAAGACAGCGTATGACTTTTCGCGCTACCTTGACTTCCGCAGATAAAGGCCGACCATGGGGCGTTCGTGTTTGTATAGATTAAATCATCTTCTGCCTCGCCGGTCTGGATATTTTCGCTGCCGTATCCATAAGTCGCAAGGCGTTTGCCAATCAACCCGTATTGCGGAAAAGCATCTATGTCGGCTTCGATAAATTCATTCTCTTGCATGGCCCTGTTTTTGCCAAAAGCCGCGCGCACTTTGGCAGAATGAATCGGTGCCGTTCTCAATTGCTCCCTCGTTTTATTCCTGGCTGCCTGCTCTGTACTGGCTGAATTTCCGTCCACGAGCGTTAGGTGTGCTTTCAGTTCCGCCTCTAATTCGGCAAACCATCCATCTTGATGGCCCTGCTGCGTTTGTATCGCGGACATTGGGTGCTTTTTGGAATACAGGTTTCGGGTAGAAAGGTGTTAATAACTGGGTTCAGGGGGGTTTCCAGCCTTGCAAGCCGTGGAATTGATCGGAATTGATCGTTCGGGAAAGTCAGTGAGTTGACAAGTAAAAGTTGATATGCTGATAGGTTGTGGACAATCTATGTATTCTGAGCCGTTCTGGGCCTTCTTATATATGCGCCTCCCTAGGCTACTCCATTTGATCTTGTTGTCATTAGTCCTTTTTCTAGCTTGCCAATGCCCGCGATAAAAATCAAAGCAAGGAAAGACAATTCTAGTATTGTCTAGATTCCATTGTTCCAGCTACCGCTTTGAACCACGGTTTGACAGGAGGCCGATTGATGAGGTTTGGTCCTTTCAGAGCCCAGACATTCTGACAGGTCCAAATGAGCCATCAAGGTTTTCTTGAGAACACATAGAAAGGCTAGAATCCATTAGATCCTTCCTGATGGGAAATTGCACTGAAGTTTCCCGCCTACAGGAACCTCAAATAGAAACCAGGGTTGAGCTGCAGTAGCTAACCGCCCAACTTGGATTAGCTAGAGCTCCACCAAATACTGGACAGTTGTGTATTGCACATTGCTAGAATCCACCATAAATAGTCAACAGAAAACATGGGAAAAATGTACAGGAAGGTAAAGGATTATCAAAATCTATACAATACACACCGACCGGCGGGAAAAAGGCCCCAGAACAAGGAAAGTGGACGAGGACACGAATTCTCAAGATGAATAAGAACAAGAAGCAAGTAATATGCAAAAAGACATCGAGGATATCAAATCTGTTGACACAGGGGTAAATGAAAGGCTGATAAAAAGATCATCTCACTGGTCGGCTTTCAACTTGTAATCAACCTGCTCATGCTAGGCCAAGCTGTGAGAAAATATGCCAAGAAGGCAATTAGAGACTATAAGCATAATATAGTTCCTTGGACAGAAATTCATGGGAACATCTGGGAAAATGGAGTATATAGAGGGCAGGGCAAGTTGAGCTGTTCAGATTGTAGTGTTTGCCTTGGTGACACAAGTAACCGGGGTGGAGCAGAAGAGCTAGGATTTAGAATTGAAACTTGCCTTCATTTCTAATTCCTGTTGGTGTGCCTGGTATGGTCGGCATTGGCGGTGGCGGTGGCATCCTGCCGCCGGCTACAGTGTTGGCGCGTACTCTGCCAGCTGGGAGGGCAAAGTCAGGATTGCTATTTAACAGGACATCCTGACGCTGCTGTAATTTTGCCTTTGGGGTTTCTGACTCTGGCGGTCGCCATTTGGGGTTTATACCGCGTTGCGAAATGGAGGTGAAATGGCTGGTTTCGCTAGCTGCGGGTGAGCGTGGACCAACAGGGAAGTCATCGTAGGAGCTTCGCGTGAGGGGCTCACCAGAAGAGCCTGGTACCAACGCTGAGGGAACATCGGTGGACTCAACTCCGGTTATTGGAAGCGCAAACCGAGGTTCTAGATCTTCGTAATAGCTGCTAGGCGGGTGAGGTCGAAGGGCTGGAGGAGAGCGAGTCATATCGCGTGGTTGGGTGTTAGGCCCGAGAGGGCTTATAGGAGGGATTTGTTCGGTAGGCAACTCGCGAATAGGGTATTCCTGTGGATTCCAATTACTTCTCGGTGGAACGTAGGAACTAAAGGAGTGATTTTCGGTGAGCACTCGTAGCTGCTTAAGCAATAGATGGAGAAACTACTTACGCGTCCATACTATAAACGCTCGTTGGGCTTTTGGGATTTTCTGCGCCTCGCGGCTCAAAATCTGGTCCAGTAATATTGCCTGTCTTGCCGGACGCTAGTCGAGCGGCACCTGAGGATGCCTGTAGCTCGATATCCCGATCTCGTGGGTTGCCATTATTCATCATTGGGTTATCTCTGGCGCCGAAACCCGGACCCGGACCGTATCCAGCATAACCATTCGGGGTATAACCTCTATTTCTCGGTGGATACCCGGGTGGCGGCCCTCCCCGCGCTCTTCTTGGTGGTCCAAAACGGTGTCCTCCCCTGCTATCCCCACCAGGCGGAAATCCACGAGGGCCACCATATGGCCGACCTCTGCCTCTTGGAGGGTACCCACCACGAGCCCTTGGCGGATAGACCGGGCCGTCGCTCCTGTTGGATCGCATGCTTGTATCTGAGAACTGCGTTCGTAGATTGGGGTCGGATCGTACGGAAGGGGGCGGGCCGTAAGGGTCCTGCGAAATAGCGAATCCGTCAGAGCCAGGAGGCGGTCGGGGGTATCCTGCAGTGCCAGGAGGGGGGTCGCTATTGGGGGATGGATTTCGCAGATAGCCGTCGTCATTTGTCGGTAGTAACCTAGGGCCTGCCGTGGGCGCGGCGGTGATTTCGGCAGCCTTTTGGTCGGGGGTGGTGCTGCCAATGGGAGGGACATCGACTTTGACGACGATTTGGCGGTTATAATAGTTTTCGCCGTTCATTTCTGCATTTTCAGCGATCCTCCGCTTCCGGGCCTTTCTACTAACTAGGGTTCGTCGCATTGCGCAGGTGACAACACCACTCGAGGTCAGCAAGATGGTAGCGCCGAGCACAATCCAGCCACCCCATTGTAGGTGAGGAACGAATAAGAGGATATCCACCAGAAACGCGAGTAAAGAGAGCAAAAGGGTGGGCAGCAGCAGAATTAGAAGGGCAAGTAGGTAGCGGGGCGAGTGAGATGGAGAATGGAGGTGAGCAGCGGCGGCTAGGCTAAAGCAGACGAAAGACAACAGAGTGGCGATGGGATGGACGATCAGGAGAGCGGAGAGTGAATGGCGAATGGCGGCGGGGAGGTTGAAATCACCATCCCGATCAGCATCACCAAAGGCACCTTCTAGTTGATTTGCAAGTCAGCATTGAAAGTTGTCGTTTGCACTGCAAAGGTGAACGCTACCGTTTGGATAGCCTACACGAATTCCACTGCACTCGTTGCCTTGACAGTACCCAAAGACGCCGAAGCTGATGTCTTTGTAGGTTGCCAGAGGGATGGATTTGATGACGGGCGTGGAAAGGACAGAGAGGAGCAGGAGAACGAAAGCGGCCAGCAGCAGAATCGCTAGGGGCGTTGCTGGTTTCAGCAACATAGCTGGCGGGTAAAGCGAGGGGAGATGGCATTAATGGTCGCCGGACATTTGGGAGCCGAAAGGAGAGATACCGCGGCGTCGCGAAGGCTGAAGAGAGAAAGCGATGGAGTTGGGGATGGAAGATCGGGGTGGATGGGAGGTCATTGAGCAGACTCGCACTTGCGTAACGTCGCAGAGGGGGAAACAGGCGTGTTTCAGCGAAAGAATCTCATGGGAAACAGCGAGAGTGGTGCACAAGGGGGCCGACGAAGGATTCGGAGGGTGATGATGCAGGACTGGAGGGTGGAGGGGGCGATCGGCTAAGTTGATTCAGATGAGTGTCTGGGATTTGGGGCCGTTGGTGTTTTCTGGTGTAGGCATGAGGGCTCATGCCATCGTGGTTGTTTCATGTATTGGCGCAACGAAGAGAGAGGAAGCAGCAAAAGAAAAAGGAGTGAAGAGAATGAGCGCGACGAGGTGAAAGTGAAGGTGAGATGAAGTCAGGACGAGCAGCCGAGAAGATGAGAGGGTGCGGGCTTCCCACTTGGGGTTGGCGGGAGGGGGTCCATCTCCGGGATGACACCCTGGGCCTTGGCAGTCTCAAGCGACTAATTCCGCTCCAATCAAAATTATTCGAGCGCGGCTGAGAGTGGCCTGTGATTGGCCGGATACCAGGGGCCACTCGCTGTGGGGCCGAGCCAAAAGTTCCCGCAGCGACGGGGCCGTCTTTCCTGGTTGGGCCATTTCGGGACGCGGAAAAAGGCAGTCACCGCAGTCCACTCCGCCCCGCCCGATCTTTACACCTACCCACACGTTTTCTGCCATCAGAGTATCCTCGAAAATGTAAAGCCGCTAATAATGGAGTGATTCACTGAAAATGTGATAGGTGCTGGGATCAGGCTTGTTTGTTCTGGCGCTTTGGCTGGGGCCCTGATTCGTGCAGAGAAATTGCCAGGGCACGGCTCGGCTTTGACTGTAAAGCATCCCTTCCTAATGATGGGGCAATTGATAGCAAAGCGATAAATGAAACTAAAAGATCGCTCGTTAATCTTGTACTGCCTTGGGACAGAATCTATTATAAAGCAACTACTAAGGGCCAGGAAAATTAACAGTATAGAAGAGTAGTATACAGTGAAGTGGCAACCAACAATGAGAGTTATCCCGATATTAGAACCCATAAAAGGAAGAATATCTAAGAACAAGGTTAGCAAACGAATGACCTGGGCAGGTCGATGAAGGGTATCTGGACTGACCATCAGGACTCCAAACATCTTCGCTATCAGCCATCGGTTGCCCGACACTCGAGACCAATATTTTAATAGCTCTCGGTGGGCACCTTGCACGTTATCAACCACATCCTCTGTATTCGCATCAATCCGCTGGATCATCTCGGACTGCTCGCTCACCATTGTCGCAAGTTGTCCAAAGATGCCGCCGAGTTCGTTGATCGTTCGTTCTATGGCTTCAATGGCTTCGCCGCGTGCCTGAATATACGTGTTTGCCGGTTGTTGGGCCTCTTCCATCATTAATAATTGCGACGGCTCCAAGGTCAGCAGATCGGACGTCCCCGGCTGCGGGCTGTGACTTCGTGGTGGATTATATAGAGGGGAATCGGAACGTTGAGGGTGTAGGCTGCTGTGTGATTTTGAGGAGACGGAGGAGATGAAATTTTCTGTTCTTGAACGGGAGGCTTGGATATTCTTGGTGCGCACTTCCAAAACTTCTTTGAAGTTTGCGCCCACATCGGCAAGCTTTCCCTGAAGCATGACTACCACCTGGGCAACAGGATTAATAACAGAAACATTAGACAGACACAAAGGCGGACGCACATTATCATTATGTTGACCTTCCTGGTCGGCATTACTTCGAGAGGCTTTGGGGTGCTGGGACAGTGTGAGGGACTGGAGAGCTGCGATTTGAGTGTTCAAGGATGCGAGGTCTTGTTTGATGACATAGGTCAATTCTGATATTTCAACCGGCCGATCATCGAAGAGGGACTTTTTCTTCGCCACTGTGTTCGATCAGATATCTAGCAGGAGCACTGATGGAGTCGACTGTCTCAAAAATCCACGGCAGCACTCACATTGCGCCAAGCGTTGCAACTTGGCTGTGGTTGCAGTGATGCCTCTTCCAATCTCTGCAGCACGCCTGGCAAACTCTGACTTTCTGGGTGGGCCGTTCTGCGGGGAAGTGTCCGGTCGAAGGAGAGTCTGCCGATGTACGTCGGCCTTGGAGGATGCCAGTCGCTTCTGCGCCTGTCCAAGAATAGATCGAAACTCGGTCGTTCGATCTTGAATGGGGATCGCGCCCATGGTATCTCGTGCAGCCTGTCGTGCGGGGCTCGTAGATTGTAGGTTAAGCTGGTATACAATGTGGTAAAGCGCACTCTACGAGTTGAGCAGCGAAACGTAAGTCGGGGCGAAGGTGTTTCTTGCCGAACCAACACGCCAACGGCGGTTGAAGGCAACGTTGCGAAGCCAAGCGATACCGCAGTCCTATTGGCCGGACAAACGCTTGGCGCGACTACACCACGGAGCGCTGTTCTTCCGGCTTGGCAGTGGCTTCTTGCTTAGTCAGTTAATAATTTCTGTTTGCTCAGTTTGCATGTACCCGCGCTGTGGCTGAGCCCTAGTTGATTAGGTAATGACGTTGGGCCCAACCGCTTCGGCCAACTCTCACCTCGACTCGAGCACCTTTGAACGACATGTTGGGAGCATAGACTGTCGTTTCATTGATTGTCGAAGTGGACTTTGGATGGCGATACACCTCGTCCTGTCGGCCCACCACTTGTATTCGTTCTTTCGCGGGGCTGCTGAGTTGGTGACTCCCTTCATTCACTGGAACTATGGCCCGATATCAGCCAGATTATCTGCACAATGACAGGTGAGTAGTACCGTTCCAGCCCCTAGGGTTTCCGCTGCTGATTGAACAATAGGACCCGCCCCGAGGGAGGTAGTCCGCTTACTCCTTACTCCTCCTCCCAGCCGCCGTCGTTCAAGACGAACGTCAACCGCATGAAGACTAAGCGATGGGTGAACGCAAAGACATATACATATGATGGCGACGACTGGGGGGATAGCGAAGATGACGACATTAACGACGCTTATTCCGATAACCAGCCATCGAGATCACCTCCGCTCCCTCAAGCCCACCTTCAGAGCCAACCGGCAGTTCAGCCTTCGCGGACCGGCGGTCAATCGCCCTCAACATCATCCCTAGCCGGGCATTGGGACAACCCACCAGCCAGAGCAGGCCAATTACCGGTTTCCGACGTACACCGTCCAAATCCCACCTCGGAACCCGTTCCGTTAGTTCGCCCTGCTGACATCTACAAGAGGCTGACCGAAGAGCGAGAGAAGCAACGACTTAAGGGCACCGAAGCATCCGTCCTGGCGCACAAGTCTGGTATTGATTCTGATACCATCTCCGTTGAACCGGGATCTCCGCAGGTTGAACAAAAGGATTCACCCCCCCAACTCAATCGCGACCCGGAGCCGGTTATCTCGAACCCAGTCATCAATACAAGGGAGGAAAACAACTCACCTTCGCAGCCCCAGGATCCATCCCATGTGTCGTTAGGGCTAACGTCAATGGCGACCCCCACGAGTTCTGCCTCCAAGTTACCTGAGCTTAGGGCTTTTTCTGGTTTTGCTGACAGCTTTTATGGGGTCAGCTGGTCCTCAGGGCCTTCAAGATTCGAAAGGTCCCGATGCGCA